AGAAGCAACACGTCTCAGCAATCTCAGTGTCTCATTGTCCAGTTGAGATCCACTGCCTGCACAGACTGTCCTCAGATTGTGTGCTGCTTTGAACTTCTCTATTCTACTATCATGTATTTTAGAGTCCACCTCATCCAGCTGCGAGCTCGCCTCTTCCGTGTAATTACGCTGGAAATAAAGGTATTACCAAATTTGATTTTTTCAAATAAGCTTTAATGCACCACATTTGAGCCATTCTAAACCAAGAGAACATCCACTCCCTCTACTTAAAGGATAAAATCTTTATTCAAACTAAGTTTATGTCCCATTTTTAAAGGGTTTGCAACTAAACATTAGCTACCCCAATGTTTTCAATGTCTATCTAATGGCAATTCACAAATTATCTAGCATCTATTGGGCTGCGGATTCTTTCAAGTTGGCAGCAGCAGTGCTTATATCTTTCCAGTTTATTTTCAAATTACAATACTTTATTTACCTTTTTTGTAAATTTAAACTTTTGATAAGAAACAAGAATACGTTTTTATTGCATAAAATTGTTTTAAAAAATGAACAAAATTACACAATCCGGGTAACTTCTAAATTTTGTGCATAAACATGTCATTTTTTCAGATTCTGTTAAAATCATACAAAAAATATATATTGCTATCTGGAAAATAAACAAATCTTGCAATCTGGGAACTTTAATTGGACTATTTCGAGATGGATATTTTGAGTCTGACTCTTGCAAGATTTAGACCTCAAAAAAACAATTTTGTGAGGTTTCCAAGTTTTCTGCAAAAAAATGTTTACTTTGTATGATTTAATTAAACTAAGCTGTTCTCTGCTCGAACAAAAAAAAAACAGTTAAGACAAGGGTTTGGTTGCGCACAAAACTCGAAACATGCCTCGAGCACGGTCGAAACATGACGATTTTCAGTCGAGCACAGTCGAAAACACCTCAGGCACAGCCAAATTTTATTAAAATCTGGTCAAATACGGTTAAAAAAACCTCCAGCACGGTTAAAGTATAGCTCGAGCACGGTGAAAACATAACTCGAGCACGATTGGAAAATATTTTGAGTATGATATTTTTTTAGGTCGACCGATTTGGTTTTCTGAGCTCTACCAAATTACTATAAAGACCCTATATGCAGGCGTTTTAGGCACTTTTTGGGAAGGAGTTACAAGGAACTTTTTGGAAAGTTTTGACCAAAAAATCGCTTTTTTTTCGGCGCGCGCTCCCCCATCAAACTTGGTAAATTTTGGCGCCAAAGGCGCCTTTAAAAAATTTTATTGTCAGCCAGCCAAAAAAGGATAACTCAAACTAGTACAAAGGTAGGCCCTTTGGGTCGGCAGGGGGTCGAATTCCAGAGAAATGGGCGTCCACCCTTCCCCCTAAATCCGCAGGTGAGTACGACCAAAACATGTCTCCAGCACGGTCCACAGATACATCGAGCACGGTCGCAACACACCTGCAGCCCGGCCAGAAAAAAGTTCGAGCACCGTCGAGACATACCTGGTGCACGGGCGAGAGAAGCCTCGAGTGAGCAGATTGAAAAAGAAATTTTGTCGGAATTTTTGTTTGCAAACCTGCGTAACAGATGCAAACAGAAAATCAAGGATAGCTGTTTACTGTGCAATTATCATAGAATGTTCCAATCATGGTCTTTATAAACTACATGCAATTTTTTGTCCGAGCTGTATGTTGAATGTGCATCTAGCTAGATTCCAAAAAGCAGTCATTCCCGCACTGGAGTTCAATGCAAAAAATAATCGATTCTATTGTCATTTTATAGTCAGTATCTATGAAGTTACAAAAATAATTGATTATAATCCATAAAAAATGGATCATAATCCATTATTTTTTGTATCAAAATAATCCATTATAATCGATTATGATCCAATAAATATGGATTATAATTCTGATAATTTTTTACCCCCTCCTTGTTTACCCCCCCCCCCCCTCTTTACCCCCCCCCCCCCTCTTTAACCCCCCCCCCCCGTTTTCCTCCCTGCTTTTTATTGTAGTTATTTATTGGTAGACTTTGTGGGAGGGGGGTTTGGACTTTGTGATTTATTCCACCCCCACCCACCAAAAAACTAACCCTCCTCAATTTACCCCCCCCCCGCCCATCTTAGTTTACCCCCCCCCCCCCGTTTGCTGAGCGTCGGGTCGGGGGCGATTTGGGGGGAGGGTAACCTGAACGTCTGAGTCTACTCCCTCCCCCGTCTCCGTTCAAAATGGTAAGCAAAATGGGGTGGGGGGGGGGGGTTAACTGTAAACTTGGGGGGGGGTTGACAATAAACTTTAATTCGAGTAGGTTTAGATTGCGAGCAGGCCGTGAATAACGTAGAAATGTTGCAAATGTTTTGCAAAAAAATGTATAGACTATAATTCGTTATAATCATTTATAATGGATTTTAAATGGATTAGAATCCATTATAATTGATTTTAATGGATTGTTTTTTACAAAAAAAATCAACTCTAATGACAATATAATCAATTTCGTGGTCTAAATTTGCCACAATAATGGATTATAATGACAACATTTTAGACAACAATTTTCCATTATAATTGATTAGTTCGGTTCGGGTTGGAGTCTGCACAAAAAAGAGTCACCGTGATAACAGAATTTTAGAAAACAAACAAAACAGTTCAAGCCAAATAAAAATTAAAATAAACTCTAGTAATCACTGCTCTGAAAATTATAACATAGCCAATCGGAGATTGAAAAAGAGTAATGAACGCAAGTAAACATTAAAAACACACCGACATTATTGAAAAAATCTCAACTTTCAATTTTCAAAAAAAATGGATGCTCTCTGAATTTCTAGAACAGTTTTATTATTGGCGCCATTTTCACGTTCGTATTTGGAGAGTGCTATTTACGTCACTTTCAGTAGATGAATTTCAATTGAACTCAAAAAGTGCATTATACTTAAGAGCATCAAACTTTTTTCTGAAAAAAAAACAAACAAAAAACAGCAAGACCTATATAAGAGTCTTCACTATGTTCATTACTATTAAAAAGACTATTTGTGTACTAACCTTATAAATTCTAGTCAAATTTCAAGCTTTGTCAGTGTTTTTTTTTTGCTTTTTTGTAAGAGTTTTTATTGCATTGAAGCTAAGTTTTTATCAAAAAATGCCTAACTGGTGAAAAAGGTTCAAATCTTGCTTGGGTCAAGCACATTTTTTGGCAAGGAAATTAAAACATACATCAAAAGCTGATGAAAGATGTCTGGCTTGAGATGAGCACAGTCAAGCGGATGTTTGGTGGAAAGGAGTGAACATACCCGAAATTGATGGAGACAGACAAAACGATGCAAATTTTTGTCCAGTTGGTCAAAACACAACTTAAGCAACTTGACCTATCGTTGATTTTCTTCACGCATATTTAACTACCAAAAATAAAAGCCAAATGAAGTCCTTTTCCCTCGCAACTCTTTTGATTTTGCAGCTGCTTCAACTAAGATTCGAATTTGAGAAGTGATTTATGGAAAATCGGTCTAAATAAATCTACATTTCACATTGTTCACCGCGGGGAGCGGATGTAGTGAACGAAAAATTTGATTAACTGTATTGTATTGCCTATAACTGATTCTCTGGAAAACAGCAGAATTTTAAGAAAAAAAAATCTAGCAAGTTCTGCCCTGGTCCAAAGCGACCAGGTACACTTGTTTTTCTAACCATTTAAAAAGGGGAAGAACTTTGTATTGGTCTTTTAAGTTTTTTTCTTTCATCATCGGAATGGATCGAGTGGTAAATTATATTAAAAGCATTTGAGCCGTGATTCTAACGGTATTTAAATTAATTGAAATTTTTTTCTCAGTGTTGAGAAGAACCTATTTGAAATTTGTGAGATTTCGTCTAGTTTTGGGCAAAAAAAAACGCAATCAAATAATTCATTATATGGAAACTTACATTTGTAAAAACTTTATGCTAGAAAACTTGATTTTACTATAAAAGAAAATAGTCTATGATGTTTAATGGAGAGCTTAAATGGCAAAAAGAAAATTTAAATACTATGCAAAAAACTGGGGAAAAATTTGATTTTTTCGTTCATGTTTTTGTTTGCTATTTATTTTTCCGAGACAAAAAAGTTGTCAATCATGCCTAATTCACTTATTTTTACGCTTTGTATAATCTCAAAACACGCGGATATTAAACACCGATACTTATTTGACGAGACGAGTTTTTCTCTTTTTTTGTAGAAACGGTCGGAACATTCTGTCTTACTTGCACAGCAACCGAGTATAATTTTTTTGATTAGTATTTGATAAAGATAAACTTCAAAAATTGAGACCGTGGTCTTATGTGCCGGTCCTAATTTTAATTTTCATAGTCCAATCAGATTAGATTAAGACCAAAGTATCATAGGTCCGACGCGGGTCAGAGTCCCAAACAAAGTCTGAGCATAGTCCTAAGCAAAGTCTGAACATAAGCAAAGCCTGAGCATGCACCGAAGAAAACAATTAATTCAACTAGAAACACTTAGAAAAATGCCTGTAATTTTCAGAAAAATTTTCCACAAAAAACATTTTGTGTAACTTCAAATTTCAAGTTGCAAACAAAATTAATTCGCGCAACAAAAATTGTTCTTAACAGAAAAGCAATCAATAGAAAAAATTTAAGGACTTACTAGTACATCAGTGGACAAAATTAAGCGCAAATTTAGGTTTTTCATCTCTAAAGTGCCCGTTTTCAAGGATGACATTGGAAAAGTTTCACTGAGAATTCAAACAAAAACTTCCCACAGACGAAGAGAAAATGATCAGAGCTGCCCTATTTGAAGTTATCAAAATTTGGTTATAAAGACTTGCTAGTTTTTTTTCTGGGTCTAAAAATGCCATTATTTACGATATGCAATGATCTGTTCAAAGCGCGTGAAATTGTAAGAAACAGCACAGTTTAGTAAAGTTGTCACACTGAACAATTTAATTATATTGCTTAGAACATGTTTCTCACCATGCTAACAACGTTTTTTCTCCATTTTTTTTAAAGTTCGCACCGATGCAAAATTTACAACATATGGTAAAAACTGATGTCTAATTTGGTAAGTCTAATTTAAAATGAAGATGAGGAAATCTGGCGTTTTCAGACCCGGATTGCATTGGTAAGTCATTGGAACCAAGCATTCATAGTTCCATAGAGAGTAGCTCTGATCATTTGCTCTTAGTCTATGTAAATATTTTACTGAATATAGAAGGAAATGTTGTTCAAAGTGGACATTGAAAATGGGCATTTTAGAAAGTAAAACCCTGAATTTGCTCAAAAATTTGTCCACTAATGAAATAGATAGGCAACATCTTTATATTGCATCCAGAAATTTCGAACACATTTCGAAGTGAACACATTTCGAATTGCAATGTAAGCTGTTGATTATTTGGCTGATTGTTCTTAAAAAGTGTTACAAATATTGAACCAGTGTTTCAAATTTTCTAAAGTTTTTCAAATATAGCAAAAATTGCACTAGTTGTTCAAATATGACACCCAAATATACTGAACACGTGCATTTCATTTCTTTTCTAATTTTGATTTTTCTAGGAAAGACATTTCGGCTCTTTTCCAGTTCCCCCCTTTCAAAATACCGAGTTTTAAATTTGTTTTACGTGTTATTACGACTAAATGCGTGATGTTACGCTGTAAAGTATGACGAACCAATCTGTTCTGAATTGTTGATTTGTTCACCACGCCAATTTTCATTGCATTGTGAGAAGGTTAAATAGACTTTTCAAAAATAAATTTGAAAGGGGGACTGGAAAAGAGCCGATATTGCTCCAGTGTTTCAAATATTGCACTAGTTTTTTCAAATATTGCACTCGTTTTTCAGATATGGCACGGGAACTTGCTGAACACGAGTGTTTCATAGAAAAGTTTTTGAGTTTTAATTTGGTTGCTTTGTTTTTTTTCTCAGTTATAGTCCTATAAAAAGTCTCCACATATTTCCAAGCAAAATTAAGTAATTGTAGAGAAAGCATATAGTATACTTGATGATAGTCGTATATGATAGTCTTGCCTGAATCTGCCAAGATAAGTTTGCTGTGGCAACATCCGAACTGAAGCTGCATTTCTCCACCTGATCCAGAAATTCGATCACGGCTGACTCACACTCTGCTCCGCTAGAGGGCTTATAGTCAAGATATTTTTTGAACTTGCATGTCGAGCTAGCAGCCAGTGTTTTTAATGATTGGGTGGACAGTGACATACATAAGCATGTTAGAAGGTAAAGTAAAAACAATTGTTGAATTATTCTCATGCTTCTAGGAATTAAGGATTTAAAAGAGTTGGTGATCTGGTTTCAAACTTCAAATAGACATTTATGATATGGTGCTATCCCATAAATTCAATACCAAACGGGCTCTTATTTGAAAGTTTGTTGCTGAAAGTAAAATAAATCGTGTAACTTTTCTGAATTAACATTTTATTTGTTTTAATTGTGCAGTCAGAAGTCACAGTATGTCTCGGATATGTCTCGGTTTAATTTTCAACGTACGAATCAGGAAGAAAAAATCAATCTAAGTTTATTGTCTGCCACATTTTATTGACTTGAAATTCAATTGTATCCGAAATGAAGGTTTAAATTCAAAATTAGAAGAAAAAAAAACAAATGAGACCAAAGAAAATTCGACCCTCTTTCGATCGATATATTTGAACTTGAAACCAAAAACATTTTCTGAAACTTTGTTTGACTAAACATAGGTTTGCGCACGTGACACACTTTGTAAAACTGAATAAAAATAAATGACCAAAAATCTCAACTCTTCCTCATCAGTAAACAAATTGATTGATTTGAGTTCTTGTTCACTTTGACTTTTTAAGGAAGAGGAAATTATAGTCATTTCCTCAGTATAAAAACAAAATTTAAGGGAAATTTAGTGGCAATGAGCAGAAGACTCTTGAAAAACGGCGTTGATTTTTTTAAGTTAAGGTTTTCGCAATTTGCAGAGGATCTATGAAAAACTATCAGAAGTTAGAGGTCAAGTGAGACATTGTCATTGCCGTGGCAGTGAATCTCAAAGTTAACGTTTTGCCACCATGCTAAGTGCCTCTGCTACAATTAAGTTAACAATTTTTTTTGGAAATAATGAACCCACAACGTCACATGTTAACGATGGTCGAATCAATTAACCAATGAAAACATGTACAAACTGGAGCAATCAAAACCTATCACAAAAATCAGAAAAGATAAAGGCTGCAAATCCAAAGCGAAAAAAAAACAACCGCTGGCACAAAGATTGTACTCTAGTTATTTTTTTTTCAATTTACGATTCCGGTTGTTAATGTGAGGAAAAAGGGACATTGGCTTCAGTTGGACATCAAAGGAAAAAATCACCGATTGTTGTCCAAGCAGCAGAGAATATAAAATTTAAAAGAAACGGAAAAAAATTGTGAAAAACAATTATAACGTTTTTCTTCTTTTTTACTGGTTTTTCTGTATTTTTCAAGGAGGGGGAAGAATAACTTTAAAATTTAAGTTAATTAGAAGTAATAATTGCTAATGTGGTATGAATGTGATTGTAGAATAATTAAATTAATTGAGAGTTCTATCTCTCAACGTGTCATTCATAAATTCCACGTGAAAAACGAAAAAACTCCTACCAGTTTTTCTTAGAATTGAGACTTTTTCAGCATCCCAATGTAAAACTCATAGGGTTTTAATATGACACTTTATTTGACCTCCTACAAGATTTCTCTGGCATTAAAATTGAGCATAAAAATCATATCTTCCACATAGTTTCTTCTCATTTCATAAAAACAGTGGGAACAAAAAAATAATTAACTTTTTCAATTTTCTATTGCTTTTTTGAACGTCAAACTTAACGTCATTTTCAGCATGAAGTTATTTAACGGGAAAATTTGTCGGAGAAACTTAAGTGTAGGCTTTTTCTCAACACTGCTGTATAATTTTGCAGTTGGAATCACGGTTAAATCAACTTTAGTTTGATAGCCGTGTAGATATCTGTTTACCTGTTTGTCAATCAAATTGGTTTTGAAATGTTTTCAAAAAACCGAGTGCAAAACTTCAACAGACCAGTGCAAAACTACAGCGTGCAAGAGTTTCTAAAATTGAAATCATGTTCAAAAACGCTAAAATTTAGAAGAAAATCTACTGCAAGGGGGCTAACCGCATGACAGAATGTGCCAATCCAAATTTTTCAAAAAACTTTTTCAAAGCATTTTCAAGTTTTTTGAAACCAATTTTTTTGACACTGACAAAGTTTTCACTTAAATTATTATTGTTATTTGAATCACGACTGTAAGGTGTTCATTATAATGTATCACTTGACCTATTCCGATAACTATTTCTCTGGCATTAAACGTTTATAAAAACAGAGGGAACAATAAACTAATTGTCCTTTAAAATATTTTATTGCTTTTTTGAACGTCAAACCCAACGTCATTTTCCAGCATGAATTTATCTAGCGGGGAAAATTGTCGGAAAACTTAAGTTCATGCTTTTTCTCAACACTGCTTTATAATTTTGCAGTTGGAACCACGGATCACAAGTCTTCGAAGAATAACTTTAAAGTTTAAGTTAATTAGAAGTAATAATTGTTGATATGGTATAAATGTAATTGTAGAAAAATTAAATTGATTGAGAGTTCTATCTCTCAACCTGTCATTTTACTGCAAGCTTATGTTATTGCAGTAAAATTTTTGGGCTTAAAAAAAAGCTCCGCCAGGTTCAACTTTCTATAATAAGCCTACTCGCTTGCTGTTTTTGCTCAAAATCAGACAAGAATACCAAAAATCTAAACCAATTTTTCTCGACACTGACACAAAATTTTCACTTAATTTATTATTGTTATTCAAATCACGACTGTAAGGTGTTCATTTTAATGTATCACTTGACCTATTCCGATAACTATTTCTTTGGCCTTAAATTTTCATAAAAAAGTGGGAACAAAAAACTAATTATCCTTTAAAATAATTTATTGCTTTTTTGAACGTCAAACCCAACGTCATTTTCCAGCATGAATTTATCTAACGGGGAAAAATTGTAGAAAATTTTAAGTTAAGGCTTTTTCTCAACACTGCTTTATAATTTTGCAGTTGGAAACACGGATCACAAATCTTCGTAAGCTTATGTTATTGCAGTAAAATTTTTGGGCTTGAAAAAAAGCTCCGCCAGGTTCAACTTTCTATAATAAGCCTGTTCGCTTGCTATTTTTGCTCGAAATCAGACAAGAATACCAAAAGTGTAAACCAATTTTTCTCGACACTGACAAAATTTTCACTTAGGTTATTATTGTTATTCAAATCACGAGTGTAAGGTGTTCATTTTTATGTTTTACTTGACCCGTTTCAATAACTGTTTGTGGTACCAAATTTTGCGTGGAAAAAGGCAAAAAACTAAAGCTTATCACACCCGACTACAAAGTTCTTCCCCATAATCATTGGTCGGAATAAAAAGTTGAAGAGACGTAAACGTTTTTAACTTGTTAGTGGGAAAAACTCTAATAGAAAAAAAGTTTGTTTCAATTATCAGCCATGAAGGAATTCATTAGGTCTTAACGGGTCTTTCAATTATCAGTCAAGTATAGTTCAATCAAATCTTAAGTATCAACTGGTCTCCTATATCAACTTTTTTAATTTAGTTTTTTAAAATCTCTATTTATCTTCCCAGAGATAATCTTTTGATCCGCTTTTGATAATTATAATGAATCAGGAAATGCTTCATCTTAACAAAAAGGCGGTTCATAATTTTCTACACATAAAATCATAGGAATGTAATCATAATACATTTTCATACAGTTCTTTTAAATTTTAAATATGATAGGTTTTTAAAAGATCGAATTGTTAAAGTTTAAAAATCGAATTTCGTTTAATTTTTTGAAAATAAAGCCGGGGTAGTGACCGCGATTTAAAAGATTTAACCAAAAAAATCAAGCTTTGTAAGTAAAACCTCAAACCTAATGAAATTGTTTTAACTTAATTAAAAATTATATTTGCTTGATTTTATAAATACGTTTAATAAATTCTTAGCAGCTTATTCATATTTAATAAAAATGCGCTATGTCCACCACACGCTATTCAAGCTTTCCAACCAAAAAACTCAAACATAATGAAATTATAGTTTTAATTAAAAATTGTATTTGTTTAATTTTATAAAACTTTTTAAGAAGTTGTTAACAGCTTATTTAATGAAATAAAATTTAGCACTTGCCCCCAGACTGAATAGTTGTATTATTTGATTTGCTGGGGGCTACAATGAGAAAAACACGGTATGTCCACCCACACGCTATGCTAGGTATAAAATGTTTCTGAACTCAATTTAATAACAGAAAAGAAGCGGAGCTTCGCAATACTATCAATATTAAAAAAAAAACAGTATTAAGAAGAAAATGATAGAAAAAAAGTAATGTTTCACAAAAAATAAGCTGAAAAATTCATATCTTTGTTTAGGAGGGCTTTCATAAATGGCCTCTAAAACAGTGAAAACCAATGGACGATCGTCATTTTAGGTGAAAAAACTTGAGTTGACTCTCGTTAAGCCGATAACAAAACTCTAATCATGAAAAATTTTAAGCTATAAAAAGTTTAAAATCAAAATTTTTAAGACCTATCCCTCCTGAAAAAAGCAAAAACGTTTAAAAGTTCGCCCATGAAACTACGCAATACACACCAACAAAACCCTTCAAAACGTAAACCTAATGCGTTTAAGGAAAAAAAGTTCAGAGTTGGTAAAGTTCAAACTACAGAACAATTTTCAATTTTAATTAAAAATTTGGGCCCAGCTAAAAGTGTAGGTACCTGTTTGATGACTTTTATTTTAAAAAAGTTCTTACTGATGTCGGATTTAAACGTTGTTCAAAAATTTTAGAAACTCAAAACCTTAGTTTTACTAAAATATGGGATTAACTGCTATTGTAGGGGAAAAATTTATTACATGTTCATACAAATGAACTCAAAACCAAGTTCGGCAGAGAAATGGACATTTCCTGCAACATGTTCTTTCGACCAGCCTGTAACAGCAAAACCACTTATACCGGGTAGATTTATTAAACCTGTGTTTGCAATTAAACTCTCATATTTTTGAGGTAGATTGGCAAAAGTTTTAAAAACGGCGAATACGTCAGATTGTTGACACCTTTCCAAGGTTCAAACTGGTTTTTTTTTTGCAAAAATTAAGTAGTCCACGTTTCTGCAGGAAAAAATTTCCCTAGTTTGTTCAGAGTATTTACTATTTGCATATTTGTTAAGGAATTATTAAAGATGTCAAAAAGAGTCCGAAATACGGTATCAACACTTATTAAATTTGACTTTTTCGGGTGTTGTTCTTTTTTTCTTACAATTCCGTAATTCAGTCCGTCATTGAATCCAGCTTAATTTTCCCTTAAGCAATTGAAAACAACCAATTTTCTAGAAACGTGCATAAATGCAATACAAAGGACGGTTAAGAATGGAAAAACCAGGTGAATCAAAAACTATCTGAAAATCTGCTAAAATTTTGAGTAATCCAAAACGTGTCGGTTTGAAAATATCTGGCTGCTATCAAAATGTGGTAAAACAACTTTGTTGAGATTAAATATTCCATTCTATTGCTGGACAGTACATGCAAGTAGCCCGGAATGTCCCGATAAAAACTCTAAAAAAACAGTTCTTGTTTCAATTTAATGTCGTTGTTTTTGTATATGGTTTGCTGAAAGGATCTAAGCGAAATCCTACAATTTAAATATATTCTGTAGTCTCAGTAGAAAAAGAATTGTGATGAACAAACTTCTACAATAAATGATAAGATAATTTAAAAAATTCTTCAATTCAAAATTATTTGAAAAAAAGGTTTCATATTTTTTTTGCCGAAAGTTTTATGAAATTTTATAACTTTTTATTCCCAAATATGCACTCGGAAATCTTTGTTAAATTATGTTAGCAATGTTAGCAAATCTTTGTTAGATTATGTTAGCAATGTAAAACTCAAAGTTTTAATCCAGTCAATTAATCTAGTTAATTTTTCTCTTATCCAATTGAAAACAACCAATTTTCCCAGAAAATGAGCATAAATAAAATATATAAAAGACGGTTAAAAATGGACAAACCTGGCGAAGTGAAAACTATTAAAAATTCTGTTTCAATCTTGAATTATTTAAAACGTGTCTAAGAGAATTAGCTAAAAGAAGTTTGAAAACATCTGGCTGCTATAAAAACAATTTGGTTGCAACTGAACTTTTCATTCTATAGCAGGACAGTGCATGCGTTTTTTTAACGCATAACGTTTTTCTTGCTGGATATTTGGGCTAGTCTATAAAAAAAATTTCAAGTTGTCATTTAAAAACAAAGGTGTGCAATCACAGTGTTGATGTGTGCAATCACATTGATCACAGTGTGCAATCACATTGATCTTAGTTCTATGTAAATCACTGCTTTTCTGCGCTATACTTTTTCTTTTAATTTCATTTTGACAAACTGAATCTGCGACTTGCTTTTCCTTTGAATTCAAATTGACAGTGCCTTATTGATATCAACTCAAAAAATTTTTACCATCTAAGCTAATACCAACAAAGTTTTTAAAAAGTGAAGCAATCTGTAATCACTTTTATATTGCTAGTCAAAGACCCTCGCATAAACAACTTTTGGTAGCCAAATTTTCAGCTTATCCATAATTTTTAACTATTGTATGAAGAGTTTTTTTTCTTAATTTTTTGTTTATTTTTCCAGCATTTATGGCAGTTTTTGCAATTTGATCGAAAAACAACGTTCGTTATAATTATTCGATTTTTTTATCATATTTGATCATTGTAACAGTATTTTCCTCAAACTTGAAACAAAAACTAAAAAAACATCAAGAAAATAGTAAAATTTTGAAAATAATAGATGAACTATCAAACAACAGTTTGTCTTAGTCACAGCCTAAATTGTCATCCTAGTTTCAAAAACAAGATGTTATTCATATTTCAGCTCGTAAAATACTCGATATGTCAAACAAACTTAATTTTTTTCAAAAAAAATGGGCGTAGTCGATTTTGCAGGGGCTCTTTCCACAACCCGCTATTTCAATTGAACCCAAAATTCCAGATTTGGGAGGAGAATTTTTGAAATTTCAAAAAACTAGTAATAACTTGAAATTTTTTTGGTTGAAACAAAAAGGGCGTAGCCGCTCGCGCGATGGAGCTTCCCAAAACCGGTTCTATCAATTGAACCCAACAACTCAACCTTGGGAGATTGGTTTTTGAAAAAATGAAAAACAAATATGGTTTAAAATGTTCATTACAAAATAAAAGTGTGCAATCACAGTGTTGAAGAGAACTTGAAAGCGTCTTTTCTTAAAACCATTAATTCAATATTAATTCTATATAAATCACTGCTTTTCTGTGCCAACTTTTTTTTCAAAAAATAAATATAGAAATCAAGTTTCGAACCAAAAAGTTAGCCAAGTTTTTTTGTTATTTGTACTTCTATAAATGATGGGCAAAATTTGCGATAACATATGAACATATGAAGTTGAACTAAATTTTACGTGAAATTTTTGCCAAAGGATTGATAGCTAACATTTTTTTTTAGCTGTGCAGTCTACAAAATAATTTTTTTTTCAAAAATAGAAGCCGTTTATTTCTTGCGCCCTTAAGAATTAGGGGGAGTCATTTTACCTAACTTTCCCCTCAATGAACTCATATTGAACTCAATTTTTTTTTACCCAAGTGCACTCAAAAATCAAAAATGCATCACTGTATGAACGCATCAAAAAAAATGCATCAAAAAATGCATCAACTGTTAGAGCGTAGTTACTAACACAGAGGTGAAGCTGCGCCTCGTAAGCACTAGCAAACACACGACAAAAACAGCTTTCTAAAGAGAAATAGGAAAAACTAGAAATAAGCCTCGAATTAGTCAAGCTTTGCTATGTACTTGCTTCAAACCTGCGACCTAGAAAATTAGGGTCTCACGCGCTGCCCTTCCGGCCACGAACACTTAACAATCGCCGAACACTAGTTACAAAGAAAGCATCTAGATATGCTAATAAATCGCCCAACACTAGCGAGAACAAGACAAAATACAGCTCCAGAAAGTGCAATAAGAGAAAAACACAAGCGAGAACAGAACAAAAGCAGCTAAGGAAAATGCAATAAGAGAAAAAAAGAGATGAGTCTCGAACTAGCGAAAATTGAAAGCTTCGAAAATACTAGCGTGAGCAAGACAAAAAGCATTTCCAGGGAAAATTAGAAAAAAGCCGCGAATTAGCGAAAAATCGGCAAGGTCTAGGATTCAATCTACGACCTACTGCAATCAAGAGATTTTGAGTCTCACACACTAACGACTCAGCCATTCACGCGCGTAAGCGCCGGCAAAGACTACTGCACAACAGCAAAGCCAAACAGCAAAAGTGGCACCAATTACAAATAGACCCAAATTTGTAAGTATTAATTTGGGTAATTACAAACTGCAGGCATCCAAACTAACTATGCATTTAACAAACTGCAAAGCATAAAGCCACTTTATGCATAAATTATGCATTTCAAAATTTATTATTTTGAGTTAGAAAACGTCTAAAATCGAGTTTTTGTTATGTTGTTAGAATCAAGTAGCTTTTTTCGGTTCATTTGATGAAATAACACTGAGGTGAAGTTGCACTTATAGCAACTCATATAGCACTCATAGCAAAAATATGACCGATAACGCTACTGGGATAAACCTATTGGTTTAAAAGTTGAGTCTACACAATTTCTTAACTGTCTCAAGCCAATTCTGAGTCTACAAATTGCTAAAGACGCAAGCCATTTATTACGCATTAGCAGTACCAGTCAATTTGAGAAAAATGCCTCAATTTATAGAGTGGACACATTTTAACTAGTATACGAAAAAGTTCATTAAAAACAACCGACTCTGCCCAAGTTAGAACCTTCTTATTTTGTAGCGGGTCACTTTCCCTACTTATACGTTACAGATCCATGATATCTTGAAGCTTAAACACTATTCGTAAAAAATCGTCCTTAGTATTGGTTGTACTTAATAACTGATTATTGATCAAAATGCACACTTTCAAAATGAACAATAATATTTGCGACTTAGATTGGAAAAAAGAGAGTTCATACGATTTGCTTTCGTAACACAGAATAAAAGAAGGTAGAGATGAGTCCAGACGAGTCCTGTGGGCAAAGTTGTTTCAGGGAAAAAAGTCTCTAACCCGGTAGCAATAACCTTGCTTATCGCAAAGAAAACAATCATATAATCCGACTATAGTAATACTTATAATCGTATATTTAGGTTTCCGTAGAAAAAACGTATAATCGGGTAACTTGATATCAAAATCCATACTGAATTACAGCAACTGCTCAAGGTTCAGTGATCCCGTTAGGCATTGTAATTAGAAAGTGTAATTAGATGTAGTTCATTAGAGCGTTTCAAGATTTTTTCCTGAAAAAATTACTTAAACCTACATGAGTCTTCACTACGTTCATCATGACTTAAACATAGCCAATCGAAGATTTGAAAATAGTAATGACCACAAGCAATCAAACAAAAAAACAAGAAGTTGAAAAAATATCATTGACATTGCCAGCTGAGTTGGAAAAAAAAGAAATGAACGCACGGATGCTGAAAAACAACCGACCTTTTTTTTATTCTCAAAAATCTTCATCTTTTGAGTAACGAATAAAAACGTTTTCGTGCCTTCGCAATTTTGCTGTTCGCTTAGTGGAGTTTGCCTTCTTTTTAATAATAGGAATTCACAGCACTTAAAAAGAAATCACCAGTCAAACCCCGAAAATTCTAAATTGAGTGTGAACAACTTTTAAGACTTTTTCCTGAAAAAAAACAACACAAAATACGTTCATTACTCTTAATAAAGACATTCGTGAAACAAAGATCAAATTTGAGCTAGATCAAATTTTTAAACAAGTTTTCCGGCAAAGAAACAGTAGTCAATGACCAAAATAATTCTTCACTTCGTTCATTGGCACGTAAACACTATCCAAACAATAGACTGCATAACCGAGTGTCAAAATTGTCGAATCAATTGTTGATATAATGCCAGTTTTGCAGGATTACCTAGAATCGAGGAAATTGAAGAGACAGGTTCCACCAAAAAGTGAACCTTGCCTGCAGATTTAGTTCTAAAAGATTTACACCTCCAATGACAGCTCATGTTTTTCACGATAGGACTCAAAATTCAATTCGCAGAGACACGCTAAGCATTTATTTTCACTTTCTAATAGACAAACTCTAACTTTACACTCGCTTTTCTGACCTAATTGTCACAAACTCTAACCTAGGAAGTCTAAAGCCATTAGAGTGAACAAATATAACGAACTGCACTAGTGAAAGAATCATTTTTGAGTAGAGTTGGGGTTATTTCAAAATAATATGCACTTGGTCACTAAGTATACGAAGATAATGGTTGAGCTGATAAGTGATACGGCAAATAAGAAATTGACAGAGAATCGCGTTGACAGAAACTGAATTTACTATTTGAATGCTCCATTCTTACAGAAATATCTAAAGGTCGGCAAACCGAAATAGACAAGGAATGATCATACAAAAAATGAGTTCACCTATAGTTCAACTCAGCTTGCCATCCTGACAGGAATTAGAGATAAACAATGTGTCGAACAGAAAATAAATTAGAGAGAATTAGATCTACGCGTTATACAAAGACAAGATTAAAAAATCACTACTTTCACTTATGTAACCACAAAAACAAAGAGAAAAATTCAGTAAACAATCACATATAAAAGATTAATCATTTAAAAAACAGAAACTGATAGGTGAAAACTAAAAGTTAAGGATGTGTTAGTTTTACAAATAAAGAAGCAATATATCTCCAGCCACTCTCCAAATCATAACAACCAAAACACATTTAAGTCTCCATATCAAGTTTTGACGATGAAATTCAAGAAATTAGGTAAAATGAAAGACGGACATCGTACAAAAATAGCTCGAAAGAAACTAATAAAGTAGACCAATAAAGATAATCATGAAGTTTTCTTGAGTTCCATAAAAATCTGCTTTACAAGCATTTCTGTATCCATTTGAAAGACGTCAGTCCTGTTCAGAATACTTTGAGGAGTAGTCGTGATTTGACCTGTCTCGCGTATTGGCTCCAGGCACTGTATGAAGAGACGCTTCGCTTAGAGAGTTCCGACTCCATCCTGAAGATCCTGCAGACACTGTAGGCGAGGAGATACACAAACGGCAAGTAGGCAATCGCAGAGGCGTGACCTGGAAAATCAAATTTGAAAATGAACGCAAATTTCAACAGCAAATTCTTCAAATTAAATTTCCATAAGTCAATATTTTCAAAACTTAACACAAATTTAGTTTAATTTATACAAAAAAATTCATGTAAAAATGCTTAATTTGAAATGCAGTTGAAAACGTGGCAGTTTTTTGGTGCGACAAGAGACAAGCATTGCCGAGTAAACTCTTTTGAGCTCAAACCTACCAGTTCAAGCATTGCCGAGTAAATTATTTTGAGCTCAAAACTCTTAGTCAAAAATGATATAAAAAGCAAACAAATTTCGACTCACCCGTGAGGAGGGCGATTGAGAAGTGCATGAGGAGATCTGCGAGGTAGTTGGGGTGTCTGACCAGAGCGAACAACCCACTGCAGATCAGCTTCACCTCCCTCTCTCCCCTTCCACTCGTGATGCTCAGCAGGTGGGAAGTGTTGGGCGCATTGGGGTCCTTTTTGAACAGAGCCTTCATGTGGTTCGACTGGTAGAACACTACTGCTCCAATCACTACAAGGAAAAAACACAACTCAAATTTCATTTCGACAAAATTATGCCAAAATTTAGACAATTGATGTGATTTATATACTAGAGCTGATCTTTAATTGTGAGAATTATGTTCACTGATGTTTTATTCTTGTTGAGTTTTAATAGCGCTCTCGCAATTATATTGTAACAAAAGGCCACATTTTGACTCATTTTTTTTTAATTAAAGAGATTCCACTTTCCTGGCATCTAAGCTATATTGAAAGCTTTAGATGCCAGGAAAGCGGAATCTCTTTATCTAAAAACCGAGTAAAAATGTGGCATTTTGTTACAATTTAATTGCGAGAGCGCTATGAAAACTCAATAACATAAAACATCAGTGAAAATAATTCAAGCTATTTGATTAGAGCCACCCCTTTCATTTTGATATTTTAGCGTAGTGCAAGATTGTCATTAACTCACAGAATGGGACTAGACATCCGATTGCACATAGGAGAGGCATCTGGATCTCCGTCTCGTGTTCCAGCAGGAATCTGGCGGGCAGTGTGAACAGGAAAGGAGCCATGACGAGGTGGTGGAACAGTTTCCCATACGACAGTCTGTCATTTCTCACCAACATCGAACACACTTCGAAGTCTGCCTAGAACACATTCCTCCATCATTTTCTGCATTTTTCTCGATAGTAAATTGTTTAGGCAGAAAAATTACATAAGTTCACAAAATGACACATTAAACAGCCAACTAGCAGTTGGAAAAGAGTAACGAAGGCAAGTGTTTCGAATTTCACAGAAAAAATTAGATGCCCTTTAAGCTCTTTGAATTTCTAGAACAATTTATGATGGGCCCTTTTTTGATAACAGTCACCCAACTTGAGAAAACTAGATCGATAGGTAAACTTTTTATTCCGCGGTTTTTTCGCGCCATTTCCACGTTCCTATTTGGAAAAAGCTTATTGCGTAACTTTCGGCAGATTAATTTCAATTGAACTCAAAAAGTGCATATATACCTAAGTGCATTCATAAATGCCTTAATATGTATGAAGGCACATCTGTAGGTGTAGTTATTAGATCATTTTAGAACTTTTTCCCAAAAAAAAAAACAAAAAAATCACCAACTTCACTACGTTCATTACTCTTAATAAACTTAAAACTGCATGGAAGATCACCATTCGATCTACAGATTCGTTTTTATATGTCTCTGAGCGGAAAATTTTGTTCCTGCTTTCATCTACATAAACTGAACATAGCCAACTAAGAGTTGGAAAAGTGATGAACGCAAGGAAACTGAAAAAAAAACTGACTTGTTTTTTCAAGAGCATTCAACTTTTGCCTTAAAGCTCTATGAATTTGTAGAACAATTTATTATGGACACTTTTTTGTTAAAATTAACCCAATTTGATAAAACTGGATCAATACGATCAAAAATATTTCGCTGGGAAATCTGATAATTATTTTCCATTTTCGAAATCAAAAGTCGATCACGTTTTTCTTGACCTTTACACTTTTGCAGTTCAATAATGGATTTTGCCCTCCTTTTAACAATGAAAATGCACTGAACTAAAGAAATCACAAGTCAAACCGCGAAAAATCAAAAGCGAACGAATAAATTTTAAGACTTTTTCCTGAAAAAAAAAAACAAACAAAACAAGACTGCTCGTATCAAGGCGAAGCCCTGAATGTTCCGACTGCCTTTTAAGGTTTATGGAGCAGTAGTAATAACATTAAAAAAATAAAATGAAATAAAATAAAATTAATTTTTTTTTTTAAATTCGAAATTTTTTATGAAAATCATCCCCCCCACACGCCATATAAAGTACAAAAAGATAGATTTCGTTCCTTGTAACAAATCAATTATGGCAAACAAGCTTCGTTCAACCAATTTGGAACCATTTATAAGAAGGATTAAATCTCCGCTTACGCGTTAATAGCGCGAATTATATCGCGCGTTAATTGTCCCAAATTGGTCAAAATGGCAATCTTTAAACCCTCATAACTTTACGCAAAATGATCACAGGTGAAATATCTTTTCAAATTTAAGCTCAGGACAACAACAGCTTTCGAATGATAAAAAAAATTCCGTCAAAAATGACTAGTTAAAAAGTCGAAATTTGTCTGAAGAAAAAAACCAGCGAGCACAAATATTCCGTTACCACCCCGAGCACAAATATTCCGTTACTTTCGTATCGAAAGTCGGAACAAAAATCAGCAAGACCTATATAAGAGTACTCACTACGTTCATTACTCTTAAAAACTCATTGCCAATTTTAACGAAATTCGTTCATTCATTACAAAAATTCACAGAATTCATTTAATAATTCGCATAATTTTCATGCTTAACTCCATCGCCAAAACTGATGAAACAAAAATCTCCGAGTCGATAGCAGATATGTGAAATTTTAAGTTTTAACCGGTATAGATTTACGATTACCAAATAGATAAAGGCAATACTTAAGAAGTCATTATTCTTATTTGCGAGACACTTTACCTCCAGCACTTGGATGAGTAGGTAGTAGGATAGTTGCATTCCGCACGCCAGCAGAAGAGCCACATTCACTGACTCACCCTTCTTCGCCTCATAGTCCACATACACATAGGACAGTGTCATCAAAGCCTGCAAGGAAACACAACCAATGCTTAACCTGCTGTTTTATCATCGATTCGAGGCATTAAATTGTTGCATCGAATCAAGGCATTAAATTGTTCATTATTGAACTATGTATGCTATTTATAATTCACTAAACCCTTGATGTTCTAATTTAGTTAATGCTCCTATGCTTTTCAATCCACGTTTAATACATTACTTATGGCTACTAACCGCCAGATAGTTTCCTGCTTTCAGTACAAAGAAAGTCTTGAAGTCAAAACTTCTCAAACGGGGATGATCTTCATTGCCGTAGAACAGTCCTTCCAAACTGTGTACTCCTAAAACAAACATTAAGGCTTAGTTATCATTATTCTTAATATCATTCGTACTGATTAATAAGCAAAACTACTTTGACTCCGTATTTACAAACCTCTATATCTTGAAATCAAAAATACGTTATTCGACAACTGGCAAAATTTAAGGAAAGCGACAACTTTTGATTAGCATCACAAATTGATTCACATTTATTATACCAAAGTACCAAATGTGAGACCAGCAGAGCAACCAATCAGTCGATACTTGTCAATGCCGTGTTTTACACTCATTGAATATTACGAGTTGTGCCTTTCCAAAATTTACGAGTACTATGGTCGCGTTTCCGAAACTTAGCTCAATACACCGAAATTTTTATCGGTCAATGTAAAAAGACTAAAATTTTGTTCCGGTAGTGTATACTGTAACTTTTATGCTTAATAAGCGTTTAATTTTTTCTACACGCCTTCCTTTTTTATTAAGAAAATAGAATAAATAATGCAACGAGCATTTCGTTTAATTTTCTTGTAATTATTAAGTGATTAACAATTATCTTTCCACCATTTTCCGCTGTTGATATAAATCATGGCTTTTTGCAAGGGTTATAATGTTCCAGCGTTTTGGCGTACTACCACAAATACAAGGCCAAACTTCGAATTTCAAAAAACATATACGCCAATACAGCTCTTCAAAATTCAACAGCTATTGATGATTGACACCATTTTGACAAATTTCACTCATTTGAGAAAACTGGATGGATAGGTAATTTTTTTATTCCTCTCACCATCCACTATCAAACTGAAAAACCACTATCAAAAGTAGACACGTAAATCACCGTTTTTTGTGATCTTTAACATTTTGCGGTTCAATAGTGTAGTTTATCTTCCACCCAATAAACCTTTAAATCCAAAGCTTGACTGACCTGTCTTTATACACAGTGACAGACAGTACAATTGGAACATGAACACGAAGCAGAAGATTGAGGAGGAAGACAGCAGCTGCGTTTGCTGCGTGTACAGCTGTGTCACTGGGGCTTCAAAATAGACGCAGATGGCGAAAAGGAGAATGTTGATGAAGAAACAGTAAACCCCATTCGCTCTGTATGTTAGACTGCCGCTCTTCACGAACTAAAATAAAGCAAAAATAATGCAATTCCAAAAAAACAAGTAGATGTGCAAGTACCGTTATGCTCCGACCATATTGGTAAAAAACTACTTGTTTGAGGATAAAAACCAAACCGAAAGCCTAGAACTTCGATAAAAAAAGGTGCATTTGTTAAGTTTTCCACATCAAATAAATATTAAAATAAGACGAAAAATCAAAAATTTCAATTAATTATTGTTTGTGGTACCTGATTTTGCGTAGGACACATAAAACAAAATTTAAAAAATAAGAGCCGGTAACTTTGCATGTAGCACAGAATGTTCCGACCACAGTCTTAAAAACATACAAATAAATTTTCAAATTAATGTCGTTTTTTTTTCTGTATGGTGCAATGAAAAAAATCTAAACGAAAAATAGGAAACAAAGCAAAATCGAGAGAGTCAAAAAAGTCACTAGAGAACAGTTTTTGTAGGAAAATGGTTTAAAAAAATAATCCCGAAAACAAATTTTTTTTCTAATTGTTCTGCAAAATGTTTTTGAACTTTTTGATTAAATGGCGTTAAAAATCTCCATTACTAACTTTACTTGAGTAGAACTAAGTTTCAACGGCCTAATTTAAGCTTCAATAAGCTATTGGTCGCCTGCACGCTCACCTTATTAGCTCGAAATTAGATCAAAAATCAAAAACTTCAAACTGGTTTTTTTTCGACAAAACATTTTTTTAAAGTTTTTTGATGTCGTTCGATTCACGACTGAAATATGATATATCACTCGATTCATTACGATGTTTATTTGAGTTACCTGATTTTGACTGAAAACAAAAAGGATTAATAAAACACACCCGAATACAAATTTCTTCCACATTTTTCAAATGGTCGGAACAAAAAACAGAAAAAACACCCGAATACAAAGTTTCTCCCCATTTTGAATGGTCGGAACAATAATCAAATTAGTTTTTAAGAAAAAAATTTTCGTTTTCAGACTAATTTACACGGACGAATGAGAGTGAATACATATCTATTTCTTCTGCAATTTCAACGGCATTTTTTATCATTCCTCCAACTCTATAGAGATTATTAAATCGACTTCTTCTTTAGTCGATTCTAAACCTACTTTTCAATAATGTGATTTTTCAATACTGTGGTCGGAATATTCGGATAAAATAGCACAGCAACCAGCAATCCCTTTGTTGCTATTTGTGTTGATTTGAAAGTTTGAGCCTGCTATAAATGCAGAGCAAATGTTTGAAACTCAAATGAGTTCATAGGTTGATGCCTTAGAATTAGAGCCTTTTTACGAAACTAATTTCTCTAAAAAAAACTTTTCAGTTGTTTGCTTACGCTAAAACAAATCATTATCATTTTTATTACATTTAATAGGATGGGCAATTATTAAAACGTTTTCAAACTCTAAAACTTTCAAACTCTAAAACGAATCGAGAGCTTATATTTGTTTGGGTACGCGCTAAAATAACATACCTTTCCGACTGGTAACATTACAAGAAGTGCTTGCAGAAAAAAGAATCCAGCAAGCTTCACGAAAGCATCCAGACTGAACACAGTGAGAACATTTGTGGGTAGCTGTGGCCAGCGATTTAAGAGACATCCCAGTTTTCCTTTGTCTGAAATAAATACATCGAAGCAGTTTGCAACTTCAAATTTCCTCTCTGACTTCCAGAGCGATCAAATCAAATTCATACTAACTGCACATCAACTGAGCGTAAAACCCAACGGAATTGAGGAATGCGGCTGTTGTCAGGAATACTACTATTTTCCACAGGAAGCTCAACGTCTTCTTGGCAGCAATTTTGGCCTGCTTCTTCTTGTCGGATTTAGCATCTATTATAGCTTTCTCAAACTTCTCCTACAATAACAATTTATCGTTAGTTTGGAAGAAAAATTCTTGCATTCAGATATCAGGCAATTTGGTTACCAGGAGTCAAATTTATTGCTACGTTTAAGTTTTGGGTTGTTTAGTTTGCTCATATTCAGCATGAACACATACCTTTTCTCAATTATTTTGAGAACGACCTACCTCAATGACTGTAGTTTTTTCTATCGTTCTTTTGACCACTTTGCTAGCAGTTTCAATTATAGCTGGCTTGACTTTGCGCATTTGCTTTGAGATTTCAGGAGACAACTTTGCTTGACTCATATTGTTGGATAATCCAGTTTGCTTTTTATCTCTTTTGCCAGACCGTGCGGGACTTTCACTTCTAGATGGACTTGTTGATCGTGCTGGACTAGTCCCTCTTGTTTTTGATACAACCGGGCTACTCTTTTTCTTCGATTTCAAATCTTCTCTTGATGGGCTCTTAGCTCTCGACGGACTTTTAGCTTTAGGAGGACTTTTAGATTTTGATGAGCCTTTAGTTCTGGCTGGACTTTTGGATCGGGCTGGGCTTTTGGATCTGACAGGGCTTTTAGACCGCGCAGGACTTTCGGATGTACCTACACTTGAATTTCTAGAAGGACTTTTAGCTCTTCCAGGACTCTTTGCTTTTGTTTGACTTTTCTTTTGACTCTTCGGTGTTGCAGGAGTCGCCGATTTCCGAGACCTGGCCGGACTTTGTGACTTAGAATTGCGTGACGTCTTCTGGCTACTGATAATGGGTTCATTTTCAGATATCAATTCCTTTACAGATTCTTTTATCTAAACACAGCATATCACAAAGTTCCTATTATAAATTACAAAAAATGCAAAATTTATCAATTCACGCAAATCAAATTATACCATTCATAAAGTTTGTTGAGCTACGTAAGGGGCTCACTTTGATATAATTATGTCTGTGATCGACTGGGTATTTTCGGCGTAATTTTTGATTAACTAAGAAAAGCCAAAATGACTCAATTTTGGGGTAAAATTTTGGGCCCGAATTTCGCAAAACAAATTACACCATATCAATTCTGCTAAAACTTTAAGCAAGTTTTATCTTCATAAGCTTTCACCTAAACTCAACCCAATTTGAGAAAAATGCGTTTTAAATTTCAAGTTTAACGCGTTTTGTCCGGTTAATTTAAATCAGCACTGTATATCGCTCTCCATAAAAACCCTGCTCTACTGCCAATTGAAAAAGCCATTCACTCACTAACAGATAATTATTCGAGGAGCAAAACTCGATGTATACTGTTTAATGACCCAAAAAATGCGTTCACAATTCTCAATCGAAAAGAAGCTTTTATAAACATTGAACATTTGTTTCCGTCGCTCTAACTGCCCTGCGAAATTCTTGCACATTTCCAACAAAAATGTACATAAAAAATTTCAATTTTGTCATAAGAAGGTACAACCACAGGTGATCCATTGGCTATAGGCATATACTGTATCGCTATAACCTTTCTAATGAAAATCACCTGGCGCGAAAACCTTACTCAAAGATGATACGCCGATGATCGCAATGTTAAAGATCGCATAAGAAAATTGAAAACATTTCTTGAAAATTTAAAAGAACATGGACGAGCCCTCGGCTACCATGTAACGAAGTGCCAATCGATAGTAAAATTTGATTTCTTTAACAAAGCAAAAGAAATTCAAAAAATGAAACAGTAGAAATCATCGATGGGCATCGAGTGCTCAGTTCTGTTATAGGCGATAAACAGTCTTGTAAGCAACTTGCGCTGGACATAACCGCAAAGCACGTTTAGCTGTTTAAGTTATTGGCACAAAATGCAAAAATTTCTCAAACGCTAACAAATCCGTTACTAATGAAGTCCAACTGAAATTAAATTTCATTGCTCGGACGACATCTAACACTCCTCTTTTTGAGGACACTGAGAATAATTAAACGAAAGAACTCATGCCGGCTCTCATTAAAAACATTGTATGAAAAAAATTGCAGGTTGTTTTCCCTGTGAGAGATGTTGGTTTGAACCTGACTTTACCAGAAGATCAAAAAGATCAGAGATAAAAAAGTCCACTCCTAAAGGTGAAAATGAAAAAATCACAGATACCGACCAGCAACAGGACATATTGCAACTACTATTAGGAAGGAAAAAAAACAAGAACAAAATTTCGAAAACAAATAAAATAATAATTGAAAAAGTTCCAATAGGAAAACACACCAGCAGCGAGGGAAAAAATCTTTTTTTTTTATAAATTAGTGTCATTTTTTCTGCATGGTGTGATAAAAAGATCTGAACGAAAAAAAACTTAGTCGTATTTGCAGTCATAGTAATTATTGCCATTTCGGACACAATTTAAAAAAAAATTGACTAGAAAAACGAAAAAAAATCTAAAAATTTTTCAAAATTTTTCATATCTTTTGCAGAAATTTAGAATTTTCAACCTTTGTATACAAAATGGGCTACAAAACTCCAAAAACTACTTTTACTTGAGTGCAACAAAGTTTTCATTGTTTGAAATAAGCTTTAAAAAACTATGGTAAGCCTACACGCTCACACCATAATAGTTCGAAATTAGACCAAAAATCAAAAATTTCAAACCGGTTTTTCTCGACAATGTGAAAAAAAATTCGAATTTTTAAATGTTCGAATCACGATTGAAAAGGCTTTAATATGTTATATCACACGACCTATTCCGATAAATAATCGCAGTACCTGATTTTGCGTGGAAAACTAAAATACACGAACAATATAACTTGCTGTAAATAGTTTTCAGGGAGGGGAAAAGTACCCGATGAATTTAGCATCGGAAAAAGGTAGCTAGCTCACCGCATTACCGCTGAAACGATATAATTTCTGCTTAACGAAGGTTGAATTCAGAGACGGAATTGCACTAAGATATGGATGAGAACCAAGTAACCTTCCGCAGAAATGCACATGCGTCATGCTATACATTGCCCCAAAGGTGGATATATTCCCACAAGACATAATGAGATACCGGATGTATACAGTTATTTACAGTTAAAGTGGGCACAAGTATGATAGTTGGGTTCCAAAAATTAAGATGTGTCCTTGAAGATTTTTTTAGGCCTTATAATCTTCGAAAACATGGTTAGCATTTGTTTACTTGTCTTTTTTTTTAGTTTTCACCAAGGAAACGGAACCCATCTTTCATACTTGCTTTTTCTTGGGAAACAACTATCATACTTGTACCTCAAAGCGTAATATGGTTAAGTCCCATTTGTACCAACGTTCATTTGTACCAAAAACGGCAAATCAGCTAAACTTCTGATTGGTCGAATTTTGAGCCAACGATTTATTAAACGATGTGTGTACTTTTCAAACAGCATAACACTTAACAGCAGAATAGCAACGTGTTGCGAGCTTGCTAACAAAGGGTAGGACTATACGAATTTTACAGAACATCATAAGCCTATTAGATTTTTTTTAACCCACTAATGATTCTTGCATAGAGGGGCTCTTGGAAGCTTTGCTGGTGCGTACTCATAAGTCCCAAAATGATCTTATGTGAGAGGTCTCAGAGTTGGACACATAATACTTGCATGGGATATTCGAAGGATGAGTTCAAGTTTTTGGAGAGGGCAAATATGACCTTTACATGTAACAGCTGTCTACAGAGCCCTCCAATTGATACATAGGAATTGAGCAGGGACATCACGGATCTCAAGGAGAGTGTGGAAAGTACTCGGATTATGGTGGAGGAAGTTCTCTCATGTAGACAGCCCCAGCAAACCGTAGCTAAGTATAGCGATGTTGTTAAAACGAAAATTGATTATGACCATGAGTTAAGGTTCAGTGGTATACCTGAATATAAGGATGCGGAAAATGAAAGTACAGAAACGGTTGATCGATCAAAAAATTTTGAGCATAATGAAAAACTGATACGAAGTGCTTTTGAAAATTTGGGATTAAACTCAATTGAAATTTCATCTTTTCGGCGACTCGGAAAATTCGATCTTGGGAAAACACGACGCAGGCAGATCCTTGTAAAGTTTCGTGACGTTTTTACAGTAGAAAAAATACTAGCACGCGCCCCCAACTTGAAATGTACGAACCGGAGTATATGGGAAACAAATACTCGATTTTTATTTCGAAATCTTTAAATAAAGAAGAGCAAGCAAAAGAGCAATCATTATTGAAAAAACGCAGAGCTACTTAACGAAGGAACAGCGTACACTGATATCAAGATACGAAAAGGCGTTTTATACTTGAAAAACAGGCCAACTGACTAAATGATTCAAAATTCGAAATTTCAGCTATGTTTTACAATATCCGGAGCTTGTTTAAAATATCAAGACGTCAAGAGTTTCAAACTTTTTAATTGCAAACCCATATGATTTTGTTTGCATAGTAGAGACTTGGTTAAAAAAAGATATGCGTTAAATCAAGCTATAATTCCGAACAATCCTTTTTCGATTTTGACAAACGGTTCTGCAGTTGCTTGTTACGTTAATATCAATCAAAATAAAATTTTGATTGTATGTTGCTATAACCCTCCGGCAAATAGTAAATATGCGTATACAAGTGAAGACCTAACAAGACTTTTCAATAATATAAATCAGCTGACAAGAAATTGCGATGATATTATCAATTACGGCGATTTCAATTTTTCCACGATTAACTGGTGTAGCTTATCTTCAGAAAATTTTTTGGAGCGAGAGTTTTTGAGCATAATCGAAGAAAACAACTTTCAACAAAAAATAGACTTTAATACAGCAGCAAGCGGTATTTTAGATCTCATTTTAGTTAGTGATAACATAGAGTGCGTAAATTTGAAGCAAATGACCAGCGATGAATGTCAAATCACTACCCAATTCATCTTAGTTTTTCGGCTATAGGGCAGAACAATATAAAAAGATGTTATGTAAAAAGTGGTGTGCATAGTTTGTAGTGGAGACTATGAAAATTTAATGCGCCTTATTTCAACAAATCCGTTCAATTCCTATTGCTGGTCAAACCCAAATTGCATTGTTGAAAATTGGTACCTTTGGCTGAATGTTTTTTCTGAATAAAACTATACCGAAAAAAAACCCAGCATCGAGCTTCTTTGCCACCTTGGATAAGCCAGAGTACATCTCATCTAATTAAATGTCTTAAGACAGCAAGAAGAAGATAAAGATATGCATCCAAAGGTTCTGAAACTGAAATCAATGCTGGAAAAATGCTGTGGAAATTACAAGATAGAATATGAACAAAATCTAGCAGCCGAGAGATCAACTGGGAAGCTTTTTCAGGGCCTTTAAAAAATCAAATATTCGCAGCCTTGTTTTTTATAAAACTGAAAAAGCAGAAAATGACAAAGACAAAGCCCAACTATTTTCGAAGTTTTTTGCATCCGTTTACGTACAATCTTCTGAATTTTATGAGCCTTTTCAAGATTCTTCAGAGAATCGTTTTCTAAGCAACCTAACATTCGAAGAAACTGAAATCGAAAGCATATGCGAAAAACTAAATGTCAACAAAAGTAAAGGGCCCGATGAACTTCCACCAGCGCTTTTTCTTAAATGTAGAAAAACGATTTCCCATTCACTTTTTCAAATCTTTACTAAAATTCTACAAATTTCTGTCTTTCCAGACTTGTGGAAAAATGCAATAATCAGTCCGTTTTTTAAAAAGGGTAATAAAGCAGACAAAAAACTATAGACCTTTTCCTCTTTTATCTCTGCCCTCTAAAATTTTTTGAAAGAATTGTCTTCTTTCGACTATATGATCATTACAATAAGATTTTCAACAAGACTCAATTCGGATTTCGAAAGAACCGGTCAACAATTCAACAACTCCTGACCTTTCTAAATGAAACATATAAAGGAATCGAAAATGGAGAAGAAATTGAAATTATTTTAACTGACTTTAGCAAAGCTTTCGACAGAGTTGATCATGGAATTTTGTTACGAAAATTGTTTTCAACAGGATTCAGCGGTAAACTTTTAAAACTGATCAAGTCTTACCTTACCAATAAGCACCAGATTGTTCGAATAAATGGCAGAGAGTCTTCAAGAGAAAAAGTTACCAGTGGAGTGCCACAGGGTAGCATACTGGGTCCTTTGGTTTTTCTGGTCTTTATTAACGACCTACCAGATTACTGTGTATATCTTAAAACTATGTTATTTGCAGACGATGCTAAATTCATCAGTTCTGGTCAGGCACAAGAGCGAATCCAAAGTGACCTACATAATGTGTTTAATTGGAACATCGACAATAATATGCCTTCAATTTAGACAAATGTACGTATCTAAAATTAGGAAAAAATGCAAACGATTTTTTTTTTCAATGGATTCAAGATCAAAGAAATAGGCGTAGAAAAAGATCTCGGCTTGACAATACCAATTGATTTAAACTGGAATATCTACATAGACAATGCATGCAAGAAAGCAAACCGTGTATTTTTCATGATAATAAGGAATACAAACAATCTGAGTCGTACTGCAAAATTGAACCTTTACAAATCTATGATAGTCCCAGTTTTAACATACGCCAGTCCCTGTTATGGATTAAGCAAAAATGAACTTGAGACTATTCAAAAAAGAGTCGTCAAATGGATTTTTCCTGGAACATTGGAATACAAAGAAAAAAATGCTCAATTGCAAATTTTACCGCTTCCTATGTATATACAGATAAATAATATTTTGCTGCTTTCAAAATTCGGATGAGGAAGATACGACGATATGCATGTAAATGTGCCCATACTAACAGAGTCCTCTCGCGGTGTAATGTTTCAGCTGGAACGGCCTAAACGCCTGAAAGCAGAACAAAATTTCTTCTATCAAACTTGCAGACTGGTCAATACTTTAAAGATAGACGTGATTGTGGTCTCAAACAGCTACTACTGAGGAAATTCTGGTTGAAATTTGGAGAATATAATGAAGTTGACAAGTGCACGTGGAAAATTGGGTGCGATTGTGCGGCGAACAACTGCCGCAGCAAGACGTACATATGACGATACAATGAAGTGGCCAGGACCCCATGTGGAAACACAGAAGCCATCCTACTACTACTACATAGATCCCAAAATGAAAAATCAGTCCCATAGGTCCCATAACCGGCTCGAAATTTCGTATAGTCCTACCATTTGGTGGCTAGCTCGCAACACGTTGCCGCGGCTGCGGCGGTCACTAATCTGCAGCTTGAGTTTATGCTGGTTGAACAGAAAAAATCAATCCATAAATTCGTTGGCTCAAATTTCAACCAATCAGAATTCAAGAAGATACATTTTGGGACTTATCCGACTGATTATTTATTTTGGGAGCTATGAATATTGGGACCTATGGGAATTCACCGCTTTGCTCTTGGTACATGAAAAAATTTACTTTAAGCTCCTGCAAAATACTTCAAAATGGTTCTAGAAAGAGGCATTTTTGAGATTAAATCTGCGTTTAATATTATCCACTAGTGTGAGACCGCAATTTTTAGCTTATTTCTAAAATTTTTTCAACTTTCAATTCAACAATAAAACATAGCAAAAATCTTAGTTATTGCTAACTTCCATATTGTGTACATTATTTTAAAATCTAAAGGTGCACAAAAGTGCAAAAAATGTTGGTTGAATTTACAATTTAAATGCATTCTCAAACTATTTATTGTAGCTAGAGTCGATACAATAATAGTAGTAGTAGTTAAAGATTTAGAGAGTTCTCAAGGGTTCGCACCCAGATTTCAAGTTCATCAGTTTAGATTCATCTTGTTTGTGATGTTACAGTTTCCACATCTGCATATTATTCTCCATGTGCATTTGTTTTCCTCGGAGTAGTGTCTAGTAAAGAAGTGCCAGTAGATTTTCTGCAAGGTATCTTTGATAATTTTGTTGCCAAAATTAGGGTATGTTCGTGATACGTAGTTGAAGTGCGAGATTGATCTTCGAGATGTGGTTTTATAAACTTTTTTGAAGCTTCTAACTTGACTAAGATCTCGTGAAGAAATGTCAGTAGCGCAGATAGCTTTTTCATCACATATTTTTTTGAACCGCTATCGGATTCAAAGGATTAGTGCCTAGTAGTTTCTGTCTCTGTCCAAAAAAATGCGCTCTAATCCTACGCTATCAGAAAATTCATGCGTACTTCGAGTGCACATAGAACAGTTCGCAAAATTCTCACTCAAGTAGTTACCAAACTACTGGGGACCAATCTTTTAGCAGACAAATCGTCTAAGAACAAAACTTGACTATTAAGAATTTACGCAGACCAACGTAATTTACTCACGATTTGAAAAAAAGCTATCAACTTCAAAATAGTCAAAATTAGCGTCAAAGCAAACCCGCACGAATTTAAGCGCAGAAACACAACCGATCAATACTAGGCAATGCCACTTCGAAGTAAGCGTTCTGTCTTGCTATTTGTTCTGAGTCTGCTAAAAAGATAGGTCTGCTAAAATCCCCAGCGCCCAATCCAACAAGCAGGCGCTAATTTCTCGTTAAGGGGTGTTTATCATATAAGATCATTTTTTAACTCACCTGCAGACTTCTTCTGGTCTTCATGCTTCAGCGTTCGGAGGTCAAGCTTTTTATACAAAAAAAACAAAAATTATCACTTCTTTTAACCGTAAAATATTATAGTAAAGTTACAAATCACGTGACCCACGCGCGCATTTATTTTCGAATTTTTTCTTATCCATGAAATAAGAAAAAGCAACTATTGACTCAAATAAAAAAAGTTTGATTTGGTGGAGAAAATGAATCGTGAATAAGGAAGATTCAAAATGTCTGCTTGAAAAAATTTTTTTTCCGGGTTGATGAGTTTTCGTATAAAACTCCATTTCAAAATTGCAGCTCATGTGTTACAAATTCAAATTTTTCGTTAGAACATTAACAGAAAATGCACTTCCCAATTCACCCCTCAGAAAATTTCTGCGTTTTGTATCCTTTTTTGTTCGGGTCAAACACCTCACTTTGCCATGAGCCACAATAAAGACCCTCTTTTCCTGAAAATAAAAAAAAAATAAGTTGATTGATAGCACCCAAAAATTTGAGCAGAGAAATTTGTTTGAAATCCAGAGGCACATTTCAACTCTACCGTTGATATAAAAGGGTTTTTAAAACCTTGTAATGGTTGAATACCATTTTAGCATATTGATTTCGTATTTTTGGCATAGAATTAAACGCGCAGCTTCATTCGTCAGCTGAATGAAAACCATAGAATAAGTAAATGAAGACTAAACGTTTCAAATTAGTTCGTACTTGACTTGGAAACCTAATTTCATTCGATTCTAAAAGATGAACTAAAATGTCAATTGATTGGTTCATCGTTTTTTTTTCGTTGTATTTCAATTTGTTCCGACCATTTGACAAATTTTGAACTCCGGTGTTAATTTTTTTCCATGCAAAATCAGTTACCCCAAGTAATCATTGGAATGGGTCGAGTGGTATGTCCTACTGAAGCCCATTCAGTCCAGATCTGAACGACATTAAAAATTCTTGGAAAAATTTCTCAGTTGAGAAGAATCAGTTTTAATTTTTTCTTTTTGGTCTAATTTCGAGCTAATAAAGCGAGCATGCAGGCTTACAATAGCTTAATTAAGCTTAAGTTAAGCCGTCAAAACTTAATTTTACTCGAGCAAAGATAGTTTTCTTGAGTTTGTTAGAGCCGTTTGGTGATCAAAATTTAAAAAATTCAAAAAATTACTTCAAAAAATCAGAAAAACCTCGTGAATAAAGAATGTTTACAATATTTTTGTTTTTTTAGGACAAAAAAATTTTGGATTCTCTTGTAACGAAGAAGAAGAAGAAGAAAGAACACCTGAATTACTATACAGTAAAAAGCCGAGGCATCAGTATAGCAAAGTGTAAATAATAAAGTTGGTTAAAATTCATTGGTTACATCAAACAAAAACACAAAATCAGAAAACAAGCAATAAACAAAACAAAACAAAACAAAACAGTTGCCACAGTTTTGATTTCGTTTTTGTAATACAGCATAATAGTTATTTGGCTTCGTCTTCGTGATGTTAGTTCCTCAAGGCCCGCAAAAGATTAAACAATTTGGTGACATCTCTTTTCTTTGGTAATGTTATTATAGATCAATTCTGTTAAAATTGTAAATTAAACAAACGTTTTCGCACATTTTAGTGCATCTTCAAGTTTTAAAACCTAAGTAATATTTACAGAATGATCAAAAATCATAAAACGTGTCAAAAACATGATTCATAAAAAACAATTTATCAAATTGTTATTTAACATCTATTATGCAATCAATTTTAAAATTGATTATAGTTTCCATGATAATTTCCACAAATTGTTATTATAATTTTAATGATAGTTTCCACAATAGTTTCCCATTTCTGATTAAATAACAGTTGTTTGAATAAAAGGAATACAACTCTAGTAGCTTTTTCGATTTTCAGATGTCATGCTAAAGCTTAGGTATTGAAAACAATATCTATGCCATGCCTGTTGCAGTATCTGGTCATAAATTGTCAACAGCCGTTAAGGTCGGTTTGAAATCCGGTACATCGGCTGGTGAGTCGTCAGATACCACCAAGTGAGAAAAGTTCCTTTTTGATACTCTTGGATCAATCTTAGGAAAAGCTATCAAATTTGAGCAACGATTAGAAACCAAATCCAAAATTCAGTTGCTTTCTATTTTTCCATTTGCTTCTGAAGTTTGTAATTCTACTAGCTTTGACTTCATACATTTTCCTTTTTTGTTTCCCTTAAAAGTTTTTTCGGCCTAATTGATTTTGTCTTATTTTTCTTCAACCTACTAACTTTACTAACCTAATTTTGGGTCGCTCGAGGGAACCATAATACGTATACTTTCCTCCGGCTTGCACAAAACGTTAAAATTTCAGAATAGATTTTATAGTTCAAAATTTTTCATGATAATTTTATTTTTGCTCAAAAATTGTTTTTGAATCTTCCTTAAACGCCGTCGAATGTGTTTCTGGGCTTGTGTTTTTTTTGCAAATAGAACATCATTAAAAACATTTTTTTAAAGTTTTTAATTGTCGTTTCTTTGAAAATTTTTTCAGTTTTCTTTTGACTTAGTGGCTTTCCTTTTCTTTCCTGTCTGTTAGCTTTCAATGCTATTTTTGCGGCTCCGCTTTGCCTCTGCGTTGAATATATTTTATGAACATTCGTGAAATAGATTTAACCTGATGACGCGGCTATTTTTGCCGATTGCAGCAGCATTAGTTTTCGTTAAACTTCTCCGATCTTAATTTCTCTCCACACCAATTTCAGTTTGTTAAGAATGACGCTGCATTTATTAGGGTGACAAAACTTGTCAATTTTTTAGTGGAAAACTGAAAACTTGTGCATCAAGACTATCAATAAGATAAATTTAGATGCGAGTTTACTTCATAAGTTTGTTCAATTTGCTCACTTTGCAGGAATTGAGATTGATGGCAGGAATTGGGATCGAAGTTGGGTTACAGGAATTGAGATCGAAGTTGGTGACAGGAATCGGGATTGATGTTGGGTTAGGAAATGGGATCGAAGTTGGGTTACAGGAATTGAGATCGAAGTTGGTGACAGGAATTGAGACTGGTAGCTGATCAACGTAGCTGAGATTGAGCTTGTTGGCGAACACTTACTAAATAAAAGAATAAATTAAAACGTTACCACATATAAACATATATGTAAATGGAATCCGCAAACAAAATGCGGATTCCGCTTACAATTTGCGGATTCCACTTACAATTTGCGGATTCCACTTACAGTTGCGGATTCCGCAACAGCTCAATTTAACGATACAAATGTCTTATCATTTGTTTGTGGATTCCACAAACTGTTATGGATTCCGCAAATACAGTTGCGGATTCCGCAAGTTCGCCTATTTTTGGAGCGATCATGAGCGGTACAATCATTTAGGTATTTGTTTGTGGAATCCAAAACAGCATAGAAGATCAAAGAAAAGTAGCAATGTTGCAGATTCCGCGACAAATCTGATTTTGGCCTGTTGCGGATTCCGCTTACAATGCAGAGAATGCACAGTTTGGCCTCTTAATGGTTGGCTTTTGAAAACGTTGCAAAGGGTGAGAAACTGGAAAAGACGCCTTTTTTGCTGACTTTGTCTTTCTCTTTGCAAAAAATGTAGTATCAGGCACTTCCCGGATGAAATACTTTGAGGAAAAAGACGTTGGAGCAGCTGTTCATTCTTATCGTGGAGCTACTTTTCGTGACCTCATAGATGTTCTACAACAAAATCCTGCGCTAAATTATTATACTATCGCTATAATTGCTAGATTTAATGACCACTCGGCAGATTGTGTGTGTTTTGGTAAAAATTGTCAATGTTACATTGGTCTCATTACTTATAAGTTTCAGTCCGCATCCATAAACGTCCTCAAACTAATTGCTACCTCAAGCAATCACTTTATTAATAAAAGGCTACTCTAATTGAACTTAAACCTTTTCAATTGAACTTAAGCCTTTCTTCACCTCACCCCTAATATCTTTCATGATAGAATTATAATTTCTCCAGTTTTTGGTTTTGGAAGTTCTATTTTGTGAAGTTGGCATTCATTTCTCATATTACGGTTTTTATATTTTCGTTAAGGTTTTATAAATTTTAATGCACCTTTAATATGTGACAGGCCTACCTTTCTCATATTACGGTTTTTATTTTTTCGTTAAGGTTTTATAAATTTTAATGCGCCATTAATACGTCACATAGGCTCCGCTTTGCCTCTGCGTTGAATATATTTTATGAACATTCGTGAAATAGATTTAACCTGATGACGCGGCTATTTTTGCCGATTGCAGCAGCATTAGTTTTCGTTAAACTTCTCCGATCTTAATTTCTCTCCACACCAATTTCAGTTTGTTAAGAATGACGCTGCATTTATTAGGGTGACAAAACTTGTCAATTTTTTAGTGGAAAACTGAAAACTTGTGCATCAAGACTATCAATAAGATAAATTTAGATGCGAGTTTACTTCATAAGTTTGTTCAATTTGCTCACTTTGCAGGAATTGAGATTGATGGCAGGAATTGGGATCGAAGTTGGGTTACAGGAATTGAGATCGAAGTTGGTGACAGGAATCGGGATTGATGTTGGGTTAGGAAATGGGATCGAAGTTGGGTTACAGGAATTGAGATCGAAGTTGGTGACAGGAATTGAGACTGGTAGCTGATCAACGTAGCTGAGATTGAGCTTGTTGGCGAACACTTACTAAATAAAAGAATAAATTAAAACGTTACCACATATAAACATATATGTAAATGGAATCCGCAAACAAAATGCGGATTCCGCTTACAATTTGCGGATTCCACTTACAATTTGCGGATTCCACTTACAGTTGCGGATTCCGCAACAGCTCAATTTAACGATACAAATGTCTTATCATTTGTTTGTGGATTCCACAAACTGTTATGGATTCCGCAAATACAGTTGCGGATTCCGCAAGTTCGCCTATTTTTGGAGCGATCATGAGCGGTACAATCATTTAGGTATTTGTTTGTGGAATCCAAAACAGCATAGAAGATCAAAGAAAAGTAGCAATGTTGCAGATTCCGCGACAAATCTGATTTTGGCCTGTTGCGGATTCCGCTTACAATGCAGAGAATGCACAGTTTGGCCTCTTAATGGTTGGCTTTTGAAAACGTTGCAAAGGGTGAGAAACTGGAAAAGACGCCTTTTTTGCTGACTTTGTCTTTCTCTTTGCAAAAAATGTAGTATCAGGCACTTCCCGGATGAAATACTTTGAGGAAAAAGACGTTGGAGCAGCTGTTCATTCTTATCGTGGAGCTACTTTTCGTGACCTCATAGATGTTCTACAACAAAATCCTGCGCTAAATTATTATACTATCGCTATAATTGCTAGATTTAATGACCACTCGGCAGATTGTGTGTGTTTTGGTAAAAATTGTCAATGTTACATTGGTCTCATTACTTATAAGTTTCAGTCCGCATCCATAAACGTCCTCAAACTAATTGCTACCTCAAGCAATCACTTTATTAATAAAAGGCTACTCTAATTGAACTTAAACCTTTTCAATTGAACTTAAGCCTTTCTTCACCTCACCCCTAATATCTTTCATGATAGAATTATAATTTCTCCAGTTTTTGGTTTTGGAAGTTCTATTTTGTGAAGTTGGCATTCATTTCTCATATTACGGTTTTTATATTTTCGTTAAGGTTTTATAAATTTTAATGCACCTTTAATATGTGACAGGCCTACCTTTCTCATATTACGGTTTTTATTTTTTCGTTAAGGTTTTATAAATTTTAATGCGCCATTAATACGTCACATAGTGGCGCGGCTGCGGCGGTCACTACTCTGCAGCTTGAGTTTATGCTGGTTGAACAGTAAACAATCAATCCATAAATTCGTTGGTTCAAATTTCATCAGCCGAAAAATTTGACAATAATTCGAAAAAACTTTGTTAAATTTTTTAAGACTATGGTCGGAACATTCTGTGCTACTTGCACAGTAACCGGCTATCCTTGTTCAAAATTCATTTTGTTATCTTTTGTTTTTTTCCACGTTTTAAAATTTGGTTGTAATAGTCAGTGGTAAAGCAGCAACCAGCTGCAGTTGTCACATGCTTTTTGTTGCAGATAATTTATCTCATGTTTTCCTATTTTTTTGTTCAAAATGTTTCAGTTAACATAAGCTCGGCTTAAAACCATAACAGTTTAATTACCATTTCTTGCATGCTGGCGGCTTTTTTCAATGGTTTAAGGTTCTATGGCAGTTTTGAGTTCCCGGAAGTCTAATTGAATTCGGTATATTCTTTGTAAAAAGTTGAAATTTTATACACATGCCTTTTTTTAGCTTTAACATTCCGATGCAACTTACCTTTTCGAAGCAATTCGCGTAAGTTATTTTGCTGAAATTAGGTTATTTATTTTGTTTCATTTTTTTTGTTTTGTGAGTTCTGATTTTCCGGAAATCTTATTATTTTTCTAAATTTTGATTTTTTATGTTCCTGTTGCGTAGTTCACCGTTAGAAGATCTTATGAGTCAAGACGTTAAAAATATTGTAGCATAAGCTGTTGTATCCAATATGTAATCACAAATACCACAAATAATCATTGAAATGAGCCGAGTGATGTATCAAACAAAAGCCCTCTCAGTTAAGAGTTTTAGTTCAAACTCGAGCGAGTAAAGTGATCGAATAACAATCGTTATATAAAAACTTTGCTTTTGGCTAGGATTTCAGTCAAAGATTTCTCTAAATAGAAAATTGGTTTAGGAAATTTCCTTTAGCGTTTTCTTGGCTCTATAGGTTGTCTAAAAATTTTAATAATATTGCGCAAAAAATTTTGTTTTTTATTCCTATGAAGACAAATCGATTGTGCCTAACTCACTAATTTGCTACCCGTTTGTCTAACTTTCTTGTCACACTGCGAAAAAAACGACACTACATAGAAGTATGAATGTGATGTTATTCTTTGGCGACTTTCGGCTTTGGTTCGATTCAAATTTGAATCTATTTTAGAATGTAAATAATTATAGTATTTTTAATTTGAGATATTTTGACGGCAATACTGATTTTAGAATCAGAGATAAAGCCCCTTATTGATTTTCTGACCGATTTTTATTTCTTGGATTTTTAATTTTAGTCTGTCGTGCTTTTCTTAAAGTTGCTCGAATTTGCTTTTTTTCCTTTCATTTTTAGCCAGCGACTTTAATTTTGTTTCGACCAATGTTAAAAAAGGAATTAAGTATTCGGCTGTATAAAAAAGCTCTACTAAAGACCAGGTGTCACAAAGAATGGTACCTCAGAAGTTGAGTAAAGCAGCCATTGAGGTTCTTTCAAACGTGCTTCGAGCTGAAATTCCAAGTTCCAAGTTCTTGACTTGGAAATAAATTGTCTCGCGTTTTATTTGCACAACTGCCACATTTCGTAATATGGCTTCGAAGCTCTACCTTTGCAATGTGATTCAGAAGCGCTAGTCAATTGATATCTTGCATTCTAAGTCTGTTTGTGATGTAGGACTGAGGTTGACTTGGAGAATCTTTTGACCACAGCTGACTTGGAAGAAATCTACGCTGCTCTTCAGGTTTATTTTTAGTGCCATCATTTTATTTATTCAGCATGTGGTTTTGTTGACAACACCACATTGCTTATTTAAATGTTAAAAAAAGCAAAAAAAACCACATCAGTAGTATGCAAAAGATTGTTTTATAATTGAGTGTTATTTATTTTAGGCCGAGGGCAATGGGTACGACAACCGGCTTAGTCTGGACAGAAGCCAACTGAAGGAGTTCCTCACAATCGTCATCCGGAAGGGAAGCGAAGAACAGGTGAATGTTTTGGCCCTTCTCCTTCTGTAAATTAAAAAAACTGTGTATTAAACAATTCCAGGTTTATTGAATGTCCAATACCTATTAATTTTAGTTTTGGTACATTAGCTCTTAAGATGAGTGCCTATACGGTAAAGTGAATGTTTTTGCACAACCTGAGGTCGCCAATATCTAAATAGATTTCTTAAATGTGTAATTTTAAGATTTGCTCAAATTTCAAGAAGTTATAAGATGAAAGAATGTGCCGTAGAAAATTTGCAGGGCCTTTTTTGTTTAGTTCAATGAGTTCTTCGACAAAGTAGATGCTACCAAATTGGGAAAAATAGACTGGGTAAGTTACCGACTTTTATTTTCTGATTATCTCAAATGCTACTCCCATGAGTAGACTCCAAACTCTTGACCTTCATCCATGTATACCCAATCAGCTATCTAATAAGTTATGTAATATTTAAAAACCAAATTGATGGTTATAAATGTACTTTGTTTTGACCTTGTTGCTGTTGCGCGTGTGTAGTATCGGATAGCGGACCACATCTTCTCGGAATTCGAGGGGAAGGATGACAAGAACAAGCAGACCACTGTCCCCAACTGGAGACCCAAGAGGGAACTGCAGCAGAAGTATGAGTCATATTTCATTAAGAGCACTGACTGTCAACTTATGAAACAATAAACTGAAACTCGATTCAGAGACTCGTAGTTATTGCTCTGACCACTCTCGAAATAGTGGAAAGGAACTATGGCGTAGGGTGGTTATTTTTGTTTCGCGAGCTGTTAGTTACCTTCATATGGTCAAGCGATGGTCAAAGAAAAAAGTTCAAATGGTCAAATTTGGATTCATAGCCCTAACATCGATGATTCGGATCTGACGCTGTTTCGGATCTAAAAAATCTAAGCAATAGAAAAGTTACAATTTCTCCATGTTTTTCTCAATGATTTGTGTGGTCAAAATTTTTTAGGCCACTGTCACAGCGAATAAGCTACAGTTTTATTTATCTGTAATATTTTTTTTCTGCAAAGAATAAAGAAAGAAAGAATTTATTTTTCCGATTGATAAATATAGTCATTAGCAAAACAAAAGTAATTTCATCAATGCATTTATCATCGGAATGGACAACTAACGAGACCATTGATCCACATAAATGTTGCCCTTATATAGCACACATACTGAATTTAACATCAAACAAAAGAAAGAAAATAAGTTTTTTTTTTTTTTTATGAAGAAATTAACAAAAAAACAAAAAATACGTGATTTTGATTTTTACCTAATTGAAAACATATTGTTCTTCATAGCGCTACCTATAGCAGTTCAGCTGATGCTCCGGCATGGGAACACGTCGCTTCAAAAAAAAATATTGAAGAAAATTTTCTAAGTTTTCGGGAAAATAATTATTGAGAAAAAATTCAAAAAATCATAAAAAGGGCCATATCTCCTAAACTAAAAGGTTCTGGAGGGTCATATTTTTTCACATAAATCGCAACCTATAGTTGATTGTCCTGTAGCATTTAACCAAGGTACTGAAATTACACAAAAATTAAAAACTGAAAACTAAAGTTGCCAGCTCGTTGTTACCTAGCAGGTATCCATTCTTAAATTTATGATAAAAACTTGTAATTTTTTCAATTTTTGCATTTTCTATCCCATCTTCGAGTAAGCCTCTAGTTTTCAATACGTTGTAAAGCCTAGACCCCCGATAGGCAATTGATTGCCGTTCAAATCGTTTTTTTCTAAATGATTCTTTAAGGAGGTTTAAATTAGCCCTACGCGTTACTTTAGTGGGATTTTCGAATTCAAACACATTATTCAAAAAATCCTCACTGTGTAGTTTGTTTACTGATCGGAGTACAAATTTTAGTAATTCATACACATGAAGCTCGTGCACGGTTAGCAGTTGATTTCTAATAAAAATGTCATCCGATTGTTCGCGACGATTTCGGAAGTAAATCAATTTTAAGATCTTTCTTTGAAGTATGTAAATCGGCATTAAAGAAGAGTAGCTTGAACAACCGTAAACAAGAATACCGTATTGGATAGTTGATTTAATGTTAGTTCGATAGTAGTCTAAAAGCTGATGACGTGGAGCAAAATAACGTAATTTTGAAATAATGCCTGACTGTTTCGCTAATCGCATTCTTACATAATCAATTTGCGAAAAGAAGGATAATTTTGAGTCTAAATATATCCCTAGGTATTTACAAACAGGTTCAGTTTTAATAGCACAGCTGTTTAATTGAAAGGTCATTGAATTGGAAGTCTTAATATTCATTTGTACTGTTTTATCCATATTAATAACTAATTTATTGGCATTTAGCCAGTAGTTCAAGTAAGAGATGTCATTTTCAATTGCAACATTTACTTGTCCTAAAGCAGTGACATTGGTGTCGTCTGCAAAGAGGACAACTTCAGATGATTTGCAAACATGAGGAAGGTCATTTATATATATAAGAAAGAGTAAGGGACCCAAAATTGATCCTTGAGGAACACCGCATTTTATAGAAGACCAGTTTGAAGAAACGCCATTTATTTCTACACGTTGTTTTCTGTTCTTTAAATACGATTCAAACCAATCATAAGTAATTCCTCTGATTCCATAGGACTCCAACTTCTGTAATAAAAGAGAATGTTCAATTGTATCAAATGCTTTTTTCAAATCAAAAAAGAAAGTAACAACATTTTGATTACCACATGACCGCATTTTTTCAGTAAAATCAACGAGTGCGTCTATTGTACTATGCTTTGACCGAAACCCAAATTGTCTACTATAAATAAGTGAGAATTTTTCAAGATAATTGTAAATACGAGTGTACATGGCTCTTTCAAATATTTTACTCCAGACAATTAATAGCGATATTGGTCGGTAATTATTCTCATCAACTCTGGAACCACTTTTATGCATGGGTATGACTTTTGCTCTTTTTAATTTATCAGGAAAAATGCCTTGGCTGAAGGATTTATTTATTAACAGGGTTAAATACGGAACGGTAGCAGATACCGACAATTTAACTAAAATGTTATTAATATTGTCATCACCCGACGACGATTTATTATCAAGTTTGTTAATTATTTGTTCTACTTCAAGTTCAGTAGCCTGATAAAGAAACATTGAGTGTCCCACTTGTTTAAGAGGTGGTAATGGTAGACAGTCCATGTCTTTTTTAAGTTGAGTGCCAATTTCGGAGAAAAAAAACATTAAATCGTTCAGCAACATCAAAAGTTGATGGAGTTACAGAGTGCTGCTGACATGACTCTAGTATTGGTACGTTTGCATCATATATATTTTTACCACTTAAATCATTGAGTAATTTATATGTTTGTCTTGAGTCCCCAATACATGCAGAGAATTTGTTACGGTAAAACTTCCGTTTTGCTCCTTTAATTTCTTTTTCTAGCTTAAATCTTAAGTTCTTAAAATTTTCCAATAAATTGGAATTATTTGGTTGACATTTCCATGAACGATGTGCTCTGTTTCTTTTGGTTCTTAAATTTTTCAACTTGTTGTTGAACCATTTCGGTTTTTTTAAATCAGTAATTGTGTTTTCCCGCATGGGTGCAAAATTTGTGGTAACTTTATTAAAAACCGCAGAAAAAATGTTAAATGCTGCTGATGGATCTGCAATATTGCAGATTTCTAACTCTTTTTCATTCAGTTCAATTTGCAATGAGTTTATGTACTTATTGGATTTATCTTTATCTTTGACAAAATTAAGGTCACGAAAAGTCTGAGTTTTTTCATTTTTTATACTAGGTGGAGTCCATTGCAAGAGGACAGGAAAATGATCAGAGAAATTTTGGTATTCTAAAGTGTGTTGATAGGCTTCATTCAGGTTTTGATAAATGAAATGATCTAGACAAGTGTTTGATGTTTGAGTAATTCTTGTTGCTTTTGTATCACCTAGTTCGAATCCATTTGCAAAAATACAGTTCATGTAATTGTTCGATAGTTGATTAATCTTTGATATGTCAATGTTAATGTCGCCACAGATTATAAAAGGAGTTGATGGCGAATAGTTTTCTTCTAAAAAATAGAGCAATTATAACAAATCGTTTCATAACAAATTTCGGGTTATCTTATATTGAAAGTTCATTCAAAGAATGTTCTTTTGAAGATTTTCTCGAAGAAATTGCCAATAGGCCTTTCCAAAGTATGACGGAATCCTGTATTAGTATTTACTAATTGGTTGCATTGTTTTTTAACTGGCTTGTTTATCCATCACTGTTCATTACTAGTCCCCACCGAGACGTGATCCAGAAGTTGATCTGGTGGGACAAGTTGAAGAAGTACATCTCAGTGTCTAAGGAGGGCGTGGTGGCTCTGTGGAACGAACACAACTGCGAACTCAGCCACGCCAAGAAGGTCAGTCAGCTCTTAACAAATAATTCAAATCAAGTGAGGCCGGGGTGGGTTTGGTTGAGGGGCAGGATTTTTATTGGGCTGAGAGAGGTTTCTGAAAATGCTTTGGCGGGGTGAAGTGGGGTGTGTTTGGGGTTATATTTAATCGTTTTCTTAAAGTGTCTTGGCTCAAGTTAAGCTTGGCTAAAGTCAAGCATCCAGGCGCGATTCTAGGATTTTCTCAACGGGGGGGCACTTTCTAACATAATGCGATTTTCCGAAAATGAGTCACAGCTGTTAAATTCACGCCTCATTTTGTCGCCTTTTTCAGAAATATGTGTGATTAGCGGTTCTGGATGAATACTTTTGAAATACAATGATGCGAAAACTTGAGTCCTTTGAAATTCACACATGTTATTAACACTTGTTTTTTTGGCCGCAAAATTCAGTATATATTTGAACGCTAAATTTACAAAATCATTCCACTCAAATTCACTTTCAGAGTAATGTCTAAACGCAGTTCGACAACAAATCCGTCACCGAGGTCATCCTCAAAGATTACGTCCTTCTTTGGTTTTTCAACTCCACAAGCATCACAATCCAGTGAGTTTCAATTTTTATTTTCATTATTTTTTCAATCAAAATTTTGTTTTATTGGTTAGCGTTTTGATCGTTTGTGGAACTCTACGTTTTGTTTCAGGCGACCTATCCCAGTCTCCCGTGACAGAATCAGATGTCGTGACCGAGAATCAATCTAGCACTTCTGGTACCCAACCTGCAGTCCATGAGGCTTCAACGGACACCCCTGCTGACATTGGTGTTTTTGTGGGCGATCCTTCGTCAGCAACTGATGGACAGAAATATGCTCTTCTGAAGACTCGACAAATACCCGTTTTCCCCGGAAACAACTGGCCGCATGAGACAAGATCGGGAAAAAAGAGACACCTCAATGCACGGCATTTCGAGATTCATGGATCGTGGCTGTGTTACTCACATGAACCAGCTGGACTGTTCTGCAAAGTCTGCCTGTTCTTCGCAGATCGGGACGCGGTCAGACGACGAAATGGCAGCACAGCGCCCGTGACCTTCATCAACAAAGGATGCACCCGATACAGCAGGCTCACAGGCAGTGAGGGATACTTCGACGCCCACTGCAACACAAACTACCACAAGGACGCCTCCCTGGTCGCAGTAGATTTTATCTACGCATTCGAGCATCCCGCCAAGTCAATAGATCAACAACTGGACAAACAGGTTCATCAGAGAGTTGCAGAAAACCGGAAACGCCTCAAGCCCATCGTCAGCACAATTGTTTTTGCTGGTCGGATGGGACTTCCTCTTGAGCACTGTGATCCAGCTTTCTTCTCGAATGTCAGTGTTCTTCTTACGGTGCTTGCGACCCTTCCAGTGACAACTTGCTCAGCAGAGCGCTCCTTTTCTGTTTTGCGTCTCCTTAAGACGTATCTGAGGTCCAGAATGGGAGAAGAGCGTCTGACGGGACTTGCACTGATGTACGTACATTCAGACCTCAAGATTGACCTGGACGACATTATCAACCGTTTCAGCCAGAAGAACCGACGACTAGAGTTCCAACGATAAACTCATTCCATTTTTTGAACTCATTCCATTTTACATTCCCTTTGGTTATAAACTCTCTGAAATATGAAATATTTCGCTTTAACTGATTTTTCAAGGAAAAAATAGTCATTAAATGGTGCGCCGAAGGCGCTTTTCGGAAAATTATGTACTCAAATATGTATGAAAAAACTGGTTCTTTTTTTGGTTCCCTTCAAAAGGGGGGGGGCACGTGCCCCCGGTGCCCCCCCCCCCCCCTAAAATCGCGCCTGCAAGCATCGCAGCCCCAACTTCCTCAACTTAGTAGGAAATATATTTTTTCAAATAATCTCAAAAGAGAACGGTGTGTTCGGTTTGCTTCTTTTTTCGCCCAATTGTTGGCAAAGATTGCAGCTTCTACCCTTCGCGTTAGTCGAGTTATACTATGAAAAATGTCTTCCGATGAAATTGATTAGGTGATGGTAATTTCGTGATGTCATTTATGTTTCTCTTCGCTGTTCAAGTTGATTCCGGATAATATCAAGCAGAGGGATCTTTGGGTGACAGACTGTGTGTTGATGAGTGGACTGGGAAAACTGGCCATGTCCAACACCTGCAAGGAGATATGTAAGGAAACATCCAGTGACATTCAATTGGTTAAACATAATTTAATATAGATCATACGCGCCTAAAGCAAAGTGAAGGATTCTGCATCTTCTTCGATTAAATGTATTATTAACATCAGAAGAAGTACTGTTTGACATTGGTGTTTTTAAATAAAGTATTGACCAACTAGGTGAATCATAATATTTTTCAAAATCCATTTTCAAAACTAGGTGAATCATAATATTTTTCAAAATCCATCTCAAACAGCACCATACTGGTCTCACCGGACCCCATTTAGATGTGCATTTTCGTCTTTTTTTTCAATCACCGCGCTAAATTGACGTGTTTGTTGTAATTTGACTGCTTTTTCAAGCTCCAGACTCCAGAAGCTCCTTCGTTTAACTGGATGACATTTTTATCTGGTTCTTTTTAAAGTTTAAACTCTGAAAAAAAATTTTTAAAACGTGTTCTTTCAAAAAGCATTAGTTCATGTGCAGATGTTGTGTTTGAGGCATCTATGATTTGAACACTAAGATGGAGTTTCCCTGCGTATACAGAATCCACAACCTCAGAAACACACCATACAGTCTGCACTTCTGGTAAATATCATTTGCAAACTTATCCATCTCAATAATTTGATTTGTAGCAGCTGACAAAAAATTCAGTTAGATTCCAAATAATATACAAGACTGCTCGTATCAGGGCAAAGCCCTGAATGTTCCGACTGCCTTTTAAGGTTTATGGAGCAGCAGTAATAACATAAAAAATTTAATGAAATAAAATAAAATGAAATTTTTTTTTCCAAAATTTGAAATTTTTTATGAAAATCATCCCCCCACACGCCATATAAAGTACGAAAAAGAGAGATTTCGTTCCTTGTAACAAATCAATTATGGCAAATAAGCTTCGTTCAACCAATTTGGAACGATTTATAAGACGGATTAAATCTCCGCTTACGCGTTAATAGCGCGAAGTATATCGAGCGTTAATTGTCCCAAATTGGTCAAAATTGCCAAAATGGCAATCTTTAAACCCTCATAACTTTACGAAAAATGATCACAGGTGAAATATCTTTTCAAATTCAAGTTCAGGACAACAATGGCTTTCGAATGATATAAAAAAATTCTGTCAAAAATGGCTAGTTAAAAAGTCGAAATTTGTCTGAAGAAAAAAAAAACCCACCCCGAGCACAAATATTCCGTTACTTTCGTATCGAAAGTCGGAACAATAAGTTCATTGCAGTCTAAATAGGATACTAGAACAGTGTGCAAAGTTATGGGAACATTCTCTGACGCGTACACAGTAACTCGCTACTATTGCATAGGTATTAATGAGTGTATAATATTTTCTATCATTCGTCGCCATATCGTTGTTCTTGTGAATGCAGGCAGAGCTCCGCCAATCCTAATGTCTCCATCTTGTCCCTGGGCGACACCAAGGGGAGGATCTTCTGCCTGAACTTCGAGCAGTCTACCGTCACCCTCTTCGACAGACCCCCCAAGCCAGCCGGAGAAGAGAAGGGTGAGTCATCGTCCTCATGTGCTATTTTAGTCCCATCAAGAGATCTACCGGATCTCTTTTACAATATTCTCGATTGCAAGAGCCATTTTATGCTTCACTGGTTACAGAGTGGATATTCTATGCTTTGAGCGAAATTCTGACGCTACCCTTAAGAAAATCATGGCAAGATAGCATTAAGCAATTGTGAAGTAGCAAAGAGCTCTGAACTATGATTCTTCTAGTATCTTTTAAATCCTTAAAATATCATACTTATGGATCATTATATCGTTGTTTTTGAGTCGTTATCTTCAGCGTCTAGCTCGTTTAATGGAGCAGTGGCAATTATTTTAGTCGCAAATTGATAAATTCTAGATATCATTACAAATTACGTATGAATATGGATTTTTTAGGCTGTGGTTTTCCTTGTTGATCCTTTGGTGCCGTATAAAATACTCTTGATTTCTTTCTATGTTTTTATAGAATCCACTCTGCAAGTGGACTTCCAGGAACTGGAGATGGCGGATCCTCCCTTTGAGAAGGAGAAGGAGAACAGGATCTGCTGGCTCTCCTGGCACCAGTGGCACCAGCCGGAACACTGCAAGAGATACCTCCAAGAAGAGGCCAGGCGAATCAACATGCGCAACAGCACAAACAATGTAAACAACAACAGCAGCAACTTCGGAGTAATGACCAAAAGTGAGTAATTGCATTTTTGAAGTTTGTGTCATGGGTCGACAATAATCCAAAAGCGTATCGATTTTTGTTTTAGAAAATGCATTCTGTCACAATAACAAAAAACTTCAGACAAAATACTTGTTGTTCCGACTTTCTATACGAAAGTAACGGAATATTTGTGCTCGGGGTGGGGTTTTTTGTTTTTCTTCAGACAAATTTCGACTTTTTAACTAGCCATTTTTGACGTAATTTTTTTATATCATTCGAAAGCCATTGTTGTCCTGAACTTAAATTTGAAAAGACATTTCACCTGTGATCATTTTTCGTAAAGTTATGAGGGTTTAAAAATTGCCATTTTGTCCATTTTGACCAATTTGGGACAATTAACGCGCGGTATAATTCGCGCCATTAACGCTCAAGCGGAGAATTAATCCGTCTTATAAATCATTCCAAACTGGTTGAAAGAAGCTTATTTGCCATAATTGATTTGTTACAAGGAACAAAATCTATGTTTTTGTACTTTATATGGCGTGTGGGGGGATGATTTTCATAAAAAATTTCAAATTTCATTTAATTTTTTATGTTATTACTGCTGCTCCATAAACCTTAAAAGGCAGTCGGAACATTCAGGTCTTGTTTTCTTTGCGTCTATTCATGACAGCTTTAGTCCAAATTTTTTGACAGATAATAAATTGAAACGCCTGAAAAAGCTGTCACATTAAAACTGGCTTCGCAAATTATTTCTAATTGTTGGAAAAATAAAATGATCTTTTTCGAGCAAAAAAAGCAATATTTTTAACAAATGTGTCTCGACAAACGAAGTACCTATTGTTCATTTTCTCTAGCTGACGTTGGGTCCGACAAGAAGGACCAAGTGGTGCCTATTAGGAAGGTAGCCATAGCAACTGCATCTGGCATCAAGCCAGGTGGTCGAGCTGATTCGGCCAAGAAGCAGAGCCGGAGTCCCCAGCCACAGCCAGGTGGCACAGAACGACAGATGACAGAGGTGGGGACTATATAAAAACACTAATTATAGTCCATAACTTCATGATTACTAATTACTTTCAATAAAGCTTACAAGTAGCATTCAGCAGTACATCAATCTAATTACCCAGTCCATTAGGTGCGCAACGTAGAAAATAAACAAATATAAAAACGATGAAATTAAACAAATGAAATTGAGGAAAAGACGATAAGGTTTTATTTTCTGTAACTTGAAATGTCAGGTTTAAATATTTTAACTGCCGTGCCAGTATTGATTTTTAAGCAATTTTTCTTCTTAAAGCTCATCTGCTGTTTCTCAAAGGAAATTAGTGCCAGGATTACCCATTTTCTCCGGAAGCTTGGTTTTGCCGGTTTTTCTCTCAAGTTTGCCCCCTTTCCCATTTCTGATATCAGGTTTTTCAATCTATATAAAAGACAAAAAAGTTCGTTTTTCTTGAAAGTAATTGATATTTATGTTTTAATTTGATCAATTATTGCTGCTAAAATTTGTTTTTTTTTTTCAATTTTAAAATAGCTCATACATTAAAACAATCTTTCAGCCTACAAGGATTTGAAAAGTTTATAAATATAATGTGAAAATAAACTATTCAATTGCTTCCCGAGTGATGCCATGCCGTGCCGTGGACTCTCGGTTTTTCTCCACGGCTATTTCAGTGACCGTTTCGTTTCTACTTGTCAACTTGAAGTTTTTTTTCATATCAGCAACACGTGCGCATATTTTTGAATACAGTCGAGTAAAGGATTCTGGTGATACATTTTCTCTTTTTTGTTCTACAATTTTCGAAATAAAGTTCTATTTGAAGATTTCTCTATATTTTAATTAGCAATAATCGAATTTTTTTCCAACCATTAAAAAGGGGAGGAACTTTGTATTTGGGTGTGTTTTAGTGTTTTGTTCCGACCATTGAAAACCAGTTTAATGTCTTAAATTGAAAACTAATCATTAGCCTAATACAGCAGTTTCAAGCTTCAAATCTCCCCTGAACTAAAGTTTATGAAAAGTTGAAATGTTTTCAATTTTTTTTGTTTTTAAATATTTTACTGAAGTTACTGTTTACGGAGAGTCGGTGCGTTCTGCTCAGAAACTTTGCTGTTCCTTTAAAAATTTTCTTAACGATGTCTTCTCAAGCTCATGAATTATGTCAACAAGTGTTGGCTTGAGAGTAAACATTTCCAAGGTTAAGTCAAGGATAGCTGGTTGCCGTGAAAGCAGTCCAGAAAATTCCGACCACAAAAAAAAACAAATAAGCTGTATCAGAACCAAAAACGCAAAAACTATGTGTTTTACTGAGTTTGTTCTCAACTAAGAGGTTTCGTTTTTGGTACGAATTCGCAAGACAGTCCCCTCTGATGTCGAGTGGTGGGTTATTGTTCACTTGAATCTGAAACCCTTTATTATTTAAAAAAAAGTCCATGAGAATTTCGCTATTCAGATTGAATTTTAGAGGTCAGATGCTGGGCGTTTATTTTTGTTTTTTGAGCTTTTTGCTAGTTTTGTGTATATATTTAGAAATAACAAGCTTCATAATTTACTTTCAGATGACAAATGCGACTCAAGTGAGTAATTTATGGAGTTCCCAAGCTTATCAATCAGCGTTTTTACCCCTTTAATTTAACCCACTCGCATATAAGCCCAGAATTAGATAACCCCACTACAATTTAACCCCGTTTTTATACCGATTAATAGAATTTAAAAAATGCTTCAAAGGGATTCGGAACCATAGCGTTGGTAAATATCGGAGCTTCAATTGCCATAATTTTGCGAAACAAAACGAAATAACACACACTCCGCTAAATGCGGTTTAGATTTGAACAGAAATGAGCTGACCGATATTTTAGACTTTGATATGAACTTGAAATTTATACCAACCGGCATGATTCAAATTAGTATAAAAAATTGATTAAATTTTTTTTCAAAAATGAACTTGGTATCGAAAATAATCCTGCCATTAGTAGATTAATTGGCTGAATTTAAATGAAAGGTAGAATGGAAACTGGTTGTAAGAAGAAAGTTGATCTAATTCAAGCTTTGTTCAAACAAGCCTGTTAGTATATCAGGGCAAAGCCCTGAATGTTCCGACTGTGCCTTAATTCATATGGAATAGTTTTTGGGAAAAGAAAATATTTTAAAAAAAATACATTTTGGAAAATAGCAAAGTGTAAAATTTTGAGTCGTACAAAATTAATACGACCAATTAGCTAGCCTCAATTCAATTTAGAATGATTTTATTGAGAGGCATAATTCGCCACGCATAAATTTTTTGCGTTACGCTCTCAGCATTATGAATAAGTTCTTCAAAGTGCGCATATTTTAGGACAAAAAATGGAAAATTTGGCATTTTTCAAACCCCCAGAACTTTACAAAATATTATTGGAGGTGAATTTCTTTTTACATTTGAGCTCAGGAAGTCGATATGGGGCTTAAAGATCTTCAATGGAGTATAAAAAATTTTTGTTGAAAATTATTTTTTCGACCGGTTAAAATTGACGGAATAAAAAAACCGCACCAAGCATAAATTTTCAGTTTTCCTAAATAACAATAACAATCATTTCATAATAAAATCTATCTAATTTTTTGAACCATTTAAAGTTTGTCAAGTTCTTTTGAATTGTCGGCATACAACGCAATATCCAAAGGGTTTGCCAGCCCCTAGTCCCTACCTAGCGTCCCACCAAAGGAGCAATATTTCCGGGATTAAACTGCTAGAGACAGTATTTTTTAAATGTGAGTTAAGACAGTGCGTTTTCTTTGTCTCAGAGAGGCTGCCCAAAGACGTCTTTTCTCAAAAAATTGACCAACAAAGTTTTAGTTGAGTTCCAAAAAATATTGAGATTTTGGACGGAAGCCTCTTCACATTTTAGGTGCTAAAGCGAACTCGTCGGTTGTTTTATGATCAGTTTTAATCCGAGTTTTTTTGATTTTTCTCATATGGTTTCTCTGGTTTTACTCAGTACACTTAGTTGGAAAACTGCTCTGGTTGTAAAATCACCTAATTTGCAACAAATTATCGACATTGAGAAGGGGTTAAACTGTGGAAGGGTTATATTATTACGGGGCTATAAATTAGGGGTGTAAACATTATAGGTTAATTAATGTGGGGTAAAAGTTGGGACACTGATTTATGTATCTTCATTTATTCCTCTGATGAAACTTGCTGATTTGATGTTGCATACTTACCCCTTTTTAACCTGTTTAATGTACCCTATGCAACCTGAGGTCAATCCCTGCTTCTTTTTGTTTTTTTTTTTATTTATGTGCACACTTATTCCCTGATAAATGATTTTTTTGACGGAAGTTTTTTTTTCAACTAACATATCAGTCCTCTTTTTAATTTGCACGTTGGAAAATTTTACCTTCATTTTGTTTCATACTGCCCATTCTCTAAAACTCGAAAGGGCTAAGTTTTTGTTAAACAGGATAAAACAGAAAAATTTTAATCGAGGTTCTCTTTCAAAATAACTACTTAGAATAGCAATTTTATGATTTTGGAAAGTTTTGAATGCAATTATAAATTTTAAATAGAACTTTTTTACGCGAAGTTTTTTCACCATTTTTTCAATTAAAGTTGTTGATCTGATTTTTTTTGTGTTAACCTAGATATTACGATACTTGCAATGGTCTTTCAAATATGTAATTTACGTGACAATATATGTCACTTTACATAAGTGTTGCACAACTATTGCATAACAGTTACATAATGAAATGACTTAGGTGATGGAGGAGCAGATGAAGAAGGCTATCGTGGAGTTGGACATCTGGGCTAGACAGGTGGAGTACATTGCACATCTGGACTGTGTCATATCATGTACCACCACCACAGAGAGCTCTCTAGTGCTGGCTTGGAGAAAACCAGGGGTCATGAAGTAGTGAGTTGTCATGTCTCATAGTTATGTTCAGTGATAGATTGAGAAAAAATAAATTAACCTCCGGTTAGGCCTCTGGCTGGTTAATTTCAAGTGATTTTTTGAAAACTTACTAAAATATTTGAGAAAATGGATTATGCGAAATTAACATGCATTGCCATAACTTTTTCGAAATTAACATGCATTGCCAAAGGCGCCTGTAGATATTTTTTGGGTTGGTTGACCGAAACTGATGACGTAAAATAGTAAAAAAAGGTTGGTCAAGGAATCGAAACCCCGAGGAGGGCGTGAGTCCCTCCCTAAATTCGGCAGAAGTTTTAATCGGGTATCGAACAGTACCAAAATTTTAACGCTTTTTCTCAAAGTGGAATAAGAAGTTTTTGGCTATTATTGTCGTAAATGAGTAATCGAGTAATCATTCAATCGCCAATCAGTATTATTTTAAGCGATTAAAGTCTCTGAATTATTGTTCCGACTTTCGATACGAAAGTAACGCAATATTTGTGCTCGGGGTGAGTTTTTTTTCTTCAGACAAATTTCGACTTTTTAACTAGCCAATTTTGACGGAATTTTTTTTATCATTCGAAAGGTATTGTTGTCATGAGCTCAAATTTGAAAAGATATTTCACCTGTGATCATTTTTCTTTAAGTTACGGGGGTCTAAAGATTACCATTTTGGCCAATTTGGGACAATTAACGCGCGATATATTTCGCGCTATTAACGCGTAAGCGGAGTGTTAATCCGTCTTAGGAATCGTTCCAAATTGGTTGAAAGATCTTTATTTGCCATAATTGATTTGTCACAAGGAGCAAAATCTATCCTTTTTGTACTTTATATGGCGTGTGGGGTGATGATTTTCATAAAAAATTTCAAATTTCAGAATTTTTTTTTTCATTTTGTTTTGTTTTATTTTTAGTTTTTTAATGTTATTATTACTGCTCCATAAACCTTAAAAGGCATTCGGAACATTTAGGGCTTCGCCCTGATACGAGCAGCCTTGTTTACATTGTTAGAGTTTTCCAGACAAATGTTTTGAACTGAGCCGAGCTAACCGTCCTAGCTGCTTCCGAGCTAGACGCAAATTAAATCGATTTGGACCTGTTTTTTTTTCAATCGGGAAATATTCCGTTTGAAAAACATTGTCGGCTTATTATACTTATTATGCTCATATTATGCTTATATTTTTTCGGTTTATTTACCACATCGTAAAATTTTTTTTTCTGTACGCATTTTACATTGTATTTGCTTTCAGTAGTATGATTTACTTTAACTAACCCCTATATTTTTTTCTCTTTTGTTTTTTTTTGCTTAAAATTTGTATTCTGCCCATTGGGTTTGTTTTTGTTCCGACTTTTTAACCAGCCATTTTTGACAGAGTTTTTTATATCAACCAAAAGCGGTTGTTAGCCTGAGCTTAAACGTATAAAGATATTCCACCTGTGATCATTTTTCATAAAGTTTTGGGGGTTTAAAGATTGCCATTTTGGCCAATTTGGGACAATTAACGCGCTATATATTTCGCGCTATTAACGCTTAAACGGAGATTTAATCCGTCTGAGAAATGGTTCCAAATTGGATGAAGGAAGCTTAATTACCATAATTGATGTGTTAATAGGAGCGAAATTTATCACTTTGACTTTTATATGGAGTGTGGGAGGATGATTTTCGCAAAAATCTTAAATTTTATAAAAAATTTTTCATTTCAAATTTTGCTATTTTGGGATATTTGAAGGCCCAGTATATTGCGTTATTATAACATGCGCAATGGATTAATGAGTTCCAAATTGAATTGAGGTTGGCAATTTAGTGTTGTTAAAACAATAGTATACATTTATTACCCAATTTGTATTTTACATAGGGTGTGGGGGATAAATTGAAGAAAAAGTTTGTTTTGCACGCTTAGAATTAAGCTATTTCAATTCACGTTTTATCAGGAAGCGCAGGACTCATTTTTTGAAACGGCTGAAAATGATAGTTGAAAAGTTCAGGGCTTCTTACTGGTATGTTTTTTCCATTATGAGGCCAAACGGTGCACTGGATCGGCGCACACTTTTGTGTCTGAAGGTTCCTGGAGTCCAGAGGCAAGTCTTTACACATGTTAAAATTTGTCGGAACGATCAAAGAGAATGAAATAACAAAAGAAGAACAAAGAGAGTGTCCTTGTTGCGAAATTCGATTGCAGCTCACATAATACAGTTTGGCCTCGTAATGTTTCTTGCTTTTAATTGCCCCGTGCTCCAAATTAATTGCCCGTATTCAAAAAAGAAACAACAAACACTTCAGAACAAAAAAGTCTGAATACATTTTTTCAGTTAATTGAAAATATCTCCCTTGTATTTGAATTTCATACTTAAAATATCGTAATCAGAACATTCTCTGCTGCTTGCACATTAACCGGCTATCATTGTTTGTTGCTCTTAGAGTTTTTGTTAACTTCTGAAAATCGCACGGGGTTATGTCGCAGTTGCGAAGACAAGGTACTCAAATTTTGGAAATTCGTTCCACAGGTGATTCGGTTCTGGAGTCGGCTAGTTTTTTCAAAGCATGTTTTTGTATATTCTTGCAATTTACAGCTTGCATTTTTATTTTAAAATTTGATATTGAAAATTTGATTGTTTTTTAGCCTTCCTCCCCTGAAACTGACTGGAGGTGTACATGCGTTCGACTTCAATGAAGAAACCAATTTGATCGGTATAGCCTAAACATCAGTTTTTTTTATCTGACCACGTCGAATAATTCTATTTCACTCATAATTTTTGTACCTATGTTTTCAAACCCATAATTTTTAAACCACTCATAATTTTTATCTTTGTTGCAGGCATTGCGTGTGCGGATCGAAACGTGTACCTGTACAATCCGTTTGTCATGTCAAAACCGGCAGGGGTAAGTTTACTTGCAAGATTTAAAAAACGTTCTTTTTACTCCATGCAAAAATTTAAGTGGAATGTTTTGCTTGCCGCGTCAATTGAAATATATATATATTCTTTGAAATGAAGCGTTACGTTTCAGTTTGAATTTGACTGGACTCTTGGATGGTCTTTGCATACTGTAATTTGCATGTCCTTAATTTCACTCGAATTAACCCTTATTAACCTGTCGTGAGGACTTTAACAACGTATAAATCCACAAACATGGTTAAATTTATGTATATGTAATCTCTTGAACTTTAATGAAATTAGCAATGGCATCATAATGCTTTTAAATCTTTTTTCTTAATCATTTTAATGTACCGTTTTTTGCAGCCTTATACGAGGTAACCCAAATCTTTTTCAATTACTTTATTCGATAAAAACGTCGCTGGAATCGAGAATTTATAAGTATCAAGAATACCACAACTCATGAGTTTCATTGTAGCGAAAAATGCATATTCTAATATCGTGTTCAACTCATATTAAACATCTCTATTATGCCTCAAGTTATTATCTACTCATATAAGATCATAAGTGTAGCTTATAACATGTGACCATACTAGCATACAGTCAACACCATAGGTGGATGTTGTGAATTAAAGTGTAGTGTGTTAATTGTGCATAGGTGTTGCGTGGCCACATGGCAGCAGTGATTGCGGTGCAGTTCAACAAGAGGAGAAACCACATTCTCTCATTCTCCAAAGATAGGGTCAGACAATAATTGTTTTAAAATTCTCTAAACTTCATTGTCTGAGTTTTGACACATTTTGCATCATTCAACATTGGTCGGCTTTTTAAAAAAAAGAAAGAAAGAAAGAAAGAAAGAAAGAAAGATATGGACATGTTGGCGCCTATAATGATATAAATGGAGCACTTGATCTAAATACAGCTCTAATCAGATCGGAAGAAGACTATGATAAGATGGGGTTTGTGAATGGTGATTGTTGCAGGTGTTGCGTGTGTGGGATGTGGTCCAACAGATCTCCCTGCAGAGAATAGCCGGTCTCCTCTCCACTTGTACCATAGACAGTAATGAAACATCTTTAAAATAACAACTTGCTTTGAAGTAACATTCTTGCTTCAAAATAACAACTTTTTAAAAATATTTGCTGTGATCAAATTCTGAAATTGATTGAAGAAATTGTTTTGGAAAAAAGTATTTGAAAAGAAGAATGCACAAAAAAACGACAGAAAAACACAATTCATAACAATGTTTATCGACCGAACAATTAGTTTGCTTTCAGACATTTCGCCTCCTTGTTTGTCTTGAGTACAAGTTTTGGGTTGACAACTCATTCAAAAAATTACCTTGAAAATAGTTGCGTCACTATGTTCGTGAAATAAACAAAAAGTATCCTTTCCATGTCTCTGTTCTAGTCACTGCGCGCCTGTTCTTCCATTCAGACAAGAGTCGACTGATGATAGCGATAGACTCCAGTCTGATTGTGATGCAGCTGAAGCCAGAGGTGAAGAATGCCGTCACCAGTCACGAGAACCCAGTCACTGCCGCCAAATTCCTCGACCAGAATCAGGCTAGCGCGCTTTGCCACAGTAATAGTAATAGTTGACTGTATAAAATAATATGATGTTCCTGTATGAAGTTGATGAGAAAAAGGCTATCAGGAAAATTCATGAGTGATTTAGTTGTGTTATATCAATCAAAATTGGTTCTAAGGTGGAATATTTTGACATTTCTTATCAGGCACCTTGGGTTCCTTTTTGTTAAAATTCCTTTAAGAATTGTAATTCAACTTGAGGGAAACAGAAAGATTTGGACGAACCGAGAAAATTCTGGGATCACTAAGATTTTATTCCTAACAGTAAAATACCCAACTACACCAGGATAAGATAGGAACAGTGTCATTTTTCAATAAGTTAATGTAATTATACTCTTCAAAGAACGAAAATTTCAATTTTAAGGTGCATTTTAGGGGAGTTACTTTTCAAAAAGCAATGTTTTAATTGGCACTTAGCAAATGATTGGAATGTGTTTAGATTATAAGTTCGGACAATGGTGGCAACGTATACCTCTGGCGAATAGACTCCGGAAAGAGATCTAAGAAGGTAAAAGTTTTTTCTCCATGCTTATCTCAAACCTTTTTTCTACCTTTTTTACCCTCAAACGATGAACTGGTCAATTAAATAAGATATTGTCCCGCATAATTTTCTGTCCTATGGGGTTTTTACTGGGGGAGGTTTTGCTTTTCTAGTTTACCTCTCTGCACAATGGCATGGACATCAGCTGCATGGCTCTGAGAGATGACAGGACTCGCTTCTTCACCGGATCGTCCGACGGAACCGTCAAGGTCAGTACACTTCTCGTTCACTTCAAAATTTGTGATCTCGTTACGGTTCCAAATTCTTCAATAGCGTACAATTCAGAGGTGGAAATTTTTTCCTACTTTCATGATTTCCAGACTTAAGAGTTATATGAACCTATTTGATTATGCAAGCCAGCTGGGAAATTCTTCGTAAAAGAAATTTCAGCGAAAATGATGAAGCTTAAGTAACTTACGTTTGAGGAATGGGACGTTGCCGGCAACATCCGCCGCACATTCCTCGTGGACGTCGAATCAAACAACAGCGGCGACACCTCTCGTCCAGTGGCTGCTCTGGGTGCTGCCTCTGTAGACCGACTGGTATCTGGCACCAGTAAAGCCCAAATGAAAGAGGCTGCAAAGCAAAGCCGCTTCTCGTCTGTGACTAAGCGGAACGTTGTTCACGCGTCTTCCAACAAGAGGGGTCGACCAGCTGAGGTGCTGAATGTGATTTTGCTGAAGAGAGAGATTCTTGCTGTTGGATGGGAAAGGTTATTCGAAATAAAAATATTTCTTTGATTGTTTGATTTTCATAATATTTCAGGTGTGGTTTAAAGGGTTTCGAAATTAAGGGCGACTCATGACTGCGACCACTTCACTATCCAAAGGGTACCCCATTTAGTACTATTGTATTGCGTTCATTCTTACCCCACAAAAAATTTGTTTCTTGATACGCCTACGTTCTAATACATGCTACTAGCAGATACACGAGTTGGTTTTGCTCGCAAACTTTTAAAACCATTTTTTTACTGTTTCAATCCTAATTAAATCTCTTGCTCTAACATATCAGGGTTTCATTACTTGCCTTTTTATTTAAATTGTTGGATTAATGACTCACATCAAATCCCCTCCACAAAGTTCATAGATCACATTAAGTAACAAATGTTGCTGAGTTTTTTGTTAGGATCTTATTGTTATTTTTATTTTAACTTTCAGTTATTCTCTAAAAACTTTTAGCAAATTGTAGCTGGATGGAAACTTTTAAAAGTTGTAGCTTGATGGATTGATATTTGGTCATCTTCGATTTGATAGTTCCATAATGAAGCACTGTCAAAAAATACTAGCAAAAAGTATCAACCAAAAATTGTCTCAACAAGTACTAACAAGTTGAAGTTCAACAATTAAACTAACTTTCAGTGCCTGAGAAAGTTTCTCCCTGATTATTGGACAAATTTGCAAAATATTTAGACTTTGCACGGTGGGTATATGTATACATTTATTATTGGCTCAACCGATGAGGAGTAGGTTAACCGACGAAACAACACATACGCACACTTTGGAGGTTTCTAAGAGCTTAGCTAATCAATTCGATTCACCTAAATCCACCGGTTCCTATTACGCAATCGAAAGTCGAAAGTTCGGCTGATTATTGAGAACCGCTACTACGTCCCTAATTATGACCTACGAGCCTTTTTTATATTTTTCCCAGCTGTGAATTGTTGATTCATCCTCATACAACAAGTATGGATCTTGATGGGCTTCGAACAGCCGATCCTTTGACAGTAAGGTGGTTTCCTTAAGGCGGTGTACTCAATCTTATCTAAAATACGTTCGCCCTTGTAGGTCCGTGTGCATGTTCCGCCCCGGGGAGGTGGAGGATGGGGCCACTGGGACCAAAGTTGAGTGGAAGGGGGAAGCAGTGCACTCGGAAGACATAGTCACTGCCGCATTCGCATCACCCATTACACTCGCAACAGGTACTCCTTACAATTTCGTTTCTGCAAATCCCAGAGGAACTACCTAATGGCTGTTAAACGTGTCTAACGATTGTCCGTCAAATATTATTTCTCCAAATCCCATACAACTAATTTTGTTCAACGAAGCTATTTCTTGACTCAATAGGGCGTTTATTTTTGCGTCTAGAATTTTCATGTGGTATCACTATTGGAGCCGAAACTGTTCAGACCTGAAGCTAGAGGTTAAGATAGGTTCAATACCAATCATTCAGAGGGGAATTGGGCAACGTCTCGAGCTGTTCGGTTTTTCAAATGAAACCTAATTAGAAACTTCATTCGAAATTTTCAGTTATTTTATGGGTCGGAAGTATTGCCTATCTCTAAACGGATAAGTACCGATCATATATGTCCTCGAGGTTTTATTGTCCTATACTATTCTGAACTGAATATTTTTGATTGAAACATAGGTGCAGATCTCAGGTCAAATCGAGTTGAGCAAGCCCCTGGATAGAGTAGACGGAATCTTTTAGGCTTTTAGGTTTATTGTTAAATTCAGTATTCAGTCTTTGTTTTGAATCGACTTTTTTTTTCAAATTTTTTGGTTTTCTGTTTTTGAATGTGACATTTTATGCAGCCGCTTTAAACATCTGTCAGTTTAACAGCCGAGTCAGTTTAACAGCATTTTCAGCTTGAATATATAAGCTCTGTATATGAACGTTTTGGGCTTTGAAATTTTGTCTCACTCTAAACGAGCAAGATATCATATCGAGCCTCAAATAAACAGCGCCTTGATCATAAGGGACAATGAGTAAAACCATCTGCCGTCAACCCTCGTGATTCGTTGCTCTTCTTAGGAAGTCTGGACGGAGAGATAGTGGTCTGGAACATGAACAGCCAGAGTCCCTCCAAGTTTCTGAGGGAGAGGAAAAGAGTGCCCACTAATGTACTGCAGCAGGGCCACACTCATGGAACAGTGAGTCATAAAGTGTTTGAAAACTACATACCAATACACAAAATGGGTTGTTGATATTAATTGGGCTGAGTTGTTTGACATATCTTTCGAGCAATATCTTTCAAAACTGATAAATGCCACTTTGCGACCAAAATCTTTGGTTCAGAGGATTTTAAAAATGAACACAAAGTCGAAACACACAAATATGTCAAGCACAGTCGAAATATACTCGATTTTTGCTGAGACAGTCGAGACATAGATGGAAGGGAGCGGAGCATTGGTTGAGATTTATGTTATGTCGGCTATTTTTAGATGCAATTCTGTTTTTAAAACAAAAATTAGAGGACTTGAAGAATGGAAGCCACTGCGATATTGTTTTTTTTTACATTTTTTTCAATTAATTGTGACTTTCTCAAGACGCCTTTCAGTCATGTATTTGATTCTAGAATGATATTTCAAAATCGTTTGTACAGTGTCAAGAAAAACTGATCCAATCTTTTTCATGTTCCATACGACATTTCAAATTTTTTTAGACTAACTTTGCTCTTTCGTTGCCCAGCATGGCTTTCGAACAATTTCAACTAATTTTTAGAATTTTTATTTAGAGCTTAATTAAAGCCCACTATTAAACAAAAAACGTTCTTGTTTAAACTAATTTTCAAAAGTTTTGTGACTGGATGATTGTGGAACATTCGGTTTTACGTATTTCATGGTCAACCGTGGACAGTTGTTGAATTTTTGGACATATTTGTTTTTTTTTGGCAATTTCGACTTACTCAAGACGCCTTCCAGTCATGTATTTGATTCTAGAATGATATTTCAAAATCGTTTTTTTTTTTCAGTGTCAAGAAAAACTGGCTCAATCTTTTCCTTGTTCCATACCAAATTTCAAATGAATTTTAGACTACATTTGCTTTTTCGTTGCCAAGATGACTTTTGAGCAATTTCAACTAAATTTAAGATCCCACTATTTGAAAAAAGTAGTACGTTTGCGCTAATTTCAAAGTTTTTGTGACTGGATGTTTGTAGAACATTCGATGTTACGTACTTCAACGGTAACCGTGAACAATTTATGAAAATTTGGACATAATTTGTTTTTTTAGGCAATTTTGACTTCCTCAAGACGCCTTCCAGTCATTCGTTTTAATTTCGAAAAATATTCAGATGTCGTTTTTTCAGTGCCAAGAAAAACTGGTCCAATCTTTTTATGTTCCCAACCAAATCTGAAATGATTTTCAGACTATTTTTTTTTCTGTTGCTCAACATGAATTTTGAACAATTTCAACTAAATTTAGGATGTTTTATTTATTTGGAGCTTAATTAAGACCCACTATACAAAAAGTTTGTTTTTGCAGTAATTTTCAAAGTTCTTGTGATTGGATGATTGTGAAATATTTGGTGTTACTTTAGCGGCAGCCGTGGATAACTGTTGAAAATTTGGAGATAGGTTGATTTTTTAGGCAGTTTTGACTTCTTCAAAACGCCTTCCAATCATGCATTTGATTCTAAACTGATATTGAAAAAACGTTTTTGTTTTCAGTGTCATGAAAAACTGGTTCAATCTTTTTTGTGTTTCGTACCAAATCTCAAATGTTTTTCAGACTAACTTTGCTCTTTTGTTACCCAACATTAATTTTTTACCTACTCACCCAGGTCACCCTATTCACCCAATTTTTAGCTATTCACTCATATGCTCTACCCAGGTCCCAAAGGTTTCTTCTCGCAGCAGAATTTAACAGGATTTGACATCTAGAGCAGAATATTTTTTAAAGCAGCTGATAGAGCAGAACTTCAATCATGCGGCAGAATTTACCCAATTTTCTTAGAACTTTAATAAGATGATCTTATGACTGGTGAGATTCTGTTTCTCAAAAATACAAAATACTCATCTTTGCACTAATGCTAACTAAAATTATTTAGTTTCGCGACACTTCAATCTATCCACGACACTTCAAGTTTTTTAACCTGCTTCCTGAAAGTGCTTCGCTTATTTACTAAATTGAAACTTTTCTCTCGAAACTAATTATTTTTCCCCTTGAGCACACGATAACTTATTTTTTCATAAAAAATGAACTTTTTTAGCAGCTGAATGTGCTTTATATTGCCGCAAAAATTTTAGGGGCCTGAAAATAAAGATTAAAACACGGATCGCGCTCGATTGGTGAATACCAAAGCGTTAACTTTTTTCTTTGGGCGTTTTCCAACAAAGTGGAGATTCGAGAATATGTGATTATTGATAGCCATTTTTTTCTCATGAAGATTTTTTCATTTTTTTGTTCTGGGCACAACTCCGGGCTCCGCTTTTTTTTCCGGGCACAGTATTTACACAAGCAATGCTCGTGTTATAGTATGAACTATCTTTTTTTCCAAGCTAAGTCGCAAAAATTGTTGCGACGCAAATATTGTTGCGATAAAATGAGTTAATTTTAAAATTGTTCTTTTGATCAATATCCAGCTATTAAGTAGAGCCAATGTTAAGGATATTAACTCAGAATATTATCGTTCCGACTTTCCTAATGAAAGTAGCGAAACATTTGTGCTCGGGTGGTTTTTTTTTCCAGACAAATTTCGACTTTTAAGTAGCCATTTTTGACGGGATTTTTTTGTATCATTCAAAAAGTGTTGCTGTCCTGAGCTTAAATTTGAAAAGAGTTTTCACTTTTGATCATTTTTTTAAGTTATGGGGGTTTAAAGGTTGCCATTTTGGCCAATTTGGGACAATTAACACGCGATATATTTCGCGCAATTAACGCGTAAGCGGAGATTCAATCCGTCTTAGAAATGGTTCCAAATTGGATGAAGGAAGCTTAATTGCCATAATTAATGTGTTAATAGGAGCGAAATTTATCACTTTGATTTTTATATGGCGTGTGGGAGGACGATTTTCGCAAAAATCTTAAATTAAAAAAAAGATAATTTTTATTTTATTACATTTAATTTGTTCATGTTATTACTGCTCCATAGACTGCTGTATAAATTGAGGCATGTTATTTGGTAATTTTTTTAAAATTGACTGGTACTGCTAATGCGTCATAATTGGCGTGCGTCACTTGAGAAATTTTGTAGACTCAAATTTTTAATCATTCAGTTTTTCCCAGTAGCGTTATCGGTCATTTTTTTTGCTTGTGTATGCAAAGTGCAACTTCGCCTTTGTGTTTCAAAAGGTTTGAATATTTTTATTTTAGCAAACAATTTGAATTTTGGTCAATTCGGATTTTTTATAAATCTACTTGTAATTATGATAAAAAATTTTGCGGAATCTAATCAATCAAATTCAAGAAAATTAGTTTCATTTCAAAATGTATATGTGATTTTGGGCGGAAAGAATCAAAAGACCCAATCGCAACTTCTCCAGCGGAATTCGGTCATTTTTGCTAGAATCCGACGGGGCATTGCAACAGTGTCAAGTTGCGTACAACAATGCCAAAAAAATAGCTCAATAGTGCCAAAAATGAAAAACTCTCTACAGTGCCATTTTTTTTGTTCAACTGTGCCGAAAAAATGAATACTTTTTAGTAGGCTTAAAATATCTTGTGTAAAAAAAATAATAAGCAAAAATTTCCAATAATCTATTTGTCAATGCGTAATATCTTTTCAAGGCCATATTTTGCTTACTTTTTTCTGTCATTTTTTTAGCTATCCGCTCGTTTTGTCCTTTTTTTTAATCTCGCTTGAGTTTTCGGATCATAATTCAAAACTTAGGATAAAATTGCCCAAATTTTTTGTTTCAGTTATCATTCCATTTTCACAAGTGTTTTTGATGGTGAGTGAAGCTGGCCTATCATATAAGTTCTACATTTTAATGTTGAGCTATATTTTTTCGGAAGACTCAAAAAATTTTGAAATTCCCTTGTAAATATCAATCATAATGAGATTTTCCCGATTGTACTTTTTGCGTTTAATTTGTTCTGACTAGGCCGATAGGCATATATAATTTTTTGATTTTGTTGATAACCAGTTGCTAAATGAAATTTTTGGACTGTTTTGAAAACCGTTTGGCAGAAATGATTATGACAGCATAAATGCTGAGCTTCGAGGTAACGTTCGCGAACTGCTGCGGTAAATCGTTCTCGTAATGCGTCAAAAAGTTGTGGAAAATTTTTTTTGCTAAAATAGGTAATAAGAATATGCAAGATTCTTCATACTTTTTCGAAAGAAAAACAAAAGCTGACCATGTTTTTTGGGTTTCAAATAAACTAAAAATCGTGTAAATTTGATTGAATGGCTCTAATGCAGTTTTGCAGGTTCCATCGGCCAAAATTGTACCATAATTGGCAATACTTTCAATGAATAATCTGATTGCCTTGACAATTGCCCAAAAATCCAAGTTTTTTTCGTGAAGAAGCTGCTTTCCGGATAAGGTTTTTGCCCCAAGAATTGAAAAAAAAAAATCATGTCAAACCTTGTTTGCGGTATCCCAGTTGACTGTTTTCAGCGATCAAAATATAAGAAATTTCGAATTTTACGAAAATCTTCATAAATTTTGGGCAGACTTTTGTGGGCTCGTTTTCGGCAGCTGAAAGGTTTCTCTGATAAATTTCTGTATATTATGTAATCGTCGACAGCAAGATGGTTTTAAATAGTTGGACAATCAGTAATTTCAACTTTTCATCAAGGACGGTTGTTGCTTGGCATTTTTTCTTTTTTCGAAAATAAAACTTTGATTCTTCTTGTTTTGTTTTTGTCGGTAACGGTAGCCCCTTTCTAAGTTTTGGGAAGCATCTTTTTCGAAGGAACAACTTGAAGTTTTTTAAGTCCCGCAATCAATAATTTAACGGCCGACAATTATATTTTTAAGTGAAAATTCTTTAATAGTTTGAGTGATAAAATGGTGGGCTATTCTTATGGGCGAAGGACTACTTGCGCGACTTACTCATAGACGAAGGACCGAAAACAAAATTAGACGAAAGTAATTTATTAAAAATAATAAATTGCCGTTCAGTTAAAAGGAATCAAATGAAGCAGTGTTTTGCTTTTTTTCATAACGAAACCCTTGAAAAATGTAAAATTTGTTCCAATTCTTCGGCGGTCAGTGACAATTTGAAAACTTTGAATACTTTTGTGCCGTTTTTATAGTCGGCGAATATTTATCTCAAGTCTGTGGAAATGTTAAGTTTTTTAAGATTTTCATGCTTTCTTTCCAATTTTTAGAATACTGAATTCTGATTGGCTAATTTGTATTTTTGCCCATTCGATACTTCGCCTATAAGGGATTCCACCCACCACAAAATTTGCAATTTAGGCATTTTGGCTCCAATTTGGAGTGATTTTCTATGTTAATTAGCGTCAGTTTTTTTCCCGCTCCTTAGAAAATGCCGTTAAATGATTTCAAAACTTTCCAGCCATTTTCGGCACTGTTGAACGCGCCACTCGATGCGAATAATTTTGTAGTTTTGGTAGGAAAAAATGCGTATTCTTTTTCAACCAATCAGATTTGACTTTATTGACAAATTTACCTTCTTATTGACGAATGTGGCATGGCGGTCGCCTGGTTCCTGGCAGCTCACAGTTCTGAACAGATTATGTGTGATGTTTTGTGTATTCAGGATAGCCCAGCAGTGAGCAGTAGTCGGCGTGATTCAATCATGTCCAACCAAGAAGCAGCAGGAGAAGGAAGGGAGAGCCGAAGTCTTCCCTCTAAAGCCGCCCACGAGGAGGAGGTGAGCTCTTTTTGAATCAATCGAACCATCTCCCGCCCGTCGATTGAATCCATTTAAGAAGGGGGATCATGTTAACTTTTCCCCCCTACAGTACTTAGAAAAGAAATGCCACCCTTATTGAAGAAATAAACGTCGAATCTTAAGTGAATTTTGCACCTTGTAACGAATTTTTCGAATTTCCATCCATACTTTTTGCAAGATGATGGGATAGTTAAAAAGGGAAATAATCTTACAAGGGAAATAGATCAGTGAGCATTTTTGTTTTTCGGTCGTACGGGATAGTCATACAAGATATGTTCACATACTTTAAGTGTTAAGAAATTAAATAAACTGTATGGGACTATGCTACAAAAATCCGCTTTCTTAGAACTTCTTATATGACTTGTAGTAAGAGAAAAAATTCAAGGAAACAGCATATTGTATCTGCTTCAAGAAAAATGTTCCAAGAAAGATTATAGAAAAACGTGTTAAAAATATCGTGACTTATAATCGGGTAAACTATACTTTTTTTCCGGTAAACAACTTTTCTTATTTTCTGCCGACATGCTCAATTCTGACATTCTGAAAAGCTGACAAGCTCAATTTCTTTATTATTCAATTGAAGCTCTTAACTAGATAATAATTACGAGGCCACACTGTGCACAAGATATGTGCACCATTTAATGTACCGTACGCATGTCTTTGGAATCCAGAGAAAAGCCTTTAAACATGTTTAAAAAGTTTGCAACGATTAAAGATAACAAAAGAACGAAAGAAGAACAAAGAGAGTGGCCTTGTTGTGGAATCCGCTTACAATTCATAAAAAAAAACACAGTTTGGCCTCGTAATGATTGTTGAAAAATGTTGATTTTTTTTCGGATTTGAGCTTATCGTCCGAATTACTGCTGGCTGATTTTTTGTTTTTCAAATGCTATTTATATGACCTGCTTAGGTTTTGAAGCGGTTTTATTTTAAAATTTTTAATTCAAACAGTTTTTTTCTATAATTTAAAGTTGCTCTGTAATTTGTAATTTCACCAACTATGACTTTTAATACTTTATATTTGTTGCTAATTTCGGCTAAAAGAGTTCGGCAAATATTATATCGGCTTCGTCAACTAATGTTGCGCAGTTTCAAGGGCAAATCGTTTTTATAGTTTTTTTGCCTGTTTCAGGAGGGATATGTCGTGGAATTTTTTCTTCAAAAAATTTCATAGCTTGACTAATTTTTATGTCTAAGATTTCTTTTTCGTTCGGCTTAAGGAGGATCGACCCAACTTTCTGCCTGAGTCATCACTCGGTCATTGATTCTCAATAATACTTAAGGCTGTTTACGAACATTGTCCGAAACGAAGGTGTGAAATTTTTGTAGATAGAGCTTCTTGGATTTTTCAATGCTTTTAATGCAATGTTTTAATTGTATCGCATTGGCTGCGACACTCTATTTTGCTTTCATGTATTGTATTTACATAAGTATATTTTGTATTATATAATGAACTATATTTTTTTTTGCAACCGAAGTCGCAAATATTGTTGTGATGCAGTTGCGACAAAATATGAATTTTTTTTAAAGGGTTCATTTTGATCCAGCTGTTAAGTACAACCAATGCTAAGGATATTAACACAGACTAATATTAAGATTAATGAACATAGTGAGAACTCTTATATAGGTCTTGCTGATTTTTTTGTTTGTTGTTTTTTTTCAGGAAAAAGTCTAAAAATTTGTTCACGCTCAGTTTTGATTTTTCGCAGTTTGACTTGTGATTTTTTCAATTTAAGTCCATTTCCATTGATGAAAGGAAGACAAAATCTACTATCGAACAGCAAAAATTTAAAGATCATGAATAACGTGATCGACTTCTAGTTTCGAAAATGGAAATTATTTATCAGATATCCTAGTGAAATAAAAGTTTTGCCTATTGCTCCAATTTTCTCACTTTGGGTTAATTTTAACAAAAAGTGTACATCATAAGTTTTTCTACAAATTCAAAGAGCTCTAAGGCCATCTATTTTTTTCTTCGAAATTCAAAAGTTGAATATTTTTGAAAAAAAAACAAGTCAGTTTTTGTTTCAGTTTCATTGCGTTCATTACTCTTTTCCAATGTCAGTTGGCTATCTTATTACAAACAGCACTTTAGCTTCATTGTATCGTGCATCTGTAGCGTAGAGGTAGGGAAAGAGACTAGCAACAAAATAAAAGGGTTCGAATGTCCGACACCTGGGCAGTGTCGGATGTTTTTAATGAACTTTTTCGTATACTAGTTTAAATGCGTCCGCTCTATAAGTTGAGGCATGCTAGTTGGTAAATTCCTGTTTCATTAAAACAGGTATTATGAAAAAGTACGGGGTTTTATATTGTTTTTTTTATTTTTTTGAGACGCTTTGAAAATTTTTTTGACTGTTTCAAAAATTTAGTTTTTCTCGAAAACTACTCTACCGATTTTTAAAAAAGGGTTACCAATGGAAATTCCGTCACCCATTCCCCTGTGTGCCTGCATAATCTTCTAGTCTCCTTTAACCTTATCCCATTTTCTACAGCCTTCGAAAAAGAGTTTGAGGGGGAATTTTTGACCCAATTTTTTTTGGATTTTTATACTTTTTCTCGAAGACCACCCTCACAAATCTAAGATTTTTAGTTCAACGGATAGAAAAAGTTGTGGGAAGCTCTTTTGCATAAGCGGCGACGTCCAAATTTTTTTGCACAAAAACTTATGGCCCTTGGAAAAATTGAATTTTCGATTTTTTGACCTGTTTTTGAAACAATAGACTTTTCTCGAAAACTACTCTCCCAAATCTGAGGTTTTGGTTTCAATGGGTAGCACAGGTTTTCGAGGTTTCGCCTGCATAAGCGGTTAAGCCCAATTTTTTTACCCGAGCCGGTTAAGCGCAAGTTGAAATTTTGACTGTTTTTTTGAAACTTTTGACTTTTCTCAGTAATTACCTTCCCGAATCTGAGATATTAGTTTTTTTGCGAAGAATGGGTTGTGGGCAGTTCCACTGTACAAACGATTACGCGCCCATTTTTTTTACACAAAAAAATATGCCCCCCCCCCCCCCCCCGGAAAAGTCAATTTTTCGATTTTTTTTCTACCGTTTTTTGAAACTTTTTGACTTCGCTCGAAAACTACCCATCCAAATCTAATGAGCAACGTTTTAAGCATATTTCAACCTAATATGCTGTTGTAATCACTTCAATTGTTAAGAAAACTGAAGTAGTTGATGAAACTAACAGCTTTTGAAGTCGTTATATTGGGACTTACTTTACCCTTGTCCTTCCGCATCAATGCAAATTTTTCAAAAATTAGCAAACAGGTATTTCCAGCTATAGCTGGCCTCTATTTTTTTTTCTTCAAATTGACTGGTACTGCTAATGCGCCATGATTGGCTGGCGTCACTTAGCAATTATGTAGACTCATAATTGGCATACGTCACTTAAGAAACTCTGTATCTCAAAGTTTTACTCATTCAGTTTTTCCCAGTAGCGTTATCGGTCATATTTTTGCTTATGTATGCAAAGTACAACTTCGCCTCTGTGTTAAGTTTTAAAATGATAACTTTTGACCTACCCAGACTGTTTGAGACTGTTTGCTTGATCGGATTTTTGAGCTCGAGTTTTCCAATGGTCTGAGGCAAGGTTAATATAACAAATTTGCGATCAACTGTTACACCCAGTCAATTTAGAGGAGAGAAAATGAATTCTTTCAAAGGTATTTCCCATCGATTTTGTACGCTCCCATTTAAAGGTTGATTAAAGGTCCTTTTTAAAATGTGAAATGAGCTAGGATTTGGAAATTCAATTTCGGTCATTTTAATTGGCTTTTTTACGCGTGATTTATGGTTCCGAGTTTCGAAGAAAGTGCGGAATATTTATGCTTGGGAAGGTTTTTGTTCCCATTTGCAAAGAAAGTACGGAATATATGCTCGGGGTGGTTTTTAATTCAGAACAAATCTCAAAAAATTTCCCTCGCGGGAGCGCTCCATAGATCTTCGTAGTACCAGAAGTGGCGTGCGCACCTCTAGAATTTCTTGACTGAACTTTTGCTGTGAAAAGCTCACTAATAGACTAGCGCGACTATAAAAGCGCTGTGATACTTTGATGATGAAAGTCTAACGCGCTTTATTTACTTGTGGCGATTTCTCCCGCATCTTAAAATTGTTCCAAATTCAATTGAGGCAGGATAGTTAGACTTTAAATTACATACACAATTTTTAAAACTCAGCTTAAAATTCATAAATATCAATATTTCATTACCAAAATCTATTCGAGACCATTTTATGGACAGTCGGAACATTCAGGGTTTTGCCCTGATACGAGCAGTCTTGTTTTTTTGTTCAGTAAACTTTCGACTATATAAATAAGCGTTTCTGACGGAATATTTTTACACCATCTGAAAGATATTGCTGCATGCAGCTCAAATTTCAAAAGATATTTTACCTGTGATCTTTTTTTGTAATGTTACGGTGGTTTAGAAGTTGCTAGTTTGGCCAGTTTGGGATAATTAACGCGCGATAAATTGCGTTTTTATGACACGCGTAAACTGCAAATGTGACTTGAGGCCAGCAGGCAGTTTAGTCCTATTTAAACAGTGCGAGACGATAAACCTATATTTTCTATGATACACCCATCCTTTGTATGATACACCTACCTTTTGTATAAAACCTTTTACTTGACCTCGGAACATTCAGGGATTCTTATTGAAGTTTGTTGCGCTAGCGTTAAGCGTGAATTATTTGAGCGCTGTGAATTAATCTGCTCTCAAAATCATCCTTAATTCAATTCAGGATAGTTAAATGGTCCCGTGATTTTAGTACTGGACACACATTATATCCATTTGTTGAGATGGTAATTTAGGGGGGTAGACTTCTTTCCTCCACAGCACTAAAAATTTCATCTTTAGTGATGTTTACGGTGCCTGTTTTTGGTTGATCAATCCAAAACCCTAAAGTTTTTGTTTTTCTTGATGATATTCAAGTCGAACTACGCAACATCAGAGAATATGGAAAAATAGGTCGCTTTGATTATAACTAATTGGCAATTTTCAAAAGCCCATAATTTAACAAAACATGATCTTAGTTAGATTTTTTAAAGATTTAAGGGTAGGTAGTATTTAATGACATCGATAACATTGAGATTGTATAATGAACCCGAAAGTCTGTTCAAAATTGTTATTCAAAACACCTCACGCATTTTTTGGTTATACTGTCTTCGAAATGCGGAGCAATAAATGGAATTCTGTTTCAGATAAATGTGAGCTTCCTGAACTTATGTTTAACAAGTGATGTATATGTGCCGCTTTTTTCTCCTCAATTTAAATCATAAATGTCCTCCCCAGTTATGCGACTCCTCGTGAGCCTTTTTGGCGTTGCTTTAATCCCTGAAAACAGTCTTGTCCATATAAAAGATTTTGTCGTATTATTTTGTACGATACCATTTCTTGTATCCTTTCTACGATTCATACCTATGATTTTTGATGAAACATATCATTTATGTTTTTTAAAGAGTTTTTTTTTCAAAAATGTGCAGAAAAATTTGCTTACGAGTATAATTCTTAGTTCAGATTTCCACAATGATAACTTTTACCCATGCCTGATTTGCCAGGAGAGTTTACATTGTTGGGTGTGCCAATCAACTTATTTTCATTTTTATTGATGTGGGGGTTCGTTGTAAGTCTTGCGAAACAATACTTCTTAGATTCATACTAATGAAATTTTTCATTTATACGATTCATATATGATTTACTGTCACACATGCTACATTATTTGCTTCTTTTTTATGGACAACAAGGCTGAAAGTATGATATAACTTCAATGCTTTGTTAACTCACTAATTAGTTTAATCAACCTTGTAAAAGCTCACTGGTGCTATTTTCCTCTGCAGCGCGAGGAGTTTGCAGTGTCCACGCTGACCTTCATAGAGAGTAGGATGGGCAGTAAGAGACTGTTGGCCAGTGGGGTGGCCAATCTCATCAGCTGTGGCGCTGGGGGCTGGGTAAGATTCTGGAGCACAGTCACCGGCAAGCTATGTGCCGAATTCTGTGCACATCCCGAGGGTACGTCTAAATTTTTTTTTTGAAAATCATTTCGGAGACGTATGATAAGTGATTGGTCTTTTGAACTAGCTAGCATGAAGGCTTAGGCACAATATGAGGTACAATGCTGACCGACGGATCCCTTGAACATAACTACGTTTCTCAGCGTTAGTCTTTACAAAAATAGACTATAAAATATACTTCCAAATGAAGATTACTGCAACTAGGATCTTCATAATTTGCATCAGTTTGCTTCAGTACTCCAACAAAATGCAGCAGCAGGCCTCATAATTGATGCCAAAGCCTCATAATTGAAAAGTTTTGAAGACTACTCGGGCTTACTGAAATCCATGCTTAGTGTTGATACATTTTTGTTCCGACCATTTGAAAAAATATGGAGGAACTTTGTATTCGGGTGTGTTTTAGTTTTTCCTTTTTTTGTTTTCCACGCAAAATCAGCTACCACAAAAAATCATCGGAGAGAGTTGAGTGATATATCAAAATAAAGCTCTTTCAGTCGTGATTCGAACGACATTTAAAAAATTGAAGTTTTTTCACGATGTCGAGAAAAACCGGTTTGAAATTTTTGATTTTTAGTCTAATTTCGAGCTAATTAGGTGGCCGCGTAGGCTAAAAATAGCTTATTTCAGCTTAATTTAAGCCGTGAAAACTAAGTTTTACTCAATTAAAGGTAGTTTTTGGAGTTTTTAGCGCATTTTTGGGAAATTTAGCGCAAAATTTAAAATTTCAAAAACTTTTGCAAAAAAAATGAAAAATCTTTCTATAATTATAATTTTTCTAGTCATTTTTCTTCAAAAGATCAAATTCTTCGTCAGATCAAATTTATATAATTCCAAAATTGCTTGCTTTTGATTTTCTCCATCAGATTTTTTTTCAGTTCAGCTAGTTAATTTTATTTAGTTTATTTTTTTGTTCGGATCTTTTTATGACCACACCAATTTGAAAAAACTTTTTTGTATTTTTTAAGACTCTGGTCGGAAAATTCTGTGGTATTTGCAGAGTAACCTGCTATCATTGTTACTTTATGACTCCGGCATTTCGTCAGATCAAATTTATATAATTCCGAAATTGCTTGCTTTCGATTTTCTCCATCAGATTTTTTTTCAGTTGAGCTAGTTAATTTTACTCAGTCTGCAGAATTCATTTCAATATCGAATGCAATTTGATGCCTTTTATTTGTCATTACGATACCAAACTGGTTTTTTGGGAATTGTGAATGGACTCCACAATAAGACCGTTCTCTTTGATCTTTATTTGATATTATGCTTCTTTTGTTCGCGTCGACGAAAAAGTTAACATGTTTAAAGACTTGCCTCTTGATTCCAGTGTCCTACATACACCAAGCCTATCCAGTACACAGTTTAGCTTCGTACTGTAGATGTAATGCCAGAAAAATTCAAATAATCTACGATATTATCTTGATCTGCTTTGATCAGTTTGTCCCAAAATTTTCATTGACTTCATAGCCGGAATCCAATCTGACATTGAAAAGAGATTCTTTTTTGGTTATTTCGTTTGGTTGGGACTTCGTAGCCGGTGTCCCAAATGCCAGTTAAAAAGAATGTTTTTTTTTCGTTTTTTCTCGTAACTGACATAAGAGATTCGTTTTTCGTTTTTTTGATTTTGACTGAGCGATGTGGCTTGACAGAAAAGGTGTCCCCTTTTAATGTACAGAAAAGGGCACACCAAAAGAAGTATGTGGATGACGACCATTCTCACTTTAATTTGCGCCGTTAGAAGACCTTCAAGGAAATTATAAACTCGATTCAAACCAATTCAAGGACACATATAAAATACCGATACAAGTGGCTTAAATGGAGCCAAAAAGTGTTTTTACTGATTAAACATTGATATTATGGCTCATTAGGATGAATCTAGAACCAACGATGCGTTGGGAGTATACAATAGCACTTCAACAAACTTGTCGTAAAAAAATCAACGCTTGCTGCAATTATCAACCGCTTGGAAGGCAAGCAAAATCGCAGAAATTACCATCGACCAACTCATGTCTTGAGAACGCAGCAGAAAAGCCAGAAGAATGCCAATAAAAAATTTGAAAACAACGCTCTGAAATAACAAAACGCACCTGAGGTTTTAAGGGGCGGGGCGGGGACGGGCGCCCTTTTTCTCAGGGATTCGACCCCCTGCCGACCCAAAGGGTCCCCCTTTGTACTATTTTGAGATATCCATTTTTGGTTGGCTGCCCCTTAATTATTGGTCAAAACTTTTGGTCTTTTGGATTTTTTGGTCAAAACTTTCTTTTTGTTTAAATGTGCCTGTGGCGCAAAAAATTTGTTCAAAATGGGGTCTTTATAGTGATTTGGGAGAGCTCAGAAAATCAATTTGGTCGACCTAAAAAAAAGGTAGACAAATTTTTTGATTTTTTTTTGAAAATTCGCACCCCTCGAGAACATCCTAGATCCCTCCCTGCCAGCACATGAACCTTAGTCAATTTCTGAGAATTAATGGTTTCAGTTACTTGCTCAATAAAATTCACAATTATTTCAGAATTGATTTTAGTCATGTATCACTTGAATGTTTTTTAATTTCGCTGGGAAAAATAAAAAAAAAACTCCTTTGAATTTCGAAATTATAAGTAATTCACATTTTCTTCACGTCATTTTCACTTTCGTAATTGGAGAGCTTAAATTGCCTTCCGGTTAGAACATTCGAACCCATTGCCCCAAAAATGGATTTATTTGCTGCTATCAGGTCAAATTTGTGCTGTTTGTCAGTTTCGAGTTTTTTAAGGTTGTCAGTTTCTTGATCGTTCCGATGTTTCGTCTGAGATAACTGTCTTTCATTTAACATTAACCAAACCACTTCCTTCTGGCATTATAGTGACGAGCATCACCATGCGTTTGGACGACGAGGACAACAGCCGGCTGGTGACTGCGGATACAGATGGCTACTTGAAAGTATGGGACATCGAGCATTATGCAATGAACACGGAAGAGTACTTCTTGGACGAAGCACCAGGTAGAATAAATTAAAGAAAAAAATATGTTAGAGCTTTATTTCGGCTATCGTTTAACCTCCGTTGGCCATTTTGTCATTTTCACTTGGTATACGTTGGTGATCTAATCACGGCTCTGCTCAATTGCTCTTCGTCAATAGAGAAAACTGATGAACCGCCTGTTTTTGCTCACCCCGATCTAGAAATAGGTCGGGAAACAATACTGATTTGGATACATATAATTATTATATTATAGTATATTATAATTCTAACTTTTTTTGATGATTTTTTTAAAAAACTCATAGGATTTGTTTACTTCGCCCTAAATTAAAAAAAACTTAACCGGTAATTAGCGCTAGTCGTGTTGTATCGGTCTGTTAAGTGGTCCTTTTTTAATTTTTATGCAAATTAATTGGTCTGCTGATACTCTTAGATTATTCTTATGAATTCTTATAGTGCTGATTTAAATTAACCGGACAAAAGAGATAATGCTTAAGATGGCAGATTTTGCAATTCAGAGAATAAGTAATGTTTATACAAGAGATTAGACCAGCAGCGGATTTAGGGTGGGGGTCACAAAAAAGTACTAAAGTGGGGGCACTTTAATGGCCAGGAAGTCAAAACCCCAAAAGGAGCGCACATTGTCGCCCTTCCTCAATGTTTTCGTTCCCTAGCCAGGAATAAAAAAACTGAGAAAAATTTATTTAAAATATTTATGCTCTATGTTCTCAACTATTACATTTTCGAGCTTCTAATGAAGCGTTTTTGACGGACCTATTTTGCCATCTGAAAGTCACTGATGCTTTTATATCCGAGTTAACAACATTTTTCGCTCACGAATATTTTTCGTAGAGCTATGGCCAACTTGTGAAAATTAATGCGCGCTATGGCACCAGCTTTCTAAGCATAGCTTGCGAGGCGAATCAAATCATTCCAAATAAATTGCGAATAGCCATAATAAAAGATGAGAAATAAATATATTTGCACTTAGTATTGGTAAAGAACACAATTAATTTTTTTCGAACTTATGAAGCTTTGTTTAAATAAAAAAGTACTACGAAAGTATTTGATACGAAAACTCTCATGTTGTTCCTAGAACTTTTCACAAATGTTTTCCACCAGTGACAGTTTTTGTGAAGCGCAGATAGTTTGAAATTTGCAAGTTGTCGAAATTCTCGCCATTGAGGCTTAGAGTTGATTTAATACCACTCCGAAAACTTTCAAAACTGAATATAGACAAGCTGTTTGGTTTTAATATTCTAGTTCTAGAGGCTAAACTTATCATTTTCTTCTTCACTTACCAGTCTTGTTTGTTTCATAGATTGGTTTCTCTTCATTTTTTCTCCTGGTGGGTGCGGTAGCTTTTTTTAGGTAGGATAAGTTAGAACAACAACTAAGCTCAATATCAGACTAATTATCCTTCGTAGCATGTGCTTTCTGCATACCATTAGAAACCGCTAATGAAAGTGACGGAACGTTTGTGCTCGGGTAATTTTTTCCGGACAAACTTGAAGTGATTTGTTTAAAACTTTGTTTTGTGCTGAAAAAGTCATTTTGTATTTAGTGTTGGATGTGGGGATATATATAAATTGAAATTGCATTAATTTTTTCTAGGCTAGACATTGTCTATAGACCCTAGAAGGCCATCAAAAATTCTGGGCTTAGAAGGCCGTCGGAAGTTTTTAGCATAAAAGTAGCTAAACAGCTGATATCAGCACGAAACCATGAAACTTCCCAGGTATTTTGAAAATCCACGACCACAAGCAAGGCAGACAATCAAGCAACTTAAGGAGTCAAATTACCCATCGTTTGGGCCCAATCAGCACCTTTTGCTTGGAATAATTCCAGTGTCATGTTAATTCGCTATTCATACTCAATTATGGGATGAGAGCGCATAAATAATTTGTCCTTTTTCTAAAAGCTCACATTGTGTAGAAAATTTAGTTTATTGTGAGCTATCTTTTTTGTGTTTACTCTCGTTATTATTTTACTTTTCGCAGAACAAAACGGAATATTTGATCTCGGTGTGCTGTTTAGTTTTTAAGACAAACATCGTCGCTTGAAGTTTCTACTTATAAACCAGATGTTTTTCGCATCAATAAAAGTTTCTGACATCTTGAGCTCAAATCTAAAAAGCATGTGTTCTGCAATTCGTTTTCATTAAGTGTTGCGGTAGGTTTTTTAGTTGGGATAAGTTCTAATGGTAAGCAGAAAGCACATGCTACGAAGGATAAATAGTCTGATATTGTGACGGAACGTTTCACAGCAACAACTAAGCTCAATATCAGACTATTTATCCTTCGTAGCATGTGCTTTCTGCTTACCATTAGAAATTGCTATTGAAAGTGACGGAACGTTTGTGCTCGCGTAATGTTTGTGCTCGGGAGCTTAAATTAAAAAAAAGTTCCGACTGTGATTTTCCCTAAGTTCCGGGAGTTAAAATATTGCCGGTATTGGAATGATAAACGAGCTATCTATTTCATGCTACTTATTTGTGAGCGGAGATCTCTCAGTCTTAGAAATTGTTCCAATTTGAACTGGAGTATGCTATTCGGTTTGTTTAAAACTTAGTTTTGTGCTGAAAAAGTCATTTTGTGTTTAGTCTAGATTCCACTTTTAAACCAGATGTGTTTTGTATCAATTAAAAGTTTTTGACATCTTGAGCTCAAATCTAAAAAGCATATGTTCTGCAATTCGTTTTCATTAAGTGTTGCGCGATTGAAATTTTCTAATTTGGGTAAAAAGAGAGCTGGTTTTAGCGCAAAGCATTGAATGTTCCGACTGCACTCAAGATACCTGAAATAGTTTATGCTAAGAAGAAAAGGAGACTTTCAGAATTTGTTCCGCCAATTGGATGGTTTCTTGGTCGGATTGTTCCAAATCACCGGTGCTACGCAATGAAAGAAAACTGGTAAATAGCAAGCATCAGTTTTTTCAAGTCGTTCGAGTTGGCAGTTTTAAACCGCGCGTAATTGTATGGAAAAATCGCAGATAAAATATTTTAATAATTTGAGCTCAAATCATCAAAATCTTTCATAAAGTATTTGAAAAATCTGTCAAATTGGTTACTTGAAGTTCGAAGTTAGCCTGGTGAAAAGTAACTGCGCAGCACAGATATTCCATCATCTTCATTTGAAGTCAGAACAAAAATGTATTTCATCTATGATCATATATCGCAAAGTTTTTTGGGGGTATGAAAATTGCCGGCTTGTAATTGTTGATGAAAGCGAGATCTCAAGTAACTTTTCGCTTCTCAAATGGTTCAAGTTACGCTTTAAATATCATAGATTTGTTAGAATAGTTTTCAGTGGGCGAGACTTCGGTACTCATAAATGTTTTAAGTTTTGCTTTCAAGATATACATAAAGTTGTTCTTCAAAGCGCGATAAATTGGAGCAGAGCATTTCAATTTTCAGAAATTCGACAATTTTCAATTTGCTAGAGTTTAAGCAAAAACATTACAACAGTTTGTTTGTATCCATTTGAAGCAGAGCCGCGATATCTTTATCGCTTAAAACCTATTTCGATCGCTGCAATTACTCTAATTGAAAAAACTTTCAAGCTAATATCTTCTTTGCTTTCTTTGAAAGTCGGAACGTTGATTTGTTTGACGCAAAACAGCATTTACGAGTGTGATTCTGAAAGTGCTTTTTTATTTTTGAGGAAATAGCGGTACATTTAAGCATCAATTTAAGCCATTGGACTAAATTCGAAAAAAAAAATTTATATTCTGAGAAAAGTTTCGGTTCCCTGTGTTCAATGTCAAAAAATGTATAATTTACCAGCGGTAAATTGTAATGCAGTTCAAGAGTTTTGAGAACTAGTAATTTGGCCTGAATGTTGGACTAATTTACACGCGCTTTTACGAATTCATCCATGATGCTGAAATCGTAAATGCTCATTTTTTATGCATGGCGAATGCTTCGAGTTCAATATAAGACCAAATTAAAAAAAGGGCTAGTCAATTGGTCAGAATATTTCTCTATACGGCTTAAATTTTAACTCTTACTATTTGATATTGGCTATTGGGGGAAAAGAGAAGAGTTCAAAACTTTAAAAATTGTTTTTGATCAAATTTTCCGCACTATAAAGTATTTGAGATCATTCAAAGCCTTCAAAGTTTAGCTCTGACCCGAGCAGTCAGTTTTTTTGTTAAATTTCGCATAAGTTCCGAAGAAGTTGTTGAATGTTTGTGTCCTAGAGTTTTTTTATCCAGACGAATTTCGACCTTTTAGCTTGCCATTTTCACAATTTTTTCCCAGGGCTCAAAATTTTAAAAAAAAACTTTCCAACGGTCTTCTTTTTTTCGAAAACTTAGAGGTGTTTGAGTTTGGGTCTACTTTGACTGCTGTGATTCATGTTGGGATTATCACTGCGCAATATATTTCATTCTCTTGCAGCGTCAGCGGCAATTAAGTTTTTCGAAATTGATTTGATGCAAGTACTTTGCTCTTATTTATCGTTACCAGATTCAAAAAATTTTATTTTGTAATTACCATAGAATGTGGTGATTGAAATATGAAATTAAAATTGCAAAAAGCCTTTTTTTGTTTGTTAGTAGCCATTGTTTGTTGGGAGGGGAAAATAGGTAATATATTACCGGGACAGCCAACCGATCTAAGTTTTGCCGGGCTAGGCGTGAAATCTATCGCTGATCCTTTTCAATGATTCGGCCCAAGAACCAATTTTACAACATCTTGAACTGAAACTATTTTGCTTCACCCTTAGTGGCTGGAATTTGCTACTCAAATCTCAGCACTATCTCAAAATGATTTGTTCAAAATTTTACTTCGGCCTTTAAATTTGCCGAATTGGTCAAAAATACAGAAATTTAATTTCAAATAAGTTTTACCTACACTAGAAAGAAAAACACAGAAAATAGCATTATCAGTGTTTAGCTGTATAAATTGAATTTCAAGAAATTGTAAACTTAAGAGAGAAACATGTGAAAAGACTCCTGTCGCTTAAAATGGCGGTAAGATATTTAGATATTTGTTTTCCAAGTACTAAATAAGACAGGCTAGTTGAGAAGCAATGGGAAAATTCAAAGTGGAAAAAAATTGAAAAGTGAGCAACGGTGGTTCTGAGTTATATTACTAATTTCATATAATTTTGATAGACCTTGCTGTGTTATACAGCAACTTTTTTTCTTGTTTAAACTTTAAGTTGGTAAATCCTGGTACTTAAAATTATCCATAGCTCAAATTAGAACCATTCATTACAGCAAATCATAAACAAAAGTTATTTAATCAATCATAGTAGACCAATTTTTGTGCTCTGTATCATATATTATATGCTGAGTTCACATAACCGGCAACTTTAGGTGAAATTTGTAAAAACAACTCAAATAAACGCTGTTTTGAACCTTCATCAATAGATGATGTTCATTTTCTTGCCTCACCCACAACTAAGACCCTTTCTTAGCATATGATTCAATTTCACTACTTGAAATTTTTTTTTGATTTTTTCGTTCTTTTTAAATTATTTTAAATGAAGCATCGTCTTTTTTTCAGTGTGTGTTGACGAATGGCAAGCTCACGAAGATGCCATTTCTACTGTGGACATGATGAAGTACTTAAGTGAAGAACTATGGCTCATTCTCTCATGCAGTGTGGACCTCACCATCAATCTATGGACAATTGATGGGACACACATCGGAGTATTCGGACAGGACAATGCATGGAAGATCCGGAAAATGTCGCCTCTTGATAATATGGAAGACGATAAAGAGGAAATAAATGAGGTTAGGGGTTGAGGGTTTCGAATCCCATCATTACCATTTATGTTTTTTTTTTTCTGAAAAGCATTTTGTCTGAAAAAATTACGCGTATAAGAATGTGGACTTTTTTCGGTTGTACTCGATAGCTTATTGCTCGGAATTTTTCCTTGATTTTAGAATTTGTAGAAAAATGACACATTACATAAGATTTTGTTTTCATTAATGCCATAACATTTTCATTAATGCCATAATGATTTTTTGTTGCTGCGATGATTAATAGTCATCTTATTCCTCATTAATCATCGGCACAGGTGTTTGCCTTTTGACTGAACAGTTTTTATGACACCATTGTCCAGCTAGACCCCAAAACAAATGGCAGCTTTTTAAAAATAAAAATGAGTGAGTTTATTGTTCCTTTAGAATCGTTCCGAGTCACGTAAGACTTCGGATAACCTGGAAACTCAATCTCTGACCTTGTCTCAATTGTCCGATAGTCAGATTGTGGAATTACTGAAGAAGTACGTTAAAATAGTAGACGAGGATCTAATCAGGGAGAGATTTGACGTCTGGAAGACAACTTCGTTGGGTATGTTACCAGAGTTTGAGAATGTTCATCGACTTAGGAATTTTTAACTTTTTTAAGCTGTAACTACCAATGTACAATCAGAGCGCAACCTAAAAGATCTGCTAAGATTGAGCCGTAGTTTGCACTTAATACTCTCCGTATACTCTCCGTAAAACATCCATTTTTGATGTGATAATACATGATACATGCTAAAACCACCAGTTGAAGACTCATACATATTATAGAGATAACTTACATTGATTAACATTTAGAAACCTGATGATTAAATTAGTATCTATTTATACGTAAAGACATGTGTACTAGTTCCTATAAGGCACGGTCTCTCAAATGATTCGAGTTCAGTCTCAGCCAGACTTAAGGGCAGAGAACTAAGTTAAAGTTGCTATTAGAAACTGTCTTATTCTCAACAAGCATAAAAATTGCCTACAAAGCATAGTTTATATCTCACCTAACGCACGAGGGTATAACAATGCCCAGCCAGCAGTGTCAAAAAAGCCGCTCGGTATTCCGCCCTTCTGGTAGAAAGCTTCCGTGGAACCGCCTACCGAGTGGGAAATTTGGAACTAATAATTATTCTTGCGAATCTTTGCAAAAGACGGAATAAATCTGCAAAACCTACTCGGACCACTAGCACCAATTCAAAAACCACAAGAACCGGGGCACGAACTACCAATAACAGGTGAAACAAAAACAGGTGACACAGTTTAGAGACACGGACCTACGAAAACACGAAAAACGCGTTCAATGGGAAAACCAATGTCAGGGACCTACGAAACCACGAAAAACGCGTTCAATGGTAAAACCAATGACAACTTCTAGTTAACAAAGGGCCAACTCTGGATGACGTCCCGTGGGAAGAAGTGAACCTGAAAATCCAAAGTTACATTAACTTGCGCCTAGGAACCGGAGGAAAGGAAAAATGGAGACATTGGAAGAATTCCTCTGTGGACTTACAGTGCTCGTAGTCAAGAGCAACTTCAAATGCACAGCATGCAATGTTGGAGGACTGGAGGCCGACATAATCAGAGATTTAATTGCAGCCAATAGGTCTAATGACGAGGTACAAAAGGATCTACTAGCAGGAACAAAATCGCCCGAACAAGCGATAGAAAACCAGATACGTATCCGGAAACATGGAACATCCGGCAAACCGAGTGGTAACACAAACATAAAATCGGAGCCGGAAAATTTTGTACAAAAAAGGGGCAACTACAAAGCTCAATCACGAGGTGGACTTGGTCGAGGAGCAAAGTCACACAATAGCGGCACCGGTAGATCACCACAAAATAAACCTTGTTTCAAATGCGGAAACCCATTTTTAGCAAATCATCTCCAACAGTGTCCGGCATGGGACAAAATCTGCAATAGATGCACAAAGAGGGTTGATTTTGCTAAACTATGTAAGTCCAGCGAGGTAAACGCGATCCAAGAGAATTCTTCACCAGAACAGGATTTACCAGGGACAGACATGACCGCATACATAAATTATCTCCAAGCAGGAGATATTATCCCGGGCTAGGAATTAACGCATCCGGATGATACATCAATTGGTCTTATACACTTCGAACATAAAAAGGCAGACACGATCGAGGATAACAATCTCAAGGGACACCTCATCCGGGTCCGATCAGGAAAAAACCTTTTCTTTAATGCAGACACTGGATCGCCAACTTCTTTTGTCCACGAAAAGACAACAACTCTGCCAAAATCCTCCGTGAAATCGGCGAGAAGAATCAAATTGGAAAACAACGATGAGGCTGTTTGTATGATTCGCTTGAATAGATTAAAAAATTCCCTCATTCGGTCAACTAATTGCCCCTTTTGAGTCCGGAGGATGGACAGTTCAAACAGCTTCTTTCATAGTGGTGGAAGATAGACGAGCAAACATCCTGGGACGCAACCTACTACCGCTAATACAACATTTCACTCTAACAAAATTGACAGTGCGGATGCAAAAATTGCAACCTGGGTCAAAACCGCGTGCACAGGACTCTGCACACACATAGGGCGTTCAAAAAACCATATGATTTACACTAACTTTTTCGAAGAATTCAAGGCTCTGCAACAACGGAGAAGACGCATCCCCATCCACATGCAAGAAAAAGTGGAAAACGAAATACGATCGCTAATTGACCAAGAACACATAACTCATCATGAAAAAAGCAGTGACCGAAAATTCATAAGCCCCATCGTAATAACAGTGAAAAAAATACGTCATGAAAGTTTGCAATGGATTCGAAACAAATAAAGAAATCGATCCACAAAAACAATTATCAAATGCATAATTTTCAGATTTTGTTAGACAATTTTTCACAATCGGCGCAGGAAGGTTCAAACAAACCGGTTACGACCTATTTTTCAACAATAGATCTACGCTAAGCCTATAGTCAACTTTAGACCATTAGACCAAAAAACACGTACAGTGTAACTTTAGCATAATTGGTGTTAGGGCAACCGGAACTTACCAGTTCCAAACAGGCTTCTACGGGCTCACTGACATGTCCACACAACTGCGGAAAGCTATAGATTTGTCACCAATCAACGAGAAACACACGTTCGCATTTCTAGACGACATCCTGATCATTTCGCACGGTATAAAGGAACAACACTCTGAAAAACTCAGAAGGGTCCTTGATAAGTTGGAAACCGGAAACTTGGCTATCTCGGTCGACAAATGTAAATTTGTGTGCAAATAAGTGTAGTAATAAATGAAAACGGCACAACCCCTATGCAAAAGAAAACAGACGCAACCGTGAACCTGCAGCATCCAAAAACATTCAAACAACTCAAAAGCTTTATGGTTTTTATTCATCACTTAAGCAAGTTCATTCTAAACCTGGCCCAGCTATGTACCCCATTAAGATCTTTACTATCTAGAGCTAACAAAATTTACTTTGAATGGAACGAAGATAATAAAAAAGCATTCGAAAATTTATTAAACAGGGTTTAAAACATCACCGAGAACAGACACTTTGTAAGTAATAGAGAAACACGCATACCTTGAGACGCTAGCCGTGCCAGTATAGGGGCAGCCCTCAAACAGGAGACACTGGATAGCTGGGCAACCATTGCGGATGCGTCACGTGTCCTAAATTCGTGTGAACAAATTGAACTGGAACGAACTGGAACTTTTGGCCACGGTATGGGCCAATGAACATTTTAAGTTTTACCTATACGGCAGACGGTTCACTTTAATTACAGATCACCAAACATTAGTACGTATTAAGCGCCCATACGTATTAAGGGCCCATAAAGCAACAGAGGTAAAAAAAAACTACTAAAGTAGTTTAACTAGGTGGATCGACAGACTTATTCCGTTCGATTTTGACATACATCAGCTATCAGGCAGTTAAATGGGCCTAAATTATTACATTTGAGGACACACGGTTGGTAAACCACAACCTCCGCCATGCTGGAACGAACATTTTGTTGTCAAACTAATCGATGACTTCGTAAAATGTTCAGATTTCTTAATAAGCAGCATCGCAAACATAACTTCGAACGAAAATCCAACCAGAAACCTAGGCACTAAAAAAGCTCAACCGGAACGAAAATTTATCATCTTCAAAATCGGTTAAGACAAAAACTGCATTCACTGTTCGAAGTCAATTGTTTCAAATTTTTCGGTTAGCCAATGCACAAATAATTCATAATTCTTCAGATAACAAAAATTCCAATCGCGTGCCATAAATCAACAAACAATTAAAACAAGGCATGGCCGTACTACCATTTAAACGGATAGTTAGAAAATGCCACAGTGGCAATCAAATCCAGTTTACCTTCCCACCAACTAATTACGCCTTATTCAACGACTTTCTTACTAAACCACCACCGCCCGAACTAACAATTAGCGAAGTGAAACACCAAGTCATCCCGTTATCAGAGAGTTATTTATTCCGGAGAGTGGAAAATAACAAAGTAGACGCAATATGCCAGACAATGAAAGGAGAAGAAAAACAGGACAGAGTGTCAAACAGCTACCATGGAGGAGGAAGACAAGCCATTGTTCCGCTCATGAACATGGTAAAACAGCAGAGATGTGACAATCTAAAAGATTGCTACAGACCCTCTTTTGCAACACCGCTAATCAGTCAAGGACAATATTTTATTGTAGGACGATAGGGTCGTGACATAGGGACGATAGGGTCGTTACATTGTTTCAACCGAAAAAATTGGAAAAAATGCTATGATAAGGGTAAAAATCCTGATGTAATCTCCGGCAAAAAAACATACAACACTCGATGCGGTGGTCGAATCTGACGAAGAAGTCCAGTTGGATTTCGCGGGTCCATTACCTGACGAAAAAACGACAAAGCAGTCTCTATGTTAGTGATGGTCGATCGCCTCTCCCGATTCCCTTACGCGAAATTTGTTTAAAAAAATAATAAAGCTGATACAATCATCCGTTTTTTGCAAAACCATATCATTAAAAACAGCGTACGACGTAATAATCGATGCGATCAAGCACAAGGCTTTCGGGCCAAACGTTTATTACATATTGCAAAAGTAACAATATCAAACTAATAATCGCACCAGTGGATGACCACAGGTCAATGGGTATGGTGGAAAGGGTCATTAGAAATTTTAAAATGAGACGCGATAATAAAAATCCATAAAACAAACAGGCCATACAAACTTGCGTCGGATGTAGCCGATTTGATTAAAACACTTCGCATAACGCCAATTGCAACCACAAAAAATACCCCTTTCGAAGCCCATTTCGGCCGAAAGGCTAACACCACTGAGTAACATTAGCACATAAGCAAAACTGGCCAATTTTCATGGGAAATTCATAAGCTATCTTGTTCAAATGAAACGCTACTAACGAAACCGGAATTACCAGCGGAGGCCATGTGGGACCGGAAAAGAATAGCGAGGACGAGCTTGACGTGGTATACAAGGACACGATAACAACAAAGCAGTGGGACAATCAGTACTTATCTGAACCAACCTTCCTTCCCGCTCCAACAACAGACATCACTGCCAAGAACACTCAAGAAATCACAGTGGACAATACTCAGATACCACGAGAAAACCCGGGGAAACAACGAGCTAAAGAGCAACGGGACACTACGACAAATACGGATGCAATCACACTTGAGAGCAGCGATGAGGAGTGTGACCAACAACTACTCAAAAAGTTCCTAAAAGGTGCACATCTACCGCTTTCGAACAAACTTTACGTATTAATAAAGCTAAAACAGGCATTCTTAAGCAGAGAAAAAAACCTCTCAGAACACCTAAAAACACGCAAACCAATAAGACTCTTTACAAACCAAGAAAAATAGAAACTTGAAAGAGCATTGCTAGGCTTCTTGAAAAACCGATTCAAAGGTCCAGCACTCAATAGATCTAAAACGGGACTTCGGTTGGAACAAGTTGCTAGAAAAACGGGAACCATGGAAAAGAAAACCAAAAGTCCCGGCAAATTTGGGGCACAATTCAAAATTATCGAAAACGGGTCAATACTAAATTACTCTCCACACACTGCGTGGGTGGGAGTGGACGGCAAACAGCCGCGAGTAGTTAGGCACGATGGTCTTGCCTTCATACCGGACCCAAGGGTCTATGAAAAGTGTAGACCGGCGGCCTTATAGGATTTTGTGGCGTACAAACACCTTCATAGAGCCAAACCACATGTTTCAGAATAAAAGACAATCGACCAGAACACCACAAAGGAGAGAACAACCACAAGCCCCAAACTGTCACGGCCGAAAACGATTCACAAAGCCATTCAACAGTCAATAAATCGCAGGTCATTAAGACCTCAAAGGATGCTCAAACCGTTTACAAGCAAATCCAAACATACCCAGCGAGCCATTCAATACTCCAGAGACAGTACACCGCACCACCAACAGCAAGCGCGACCATCAGGAAACTTCAGCCCCAAAAGAAACCCAAAGTCGACCTAAGCAAAGTCCAATTCGAGTGCGGCACCTCAGTTTCTTTATCGTCCGATTCAAATCATAATCGCAAAACGCCATCCCTCGAAAAAACCGGCCGCTAAAAGGATCGACATTAAAGCCACACACGAGCAGAAGTCCCCGGAAATCAGACGATCCACGAGACCAAGGAAAAGTACACCAGCCACAAAATTAGGCAACGCAATTCCAATTAGTCAGATCTCGGACCCTATTGAACTACAGATAACGGTAGCAAAGATCCAAGACTCAGCAACAATCAACAGCACGCAAAACAATATTAATGTCAACAAAACAGCAGATACCAACCCATCGCCACAGATTTCTTCCCAGGAGATCATATGCACAAAAATCCATGTGGACACAGCAACACAAGAAAATACGCGAGATGCTGGTACGGACAATCACTTGCCGCTCATCAAAACAAGCTCCCGATATGCTCGAAAAACCGTGAACAACCGAGGAATCGTTCAGCAAGAACTTTGAGAAAGCTATGAACATCCTCCAATGTATCTCACCGATCTGAGGAAATACGATGACCTTCCAATGAGAGAGAGAGAGAACTCATCACGCAACAATCAAACAGAACAACCGGACATTCCACACACTGATAGAGACAAAAAAAGAAGGAGGACACCAAAGACACTGAAAAAAGAACAAGAGGTTAGAAAATTGATTTACTCAATAATTCAAAAAGAGGGAAATGTTATCCGTACGGATATTAGAGTAAACTATCCATTGCTGATATTACATATATGCTATAACCAATAGTTGAAGACTCATACATATTATTGAGATAACTTACTTTGATTAACATATAGAAGTCTGATGATTAAATAAGTATCTATTTATACGTTAAAAAAATATGTACTAGTTCCTAAAAGGCACTGTCTCTCAATTGATTCGAGAACAATGTTAGCCAAACTTAAACGTAGAGAACTGAATTTATTCTCTACAGGTATAGAAGTTATCGACAAAGCATAGTTTATATCTCACCTAACGGACGAGGGTATAATACCGTACAAGCTTAATTTTGAGTGTCGCCTTTCAAAAACGCTCCTTCTGACAATTTCATTGGTGTGAAAAAATTCAGTGTTGATCAGCTAACGTTTCTGATGATCAAATTTGTATACGTAAAAGCGGATTTAGGGGCGGGGGAGTTTAAGTTTTGAAAATCCACCCTCTAGAAAACTCTAGATCCACCTCTCTGTACAAAATTGTTATAGAAATAAGGTTTTCATTATTGTGATCAAACTATTTGCTTAATTTCTTTTCTCCCTGTCGTAAAAAATATAAGTAAACCATTGTGAGTATCATTTCAACGCTGGACTAATTAAACTCAATGATAGGTAGCATATTTTTTTCTAGCGCCTTTTTTTAGTGAAGCACTCTAGTTCTGTAAAAGGTAGAATAATTATTATATTTTACCCTGTAAAACTTGCCATTACCTTGCATAGCTTACATCATTTATAAAACGTTATTTGGGCAGGTGGTACGTAATCAGAGTTATTGTTGTGACCACTGAAACCGCTTTGCTTTGTAGGAGTGCGCTACTCGGAAGACAGGGCGGCTAAACGAGAGCGGAAGCAGCCCTCGTTCCAGCGGGACTTCCCCTACCTCTACTCCGACTCCATGGGCAAACCCGCTTTTGGACCACACTATGTAAGCAGCCGTATATACAATACATATGCACACTAACTGCTTGAGAGTTTATTGCATTTAATGAAAAACTAAGCATGAGTACCATTTGTTCCAGTCTCTTGACACTCCTGAGTTAGAAGACACTGCACAGTCTATGCCTGAGAAGCCGAAGAGCATCACTGACGACTCCCTCATGCGCAGTGCAGACGCCGCCACAGACGATCAGCTACACCAGCAGCGACTAGACATATCCACTCGTGAGTTGCCGCCACTCCAGTAACCATTTCCGCTCACTTTTGAGATCAGTAGCTGCATAAAGTTACGCTGTGTGTTCAATTGTAAGAGCAGCCCAGTTCCTTCCCCAAAATGTTCACATAATTGGGAATAGTTTGTGAATTCTGCTTTCGACCAGAAAGCTTAAATTTTACTGTCTTTTAGGATAACCTAATTCTGAAGGGAAGCTTGTTATAATCCAGGGAGTACAAAATCCTAAAACATAGTTGCAAAAAGCTCTTAAGGAAAACAGAAAACAATTGGCCTCTGTTGCTTAAAGCTAAGTTATACTAAGCTGTTGTTGGGTTTTCTACGAAGCTGGAAAAACTGGAACTCACTGCCCGCAAACTTATTTTGGTGAATGGTTTCAGCTCCCAAACACAAGTTCGAAGAGAGAAATCTGTTCACACGATCCATGCTCCAACGAGACCACGAGAAAAAACTGAGCAAAGCTCAGGAGACCAGACGAGGAACTATGTGGAACATACACCAGAGAAGCGCCGCTGGGTCCAAAATGTCCACGGCCAAAATATCAGTTGCATCCCAGCAGAAAAAAGTATCCACTGCATCCCAGATGGGCGCATCTATGGCCCCGAAGTCCAGACTAACAAGTGTGGCGTCCAAACAATGATGATTGAAAACATTGGCGCAGTTCCCTTTAGTGTGTCAGAACTTAGATCGATTTTTTCTTAAATTACTAATGTAACATATCTCAGAAAACTCACATATAAATTAAAGTATTTTTTGATCACTTTTTGCTAAACCTGTAAGTTAAGTTATTGGACACACTGGTTATGTTGAGGTATTTGAGCTGAAGTTACTTCGATAATGATATTTCAATAAATTTTTGTGACCACATTTTAGAAAGTCAAGAGAAACTCTTGGGCGATAGCAAAGCGGTGGAGTATTGGTGAGCGCTTAATAAACTAACCATCAGATCATGGAAACCGAAACAGATGCACTTTGGTTAAAAAAACTTAGAAGAAAGCTTTATGCAATTGGTGCTGATGTTTTAGTATATGATGATAACTTCAAATATTCCGTATGTTCATTAGACAAAGTTGAAAGCTAATGAAGTATTATACCGTTCTCGATGTCTTCTCAATGACTTTCTGCACTTTCCACTCTTTTTTGAACCTATTTTATTTTGTATGATATTATAACAAAAAAGCATTGGTGTACTTAAATAGCTTTAATTATCTAAAAAAGTTTCTCAATTACATGAAAATCATAAGGTGCCGTCTGGTGGTAAAAAAGTTTGCTGCGTCAAAAAATTGATGCCAAATCAAGAAGAACTCAGCTCAAAAAATTACTTAAGAATGAATATTTCAACCAACTTTTGAAGCGTAGCTCAACAGCAAACAATAAAAAATCCTCCCTATCATCAAACAGATCACTTTTTACAATGTTTTAAAATCCTAGCACAAAATTTCAAAAAATGAAATTTTTATATATATGGTAATATGGAAATTGTTCCTCAGGTATGTGGATGACATTGTTAGAACAGTCAGAGGGGAGCCGAGTTGTCTTCTCGATGCCGCCAATTCTCTTCATCCAAATTTGCAGTTCACTCTAGAGAAAACTAATTCGGAGGGAATTTGCCGTTCCTGGATTTGAACATAAATGTATCGCAGGGTAGGCGTGTAACTTGCAGTTGGTATCAAAAACCAACAGATACAAGGACTATACTGAACTATAGAAGCTGCGACCCAACTCAGTATAAGCGTAGTGTTATCCAAGGCACTGTACACAGGGTTTTTAGTAGTACATCTAGCTGGGAGCAATTTGATAAGGCTATGGAAACTAATAGGGCGCAATGGCTGACAAATCAGTACCCTGAAAATTGGTCCGCAAAGGTGGCTTCAGACGCCTTGTGCAAGATCATCGAGGGTAAGGGCAAGCCCCTGGATAGTGACAGAGGTTTGTCAGTTCAATCACCAAAGGATGGGAAGCCCCCAATGCTGATGGTGCAATATAGAGGTAACCAGAGCCAATATTTTGCTAACAGGTTACGAAAATTAACTAACGTTCAAGTGGTTTTCACCACAAGAAACCTACAATCATGTTTACCATCACTGAAGTCAGCATTTTCTAATGACCTCAAGTCAAGAGTGGTTTATAAACTGTCATGTAGTGGATGCACTTCCACCTATGTCGGACAAACTGTTCGAAAATTGACCACTAGAATTGAGGAACATAAGAAAGCAGACTCACCGGTAGGACTCCACCTTCAGCAATGCCAACTTGAGGGAAATAGCGCAGATCTTAGTTGGGAAATTATAGATAGGTCAAACAACCAAACAAAATTGCTAACACTAGAGGCAATACATATCAGGAAAGAGAAACCGGGCTTGAAGACGCGCGATGAGTTTAGGAGCAGGGAGTTAACACTGAAAATTTAGTCCCAATATTTTTTTGGTTTTTTATTCAAAACGTACATATCTAAATCGAAATTATGACAGAAACTTCCAGACAAATTAATTTTAAAATGTTTAATTATTTTTTTAGAGGTTAAAAGTATTTTAATCTTAATAGTAATTTAGAGGTCAACTGTGATTGGCTAATTTTTTATCATGATGGTTTAGAACCAAATTGTATGTGATTTAGTGTAAATAACATTTGTAAATTGATGTTTTATCGTCATTTAGAGTAGTTCATTGTAAAAATCCTGACGATGCACATAGTTGCGAAAACGTTTAAAATTTACTTTTTAGCAAAAATTTCTTCTATATGGTAGTATATTGAAATATAATGAGCACATAAATGTTCGTTTTTTTTCAAAAAGTTTAAAAAAACCGTCAGTAAGAAGTTTATTGAACAGTTTAAAAGAGAATAGGTTCAGCCATCTCCAAGAGTTTTATCGTTAATTGTATTTTGCGTCTAAAGCAAAAGACAAAAGTAGAGTTGATATTTATCTTTAAGGAACTAGGCAACAATATTCATAGAAAAATCTGTGTTTTGCTCCAAAAAATATATTAAAAAAAAAGAAATAAAACTGGACAGAAATTGACAAAAATTAAAACCATATCATTCCGGATAAGATTCAGAAATCAATGTTTTTGCAACTGCAGTTTATCAACTTTCAGTTCTAAAATCTGGTATAAGAAAGTCAAAAATGCGTATCTCTTGCGTGTTTTTTGGTGCTTTGAGGTCGCACATAACATTGGTAAAGTATATATGTAAGTTTTCAGATTTTTTGGGAGAAACACAGGCAACATATGTTTAATATATATTCTATGTTGCGCGTTAAGAGTCTTTTGAGTCTATTGCGGAGGAACAACAAAAAAACCTTGTTTTAGAATGAATTTTGGAGCAACAAAGTTTATAAATTTATTACTGTATCTTTTTTGAAGTCAGACGAGTGTATCTGTAGAGTTGTAATTTTTTTGGGCTCAATTAATCAAAAATATTCAGACTGAACAAAAAACTTTGATGAACATTTCAGGTTAGAAGGTGAAATTGTCTGGAGAAAAAACACCACGAGCGCAATTTTTTTTTCGAAAATGGCAAACAAAGATGTTTTGTTAAAGAAAATAATGCATTAACCGGTGCATGTTGTAAAAAAAAAATGATCTTGTTAATTATTCCCCCACTCCCTATTTTCCCTTTTTCGATTTTCAGAAAATCAAATTTGAGTTTAGAAAATTTTCAGAAAATATATTTAGTTAAAAATTTTTAATGTAAGTATTATGTAAAAAGCGAGTAATGCAAATACGCCGGATTGACCAAAAAAGCTAGTCATACAATTTTAATATATAGAAAAATGCTAATCGTACGCTTTTTATGCAATTCCGTAAGTACAGAAAAATGCATGAAAACGATTAAAGATTTTTCATATATGGATTTTGTATGATTAGCATTTTCCCATAAACAAAAATTTTTTCTTAAAATTTACTCTCCGATTACAAGCAATAAAAACCATTTCTTACTCAAAGCGAGAGTCAACAAAAGTTTGATTGTCCAGCATTTACAATGCATTTGAAACGACATGAATTGTATAAGCGTTTCCTATACAAATCGTATACTGAAAGCATAAAACTTATAAATTTTGGCAAAAATTTTCAATGATGATTTTTTTCAAAATGTGATTGCTTAAATTATCAGACATTGATTGAGGCACACATAAGCATGCCATAAGAAACAAATTCGAGTTTTTAGCGTTTTCGAAAAAAAAACTATTCCGAGAAACGGAAAAAATTTTCACTTTTGAGTATTCAGGACTTTATTATGCTCACAAAACTTAATATTTGCATGCAAAAAAGTTTCTTTTTGAAAGTTTTTTTTAAGTACGAAATTCGATTTGCACTTGACAAAAAAATTTGATGCAATTTCGAAATTCCTTTATTGTCGAAAATGTTTATTCTTGTTATCAAAAAAGTGCTAGTCATACAGTTTCCATATATGGATTAGCATTTTCTAGACAAAAAAGTTACACGCCAAAAAATTACGATACACCGACTTTTATGCCAAAACAAGTAAAATGTTTTTGAAAATTCGGTGAAACCATTTTAGTAAAACTTATGAATTTTGTATGATTAGTATTTTTCATAGACTTTGAAAAAAAACCCAACTAGTTATGACATTTTTGAAATGCTTTTTTAAAGTTTGTGGGAAATCTCCCAATTTTAATAATTTTTTTTAATTTCGCAAAGTTGAACAAACATTTACAGGCAGTGTTTTGCATAGAAAAAAAACAATTTTTTTTACGTTAATTATAAGAAAATAATATTTAATAAGTAAAATGATGCAGGTCAATAAAATGCGCACTACCAACTAGAATGGCTCGCCAGCGCAAGTAGGGGACGAAACAACTAATCTAGACGCCGACAATAGCATAAAAATTTAGCGAGGTGTGAGTAGTAGCTTAGGAAATATCCCTGAACTAAAATAATCCGTAGTTGAATTATTAATACTGACATCTAATACTTTTTGATTAATACTGAGGTATGACCAGAGGAAAGTGGATACTATATGCCCATTTCTCATAGGGAAGCAGTGGAGAAGTGTTTGTGTCTCGGCCTCTCAATAAAAAAGTCGCATGTTCGAGCCCACCATGACACGTGGTCGTTGCTTGTGGGCGAAGCAACATCAGCCAGCCCAACAAATTAGTCAGAAAAGTTGCATGTACATCTTGACAAGTTCTAGGGGCACAACCGACAGCATTTCTCCATGAGAGCTGAGCAGCTCTTATCTTGGTCCTTTCCTGAGGGAGAAACCGTGCCAATTGGCTTTGGTAATGGTTATTCGGCTTTATACAACTCATGTGGCAGCTCATCTACTGAATGGACTTCAAGGCTCAATTGTTTAAGAACTGTTTCTTTGTTTTAACTATCAATGAAAACTTTTATTTTGTCAATCAACGGTATAAATTCGTGAAACTGAAAGTTAAGTGCGTGGGTTACCTCGTTATCTAATGAAAATCTACTTAACAGGTGGACGACGCCAATTTAGGAAATCATGTTATTTTACTTCAAAAAAACATGAGTAACTCATGGTGTTCCTCTATGATCGATCCTGTATCCTTTGCAGTTTCTTTCTTACAATTATGATTCACACTCTCATTGTAAAAGTTCATTTTTTGTTCTGTAGTTGATTTTGCAATTGTTAATTTCTTTGAGTGCTTTTCAAGTCAGCGATTAGAACGATACAAATCATATCACTTAAATTACAAAGAAAACCAAAAAATTATAAAATATTTCTAGTCAAAAACTGCAGCGGCAGATTAATTCAATTGCCTAAAGCAACAAAGAATTTGAACAACTTTCGTTAATTAAGTTTTAAAGAACATGATTGATGCAAAACTCAGTTTGATCCTCACAATAAGAACATTTAAAGCAAACTATCAAAATTTTGTGGTCCTTTTTAAAAAACCAGTTACATGTTTCATCCGTAAGCATCTGTTTAGTTACTGAAATTTTCTCATGAAAGTTTTTCAGCATGGTCTTTTTGTACAGTTTTTCAATTAAAAGTTAACAGAATCATGTTTCAAGACGGCAAAAACGAATTGCAGGAATCATATTTTCTATCTGATGCAGTGATTCTGTTCAAAAATTGATGATTGAGTACAAAAAACCCAGTAAGATTGAATTGCTTTTGTAAGATTTGATAAAATAGTTACTCCAACAATTTTCGAAAACCAGCTACTTACTTTTTATGAGTTTGTACCTTCCAGTCAAAATCTGAGACGATCATAGGGTTTTAATAAATTTTCTCGTTATAAGGAAACAAGTATCAAATACTTTTTTTAAAACAGGTTGATTGCACATTAAAAAAAAAAATTTCTGCATCAATTTCTGTGGTTCATATCTTCTGTCCTACACAACGGCAGCAGTTCTTCTAGATGCTCGGACCATTTGAAATCGTTGTATTCAGCTGCGTTTTAGCCATACTTTTTTGGCCACCACTTTATTCATCGCAGAGAGTTGAGTGGTATATCATAATAAAATAACTTTTCAGTCATGATTCGAACAAAATTTTAAAATTTTGAAAAAAGTTTGACCAGTGTTGAGAAAAATTGGTTTGAACTTTTTGATCTTTTGTCCAAATTCGAGCAAGTCGCGAGCACGCTTTTTTATGCTTATGTTAGGCAGTTTACAATAGCCTAATTAAAATTAATTTTAATTTTGATCAAGTAAACAGTTTTTGGAGATTTTTAATGCCATTTTGGGAATCAAAAATTTCAAAACTTAAAAGATTTTTTCGAAAACATTGAAAAAAATGTGATTTTTAAAGCTTTTTTTCTTCAAAAACTGTTGTCCTGTTTGGTTATTGTACTACGATTGTCGAAGATGCCTAACATTTATGACAGATCCTTTGTCACAAGGCGCAGAAAAAACTATACTAAAATGATTACTGTGAGGATGATTGCATCGTACCATCCATTCTTGTTCCCCGGACAAATTTTGATGATCGAAGCAACAATTTTCCATTTTTTTTAAAGTGATGCCACACTGAAGAGTTTGATAGCCGTTATAACAAATCTCAAAAATTTAGTTATCATTTTGCAATTTTGAATCACAACAGAAATAAAATTTCAACGATTGAGCATATATGAGTTTTGTGCCTGGTAACGAATTTACCCCTTTTGCAGAAGGGGGAATTGTCTAGCAAGATCCAATTTTTAAATTATACATGCGATGAATTTGGCATCGATTTGTAGAAGCTTCATTTTATATCAAAAACCAAACATTGAAATTTTGAAAAAAATCTTTGGTCACCTAACCTAATCGACAAGTCTTCTTTTTTATTAGCTTTTGAATTTTTACTTGTTAGCAGTAAATGTTCAACCAAACTAAAAAATAATACTTATTGGAAGCATAACATAAGTAAGAAATTTAGGGCAATTTTTTTCTAATACAATCTAATAAAATTCTTCTACTCTCGGCACGCAAAATCAAGGTACCATAGGGGGGATAGTGAACGCTTTTTTTATTGAAAACGCATCAGAGATCACTCCGCTTTGACAGCTGAGATATTTTTCTTTCTCTCAAATTGTTACTTATGTGATAATTTCATTTATACGTAATAATCAGAGAGCCATAATAAACTAGATGATATTTAGCTGGTCAACAAAAGTTATTTTGGCTGAATCGTTTTTTAATACCAACTGTTTGATAATGGTTGGCCGCTTAATGTTATCAAAGAGAATACTCTTGTATCTCCTACAGAGCTTTTGTTTCGAATATGTCCAAAAATGTGCGTGTTTTAACAAATGCTTACTAATATTACTCTTTAAAGGCATAAAAAACGTACACAGTCAGAAACCAAGTCAGTTATAACACGTTGAGTTTTAATTTATAAGAATCCTACGCAAGACTTAAGATTACTTTTCAATTTTTATTGAATATTTCAATTATGAGTGCAAACAAAAAAATTTAATATGTGGCCGCTTTCAACAAGAAGTCAAATAAATTCATTGCCTCTTGAAACTGATTTGCAAAAAAAATTCTCGGCCAAATGCTCAAAATCAAACTGCAACCTGTTTTGGTTAAGCACAAAAGCATTCATAAATGTTGTATATATCCAAAACGCAGCATCTTAAATCGAAATTATTAATTAAAGTTGTTTGGTTTCATAAATTTCTTTTTTATTTTTGGTTAATTATGTGACAAAGTACTGGCATTTAAAACATTCTTTATAATCAAATATGGAAGTACCAATAATGATGAGCAGTGGATCGTGCCTCGAACTCTTCGCCAATCCTAACAAGTATAATATACCAATAAACCGAGAAAGCATTTCGATGGAAACACGAAGCAAAGTGTCAACTCCGATTAGAAACTTCAAAGCGGTTCCTTTTACATCATGTTTTGATGACATGCAAGATTACGTGCGATTGATGGTGGAAGATCTAGCCGCGTGGTTGAACGATATCTACCACATTGAGTTAAGTCTGGATAACTTTTTCGAATGCCTGGACAATGGTGTTCTGTTGTGTCAACATGCAAACAACCTCCAGAGACTGGCAAGGTCCTATGCGGCCAGACATCCGGAAGAAGTTAAGAAGAGGGGAGTGGTTATTCCGAAGGAGTCTGTGTCCTATAGACCTCAAGTGCCAAGAGGCACTTTCCTAGGTTAGTGGCCTCAAAGACTTTTGGCAAATGATTGGCCAAATTGTCTTTTTCCCGTGGAACAAACCACAAGTGATTTTGAACAAAAGAAAACGTCAGGTTTTTCATTCATTTGGCAAACTGATTTTTGTTGAAAATTTTCTTTTTCGAAAGTCCAAAATCATCGTTTTAAAAAAAATTGTTGTTGAGAAATTTTTTTCAGCTCTTTGCAATTCGAACTGTGCATGCTACTTTTCTTTTTCTGGATAATTTGAAATATGTACGTAAGTTGATTTTTTCATGCTATCCTATATCAGCACGAGGAAACGTGGAGAACTTCATCATCTGGTGTCGTGATCAGATTGGGATCCCTCAGTGCCTGCTGTTCGAAGTGGACGATCTAGTGCTCCGGAAGAACTGCAGGAACTTCGTCTTATGTCTCCTTGAAGTGTCTCGTAAAGGAAGGAAGTTCGGAATGCGCATTCCGGGTCTGCTAGCTTTGGATGCATCCGTGGAGCGAGAGGAGAAGGAACTTGATAGACTGGACAGGTAATACTTCTCATATTCCCAGTTTTCTTTTGCCATCATAGAGTGAAATCGATTTTCCTGAGAAATGAAAGACAATTTATCAAAATATGTGTGAAATGAAAAAGAATTTTGTAAATCAAACTCGAAAACAAATTGTAGCTGCAAAAATTTTGCAACACCTTCTATGCTCTGATAAATTTGAAGCTGGTAATTAGTAAAAAAAAAACGCGAATTTTTTGATAAAATTCTCTACAAGGTGGTCAAATAAATTAAGTCCTCTTCAAAAACTTCCTGTGTTAACTATTGATTATATCAATTTTTTAAATGTTTTTCCAAAGTATGTTTTTGATCAACTCTACGTTAAGTTTATCATCGCTACGTCAAGCTACGATTATTTTTTTCATCAATAACCTACAGCTAAACAAGAGTGGCCGTTTTTTTGGAAGTAGAGAAAACACACCTGATGAATAAGTTCCTTTTCGCATCCTGTTTGGAGAAGCAACAAATGGTACACGGCAAGAAAATGCAGACTGCAACTGTTTTTCTCTACTCTTGGATTTTTTTTGCAATTTTTCACTGCAGCGCTAATATGACTGTGATCTATCACTCGACACCCTCTTGCGTTTTTCTACAATACCTGACCTTGAGAGAGATAAAAACTCATGAATCCAAAATTTATTTCCACTTTTTTCAAAAAAAAAACTAAACGAAGATGTCTTCCCAGATGTCTTCCGAGTCGGATTGCGAAGAACTCCACCTGCTGTAACTGGGAACTGCTGAGAGATGTGGACGACGAAGTTAGGAGACAGCTGGCACTCTGTGCTTGCGAGGAGAAGTTTGGACTGACTCAGGAGGCACCCGGCAGATACATACTGGCGAAAGATGGAAGAAGGGTGTTTGCACGGGTAAGAACCATCACAACCGACCAAAATATCAGTCCAAAAGCAACGATAGCCAGTTGCTGTTCAAAGATTAATAAAGAGATCAGCTTCTCATTCAATTAGTCCAATAATCCAATACTCGATGTAAATTTGTCCGAAAACTGGAAAAGTCTGACCAGTTTTTCGAGTCAAAAATTTTTCCTTGTTTTTCTCAGACCGTTTTGATAGTTATATATGTCTTTGTTCTAGAGATTGCGCGACAAAACTGTGATGAGGCTCTCAAAAGACACCGAATGGGAAGTCGCCAATTCATTTTTCACAACCCATGACCCCTGTCGACTCAGCGAAGACACGACTATAAACGAGACACTCAGCTCCGAACCCGCCACTAAGAAAACCGAAACAACTCGAAAACAGCATAAAGTGAAACGAAAGTTGGATTTCGAAGCGAAGCGACGATGTAAGACGCCTGACGGAAGATCAAATAGTTCAAAACTCGAATCTGAGCTAAGCTGGAAATCTCTTGATTATGCAAATTGTTTTAAAAACGAGAGCTCGAATCTCAGCGAAGTCCCAATAACTTTGAATGATGGCAACCTTCGCAAGTTAGAAAACGGCTTCGGAAATGAAATGGAGCAACAACGACATATGTTGGATTCAATTCAAAGCGAAAACCAAAATCGCGTGGACAGTAAACAAAGTCAACGTGAAAAACAAAATGACCATTTTCTCGATAAAAAAACACAGCATCAAAACCCTCAAATACATGTTTCTGATACTAGTGAGAATTTTCTCGACAAACCTGTCTCAGAACCTATTCCTTTGAGCCCGCAACACACTAACTTGGATTCGTTTAGGAGGCGGAAAAGGCGAAAGATCAAAGCAGCACAGTCTAGATGTCACAGCGCATTAGCCGAGTTTGATTCTAAATTGGTAGGCGAAAATAACAGCGAGAAAGAAATCCGAGGAATCGATCAAACCGATGGTAGAATTAAGAAATACAGCGTGTCACAATTGCGAAATTTGCTGGGATTGCCTCAAAAGGCAAACGAACAGGTTGAAGCGAAATTAGTTTCAAAATGCGAACAGCAAAATGAGCATGCATTTAAGGCTTGGAGTTCTAGAGGTTATCAGAAATCACTGCTTACTAACATGACGAACAAGCAATTGGTTGTTGAAGATCATACTTATGAAAATATTGGACCCAATTTGTACGAAAACCTCCCTTCCAATGCATTGCATTATTCGAGTGATGTCTCACGTAATCCAGTAGATGACCCAGGAAGCAAAATGCATAATCCAGCTGAAATGCTACAAAACACAGTTGAATTGTTATACAATCCGGGAAGCATTTTAGAGAACACGGGCGAAGTTTTACATAACCCAAGGTCTACGAGCAGACATAGATCTCGATCCAGATTGGGCGAGAACCGTCGTCGTCTCTCTGATTACGCAACATCACAGGATTCGGGAATCTGTCTGGAAAATTCCAATCCACTGAGGTCACAACCTGTAATGTTTGATTCTTCGCCTCCAGATATAGTTTCAAGTGGAACTCGAAATTCCAGAGCATCCCAGGTACCAGCAGCAGTTTACATAAATCGAGGACCAAGTATTCATCAAGAACGACCTGATGTCATTTTTCTTCCAAATGCCAATGATGTCAAACTTCAGAATCAATCCGAGAAAAACAAATGGCAAAGTCATTCTGAGTTCCGTTCCAGAACGTATTCTCCGAATGAACCGAATGAGCGAGTTCAATCTAATCAACAGGAGATGAATATTTGTCAAGCTGATCTAAGAACAAGAAAACTTTCGGAACCGAAAAATTTTGGAGATGTAGATGACAATTCGGACACTTCGAGATCTGAAGGCCCTTTTCGAACTAACGTTTTAACCGAAGCTGCAATTGCGCGTGAGAAATTTTTTGGCACTAGAGCAAACAAGCGAAATGAACAAATTCCGAACCATAAATTTGTTGAAGAGGTTTCATCTCCTTCAAATAGTCGAAGTGAAGAGCTAGAAACTACAAGTCAACACAGGAGAGAAGTTTCAGATGAGTTCCAGAAATTCGAAAATACTTCTGCTTACAGACAAACTCCAGATTTTATCCAGACAATGTTGGAAATAGACAACCCACTCCAGGCATCAACTCCTATGGTATCACCCCACGTGACCAAAATGGTGAATGAGCTGTTTGAATCCGAAAGCGAAGAAGAAATTCATCCAAATAGAAGTATCGGCCAAGTCCAATCTTCGAATAGTGCGAGACAGTCGAAAGCAATTGCAATGTTTAGAAAGGAGCATTACGTAGAAGATTTTGCAAGAAAACCAAATTCTGCGAAATTCATCCCTGAAAAAAATTCAGAAGATTTTAATCAAAGGAGATCCTCTTACGTTCTAGCCAGTGTCCAAAAAACGCAAAAAACTAGCGCCTCGTACAATGGCCACAAGAAAGACTTAGTAACAGATAATAATGTGAAAGAAGTGTCGAAAACGAAGGGTGATTCAATCGAAACTGACACCTCTTCAAGTGACGAAACCAACTTCAGACCCTTTAGTGACGAAGCTGATAACGCCAAACTGAGCTCCGATGATAAAAATATAGGAAAGTTTTGGCAAAATGGCCATGATCATTCGCCATTCTCAGATGTCAGTAGCTTGACACCTGAGAAGAAAGTCAAACCGAGGTCGGCAACTCCTCGTCGGCATGCTTCCGAGAAGCATAAGAGCGAAGGAAGTTTCTCCCCAGCATCTGCGGAAGATCGACACCTCTTAATCGCTACTAATGAACAACGGTTCGAGAATGAAGATGGTCTTATTGTGCAAAAAAATGACACAGTAAGCACAAGTCACTCCAATATCAATGGTGATGCCATTGGTAGTGATGGTGGAATTAGAAGAACAGGCATAGCTGAAGATCACAGTTTTGGCTTCAGAAGAAATTCATTGAACTCGCAAGGAAAAGTAGGTGAATGGATGGAACGAAATCAAAAACTTGGCAAAGTACTGGTTGATCAGAGAAACAGGGATAGGAATAGTTCAAGTTCGCATGAAATAGGGCATCTACCAGAAGGAAAGTCTGCAAGCAAGAACTCTAAGAACAATTCAAAAGAAGGTTTTGCCACTCAGTTTGAAATGATTGAGCATGATGAAATCAACGATGAAAATCGATTATCAAAAGATCTTTTGAATACTCCGATATCATTTCCAAAAGAAGCGAGCTCTAAACTGGACGAAACACCGGTAGCAAATAAATCCGAAGGTGCGAAGTCAGGTACGACCGACTTACTAATGAGTCAATCATCGCCTAGAACTGAAAACACAAAACTTAAGATGAGGCAGCTCATTGAGGAGCTAGATTCTCAAAAAGCCAAATCAACTAAAGCTAATGACCGCATGCAAAAGGCGGATCAAACTGCCAGCGACAACGAGCCAGACATGGTCAGCCCACTCAAAACAAACGACCGAATCCAAAAGGTTAACGGAAACCTTGAAGAAAACGAGTCATTTGATGGAGGCAAAGGTGAAAGTTTCTCTAAAATGGAAACAACAATTAGTTACCCGGCAATAAACATTCATATTGACACAATTCGAGTGGAAATGGGACAAAATGGAGCCCAGATAGTCGAGTTGAAAATGAAAGAAAAAACAGATGAAAACAGCCAACAAAACAACGAAAGCCAATCAAGTTTAAAAGATATCAAAACAGCAGAGGAACTTATTGGGCTAATAGGAGAAGATAAATTCCAGCAGATAGTCGAAAATGTTAAGCTACAGGTTACTGAGGAGATCAAAAACGAATCAAAACTCTCAGAATTCACTGACACCAAGACGCCCGAAAAGAGACTCGAGGTACCACGGGAGCTTTCGTGGGATGAAACTCCAGTTCTCGGTTCAACGCCGAGAACCTCAAACGATAGAATTGAACAAATATCACCGATTAAAAGTTCGCCTATTGAAGAAAGAATTAACTCAACGTTTGCTGTTTCCAGCTCAGTCGAGGTTCCAATGGCACATCTCGATTCGACTTTTCTGAAAACATCAGCTGTTTTTGAAAGAAATTCGGCTAATTTCACACGCGATGAAATTCAACTTAATCATGGCGACCATGAACGGAAACGGAAAAGTCAGACCAAAAAGATGTACATGAAAACTGAAATGGGCGGCATGAGCGAAGCTAATGCAAATTTAGTTTTCTTGTCCTCTCTAAGAAATTCTCCCCGTGTTGTTCAGACTAAAACGGAAAAGCCCAAAACTTCAAACCAAATTAAGAAAAATACCCCATCGGAAAGTAAACCTATCAAGAGTGTTGAAGGTTTCAACGCTGCTGTCGCTGATATGACCTTCGCTAAGTCGTTGAGGTCTAGCGGTCTACAAACCAAAACTAAAATTGAACCGAGATCAAAAACCCCACAGCCGGTTAAGTCTACCGAAGCTCCCCAACCCGCCAAAACCAGGGCGAAAACCCCGGATTTTATAAAGAAAAATATTAAATCTATAACTGAAACTGACCAGGCTAACCGAAGCTCAAAAATGACCTTGAATTCTCGGAGTCTCCACTGTAGTAGAGAAAGTCTAAGTATTCGAAATAAGAGCAAATCTATGGAAAACTTATTAGAGGAGAAAGGTGAGCCGAAAAACAAGAGCGAAGCATTTTATCAGAAAGGTCAGCGAGTATGCAACTCAGTTGAAAACGTTTCACAATCAACCGCAGAATTGGTGGAAAGTAATGTTTTCGATTCGATTGACGCAACTTCGGAACAGGATCGAAAATCATCAAACAAAGCTGAAAATCTGATTCAAAAGGAAAACTTGAGTGAAACGTGCGAAAACAGCAATCAGAACAACGATACCGTTATTCACGTTTTGGAACCAAAAATGAACAAAGATAGCAATAATGATAAAAACTTAAAAATTGCGCCCCTTTCACACCCAATTTCAGTCCGATCTGTCAAGAGAAAATCAAGACTTGAAAAGTTAATTCGAGAAACAGCCGATCAAAACAAAAGCATGACATCATCCAGAATCCCGCTGCCCGCAAGAGGGCTTTCGTCTCGTTCGCCGAGTGTTGAAAACCTAGCGAATGCGCCGGTGAGTGGCGAAAGAAAATCGCGAAACCGAAGCTTGACTCCGAAGCCCAGAAAAGATCCAAAGTCGAATCGATCTAAATCCAGAATAGCTGTTCCCAAATTATAGTTTACCAAATGTTTAGCCATTTGGAAGTTTTGTATGGTGATTAATTTATATAATTATCGGCAGCTATAAAAAATAGTTTCCATTTAATGTAAATATAGATTCTTCGCTTGATAATTTTTCCGACTTCTGAATTAAGCCAGTTTACAGCCAAATTCAGCTGGTTTTCATTAAATTGGATCGGATTAAGTTTTTTCTGAGACCAAAATTTCAAAAAAATCCAATCAATCAGTTGTTTTTGGGCTATCAAGAGGACAAAAGACCTTCACATCATCACATCCAACAGAGCAGAGACATCAGTGATCGTGATTCACTCATTGCAAAAGACAAATAATTTTGAATAGAAAAAGAAACTCCGCTTGGAAAATTGCATCTGATAATTTAATATTTGACTCAACTAGCATGCCTCATAAAATCGATTTCTATTGATTTCTAAGGCGGATTCATTCTCCGCTCACGCTTCTTGTTATAAGAAAAATGAAAATTTCGGGAGGCTCAATTATCACAAATGGGGCAAACTCACATTCACTTGAGCTCAAAACGATTCATACCCAAGGTATCAGATGGTGTAAAACATAGCCGTTAAAATGGGTTATTAAACAATTCGAATATTATCAGAAAAACATCTCGAAAATTTTTTCTTTTTCGAAAGTAAATTTCAAACGTATCAGACGAAAGAAAATTAAACCGAGCACAAATAAAGAATCAGATTAACAAAAATCAGAGCTTATTTGAGGTTAATGATGCGCACAAATTTTTCAGTTTTCTTTAAACCCAAAGCAAAAGCGGCCAACAATTCTGACACAGAAATCTTACTAAATGAATTTGCGGCACGATAAATATTCACAATAATGTGTTAGGTCGATTCTCAATATATAATTTTACAATTTAAACTGGATGTTGGGAAACATTTAAAACATAGTTTGTTTTTCGATACCTTTATTTTCAAATTTGGAAAAATTTTACTCGAGGCATATGAAAATACAATTGTAACAATCAAGGTGCCACTTTTGATCCGGGTTGATAGAAAATTGAAAACTTCTTCGTGCGTTTAGATTATCCCAATTAAAAAATAATTGATATTTTCAATACTTTTTTTTCAACACAAATTGAAGCTTATAATATTTAGCTTTTGATATCCGGATAAAGTAAAAAGTTAATTTTTGTGAAAAAATGGACAAAAAACGTTTTTTTTTATTGGAATATTGTGTAATTTTGAATATTTTTTTATTCAGTGCAATACTGAGGCCAAACTGTGCACTAGAAAGGCGCACAATTTTTGCTCATTTTTACAAAATAATTCAATCGCCCTTAACCAAAAAAAAATAAAAAAAAAACTATTTGTACTTTTGATTTGCTTTCCACGCAAAATCAGGTACCACAAATGGTTTTTGGAATGAGTCGAGAGATATATCGTAAAAAAGCTCTGTCAGTCATTATTTGAACGACATGTTAAATTTTCCAGGCAGTTTCCGCATGTCGAAAAAATCCGGTATGAAAGTTTTGAGTTTTAGCCTAGTTTTGAGCGAGTAAAGCGATCAAGTTATGTTTGCTATCTGACAATTTTGGGCAAACTGCTTTTAAAATAGCGAAAACTTTTTAGCGCTTCCAGCGCAAAACATGCGTTCAATTTACCACTACTTAGGCAGAAAACTTTCGAATAAAATTTTCTTGGGCGAATTGTTTTTTTGGATATTTTATATTTGAACAAGTGACGTAAAATATGCCTATTTTTTTGTTTTTCAAAAAAATTGTTCAGTTTTTTCATCACAACGACTTGAGTTTGATCACTAAACAGTGACTTGAATTTAAATTAATGATTTGAAAAAAAGTTTAAATTTGTAGTTTTTTTATGAACATGGTCGGGAAACTCTGGGCCACTGAAGCATCAATCAGCTATTCTTGTTCGTTCATGAGAACATAAGAAGAAATTAGTCAATCTGAGCAATTTTAAGGAATAGTGCAACAATTTTTTTCGTTTTTACTCCAATAAAGATAAAAATGATTCCAAAAGAAAATTAATTCAGAATTAACAAAAATTGATAATACTCAAATCTAATTCGGTTAATGGAAAATTTTTGCCAGAGAAAACAGAAATTGAGAAAAAAAACATTATATTAAATTTTTGCGTTTGTTTACTGCCCTACTCGACACGTTCATAACCATGTTCATAAAAAAACCCGACCATGTTCATAAAAAAACTACAAATTTAAACGATTTTTTTCCAGTTGCGGATTTCACGAAAACTTAGATGAACTAAATGCATACTCTAGATTGAAGCTCGAGTTCTTTTTGGAAGAAAACAATTGTTAATCTACTTTTTTACAGCTGCAGGTATTTCATATAAAAATCAAGGATACAATTTTTCTACTTGACCTCATATTATCATCAATTTTTTTTTACAGATATAAAATAGTTGTGTCGAGTAGGGCAGTAAACAAACGCAAAAGTTTAAAATTATGTTTTTTTTCTCAATTTCTGTTTGCTCTGGCAAAAGTTTTCCATTAACCGAATTAGATTTGAGTATTATCAAATTTTGTTAATTCTGAATTAATTTTCTTTTGGAATCATTTTTATCTTTATTGGAGTAAGAACGCAAAAAATTGTTGCACTATTCCTTAAAATTGCTCAGATTGACTAATTTCTTCTTATGTTCTCATGAACGAACAAGAATAGCTGATTGATGCCTCAGTGGCCCAGAGTTTTCCGACCATGTTCATAAAAAAACTACAAATTTAAACTTTTTTCAAATCATTAATTTAAATTCAAGTCACTGTTTAGTGATCAAACTCAAGTCGTTGTGATGAAAAAACTAAACAATTTTTTTCAAAAACAAAAAAGTAGGCATAATTAACGTCACTTGTTCAAATATAAATTATCCAAAAAAAAACAGGCCCAAGAAAATTTTATTCGAAAGTTTTCTGCCTAAGTAGTGGTAAATTGAACTCATGTTTTGCGCTGGAAGCGCTAAAAAACTTTCGCTTTTTTAAAAGCAGTTCTTTTTTGCCGAAAATTGTCAGATAGCGAACATAACTTGATCGCTTTACTCGCTCAAAACTAGGCTAAAACTCAAAACTTTCATACCGGATTTTTTCGACATGCGGAAACTGCCTGGAAATTTTAACATGTCGTTCGAATAATGACTGAAAGAGCTTTTTTACGATATATCTCTCAAACCATTCCAAAAACCATTTGTGGTACCTGATTTTGCGTGGAAAGCAAATCAAAAGTACGAATAGTTTTTTTTTTGGTAAAGGGCGATTGAATTATTTTGTAAAAATGAGCAAAATTTTTAAAATCAAATATAAATAATCTCTAAACTGCAGTTTAAATCAGTTGAAGGGTCAGTTTCCCCTCATGTGAATTATAGATTTTTTTGTGATTTGTTCTATAAAACGCGAAAAAGCCACACTAATATCTAATTCGAATTGTTTTAGATATCCAAAAGAGGACCAATTAAATTTTAATTACTGAAATTCGTTCGTCTTAAGTTCTTCCTGAAGTACCTGAAGTTAGGCTGAAAAATGCACCCTACACCATAATTTTTTTCATCTTCGTGAAATGGTCAAAACAAAATCATAATTCATGTAATTTTCCAAAAGGGCCTGATAATTTATGAGTAAAATTTTTTACAAACGCATAGAAAGTTATTAATTTAGACATAGACTACTACAATGAATTTCAAAAAAAAATAAATGGAAAAATGAAAAAAAGTCTATGACCAAAAATTTTTATGACCAAGAAAGCGGTTTTTGAAGCTTCTGAAACAAAAAAATTAAGACCAAAAGAAATTTAATATCATACTTCACTCGACGCATTTCGAAGATATTTTGTGGTATTTTGCGTTGAATAAATTAAAATATTTCCAAACTTTACGTTTCGTCCTCATTTTCAAAAGTCGGAACACAAAGTGCCTACCATACATTTCCACATAGTTCCATACGCACAAATATTATATGTTTTTTGACTTTTGCTCCGTAGCTTAAAGTTCTTTCCAAAAAAAACAATCAGCAAGGATTTTTCTCAAATGAATAAACGTTAGACCTAAGACCGAATGTATATCATTTTTGATGCAAAAAACTTCAATTATACAACTTATAACATGATTTTTATGTCTTTTTTTCCAAAATTTTTGCTAATTCATTTGAGAATGACTTTTTTATTTTACCATTATCAAAGCATGATTGAATTGTTTTTTTTTGTATCAATTTTTAAACAATTAATCTATAGATTGTAAACATATTACTAAAGGATTACATATCGATTTTACACAAATTTTATGCAGACATTTAGTTTTTTATATGGTGATTTCATACTGACTTTTTTCAACTTTGTCGACTGCAAACTAAAGTGAGTAAATTGGTAACCATTACATTTTGTGTGCTTCTCGGTTGATTTTTTGTGCTAATGTTTACCTGAACCGAAACTATTTAAACTTATTTGTTAGTCTAAAAATAAAAAAAAACTATTTATGTTGTCACTATGGTTGAAGCCAGCTAAATAGTTCAAAAATTGCGCTTTAAATTTGTGCTTAATATTGCATGCGGAGGAAGATAGGCAAAACAACATTAAATGAAAAGATTTTTTTCCCAGTTCTGTTTTAGAAAACTTGATATTTTTTTTATGAAGAACAGATACATGAAACGGGTGTCTAAACAATCGACCTTTTTGCTGCTTAATATTTTTTGTAGATTAATTAAGCTCCTTTTGGAAAATTGTTGTCTACACTAACTGATGCTCTGTGAGTTTTTTGTAGCACGAGTTTGCTCTACCAATTCTGCCATATTGTGCTGCTTGCAGAGTGGTACGCGCGCGCCCACATAAGTTGATTTGAACTGTTTCCAGCGCATAGGTCTAGCTGTGGTTTTTGCAGTTGTGTGTGTGAATTAAAAAAAAACTTTTGGCTAAAATATTTGAAACAGTTGAGGCTGTCTTAGTGGACACTGTTACTCAGAAGACTGTCCTCAAAACCCATGATGACTTCCGTGGCGTTCGTATTTGTCGGGGGTTGTTCTCATGTGCAAAAGACCAATGGCGCCAAAAATACTCAACCAATTAATGCACTTCAAACTGTCCAAAATTGACTGTGATTATTGCTAATGTCTTTCATTTTTTTTAAATTGAGCTCTGATTGGTGACAAAACTTCTGCCCAATCAGTTCTTGGCTCATGATTGATTTGCTATTTCTCAGTAAAATCTTGAGAGATGCCGATCTTTTAGCAGATTTAACTTCATAAACTGACGCATAATTGATTGACAGGCGTAAAAACGAGCTCACTCTTTTGTAAAGCTTACCTAATTTTACCAACTATCTAGCAATTTGTCAACAAAACTGTGAACTTCAGAAACAGATTAGTCTAAATTAGCGGGGGCCTAAAAAGTTAGACAAAAAGCAAATAAGACGTGACCAAAAATAGAATTTAAACGTCGATGCCAAACGAAAAATATACAAAACTAGACATAATGGTGTTGTTAACGTGTGTAAAATTTGTTTACTAACTACAATAAGCTTTCAATTCAACTTTTTTAATAACGAACAAATTTTTCACCTGTTGCAATTATATAGTTTATGCATTTCAAAAATATTTCATAATATTCGAATTAAAATTTTTATAAATCATTGATAACATTTTTTGATACGCAAACTGATTTTATATTCTTTTTGTAATTCTGAAATTTGTTTCAAGCAGTAAGTTTTGTTTCAAGCAGCAACTTTTGCGAAAATAATTTGACGTCTAAATTCCGCTTTATTGGAGTCGTCTAATTTGCTTGTCGTCTAATTTTCTAGTCCCCAAACTAGCGTAACACACAGAGTTACCCACGCAAGTCGACTCGTGTCGCATGTTTCCGCAGCGGAGCAAGCGGTCGCTCATCGCCAATGCCGCGTTTGAAATTTGCGTTCTGACTTGCTAATTTTTTTGAGTCTGTTAAAAGATTGGTCAGCTAAAAAGCCAGTCTGCTGAAATCCCTAGCACCCTTTTCGCTGGCTACTGCTTCTTGGGAGCACAACTCGAGGCCATCATTACCAGCACTAGAGTTTCATGAATAAAAATTGGTTTCGTTATCAGGTTCCGTGAAATAACAAACGAACTCTACTATAAACGTTTAAAACCAATAAAAGTGTTACTATTTCTGTATCTCACTAAAACCGTTTTCATCTATTAAAATAATTAAAATCCCTCCTCACCCCCCCCTCCCCTCATTTTACTCTGAATTTACAATTATCCTTCCTTGGGTTGGTTTAGAACGGGGAGTGGGCACAAACATAAAGGAAGAGATCAATTTTGGAGAGTGGGTTCAATATGACTAATATGAGAGAGAGTGTAAAGAATGGGGGAGCGTATAAAATAATCAACTAAAAATGAATATACACAAAAAAAAATAGAAAAATTGGTAATACTTTTTTTTTCACTTCCACGGACTTTTGTGGGTTCTCATGGAGGAAAAAGTAGGTTTTAAGGGAAAAATTGATCAAATGGGATCATTACGAGGCCAAACTGTGCACCGGATAGGCGCACAATTTTGTGTCTGTATGTTCCTGGATTCCATAGACAAGTCTTTAAACATGTTAAAATTTTGTCGGAACAAAAAAAGAACAAAGGGAGCGTCATTGTTGCGGAATCCGCTTACAATGCACAAAATGCACAGTATGGCCTCGTAATGATTAATCTAAGAAAAGAAAAATAGATTATAATGCACCAAAAAGGATGCAACCTTCAAAATTGAAATCTATAATCGTATTTTGTGTCCAACATCTTTCTCATAATATTTTTAATAATTTTTTTTTCATGAGACTTCAGTGCTGGTAGTTATTACTTCAATCAAGTTTGCAGCAGTTTGTAATTTCTCATGCAGCCCCTCTTTTGCAATATAAACTTTCAAGATCACACAGAACCATGCCGAGATGAAATTAAGGTTTGCGCGCATCATGGCGAGATCTTGTATGGGCTTTAAACATCCTACATGATCTTGAAGAGTTTAGGGTGCAAAATTTTTTTATCAAAGGATTTTCATTTCCAGGAACTCGAGAAATGAAAAAAACAATTATGCCATAGATTGAATTAGTGTGTACTATAGGAAAAAATTACGGGGTGAGATAATATAAATTTTAGTTAGTTGCATGGTATCAAATGTGATGATGTAAATCCAGCTTTGTTACCCTAGATTCTTTCGGTGCTTGCAAATATGGGTCATTTTAAGCATCAATGAAAAGTTTTCCAAATGTTTCATAAAAATCTTGTACACTCTTCCCGACAAAGTTAGTAAGTTTCTGTAAACTTCGTATTTATAAACTGTTTATCATAAATTTGTAATATAAAAGAGTAGAAATAGCCGCGCTTGCTGGGTTAAGATGGTGCATCGTCCGAAGCGGAGGTCTTGGACGACGAAATCGAGACTTCGGCACTCCGAGGAGTCAACGAGTTTTCAGGGTTAACAGAGATCTTTGGTGCTGAACCCGCCACGTTTCCTTTTACATCAATATTCGAGTCAAACCCTATCCCAAATCCAGCGCCCAGTTTCCCTTTCTTTCCTTTCTTGGAACCGTTAGGTTCCTTAGAATTTAAATCGGCATCAATTTCGGTGCTGAACAATACTCGCTCGTCATGTCCGACTGATGATGTCTGAGAGGGTTTTCCGAAGTCCACTTCACCTCTTCCTTTAGCCAGCTTCTTCAATTTCTTCCGCTCTTCTTCTTTGTCGTCGAAATCATCTTCAATATTAGCCGAAGCGCCGAATCCAAAACCGAGGCTTCCAGCGCCATCAACGACGGTATTTTTGACTTTTTCCAGCATGGATCCGAAAAAACGACCTCCTCCCCCTCCTTCGGAATCGTCCTTTTGTTTGACGTCAACTTTGGGTTTTTTGATTCCAAATCCGAAAACACTGTTATTTTTTTCATCGCCATCTTCACCGCTGAAATTAAATCCAATTTTGAATGCATCGTCGTCATCTTTTTCCTTTCCCAGCTTCTTGTCCATGAAACTAGGTATTTTGTGTTTTCCAACAGAGGTATCCGAATCTAAGTCAAATAGTTGGTTCTCAACATTGACTTCATGATCTACATCTACTTGGGCTTCTGCCGCAAGCTCCGGACTCAAGTCGGCACTTTTTCGCTTCAGACTCTTCGCAACTCCCAATGGGGTCTCTGGTTTTTCAGCGTCGAAATGGAACCCAATTTTGAAATCTCCTTCTTTTGGCAAAGCATCGAAAGGTGATTTAGGTTTTTCAATATCTGTATGAGCATCAAAATGTTTCTTGAGTGAATCTCCTTTCTCAACCTCCAGCGCATGCGAGGTATCGGCATCGAAACCTAGCTTCACGTTTGTTTTCATGCCCCCTTTCTCCGGCTTTCCAAAACTTGGAATTTTACTTTTGCCAACTCCCGATAAACTGGGAGGTTGAACTCTGACACCAAAGTCCAAGCCCTTTCCTGGCTTTTCTTTCTTCGGGATATCGTCGTCCGCCATTCCAAACTGGAACCCACTATCGTCGGTTCTTTCTTTTTTTACTTTTGGTTTGTCAACTTTGAATCCACCGCCGACTACGCCGGCAAATCCAATACCAGTTTTTGTTATCTTTCCTTTCGGTTTTTCGACACTCAACTTTTCTTCAGTATCTGCTTCGTTTTCGGCCGATTTCTTTTCGGTTGTTTTTGGGTCACCACTAAAGTCAAATCCAATTTTGAAGTTACCATGATCTTGATCGTCGTCGTGATGTTCATCAGCATTGAAAATGGACCTAACTTTGTCAGCTGCCGGTTTGACATCCAATCCAAGAAATCCGCCTCCAGATTTACCGCCAAATCCGAGACCGAAACTTTTGGAGTCTTTTTCGATTGGTTTCGAATCAAAATCAGCATTTGGCTTCACTTTAATGTCTACTTTAGGCTTGGAGCTGACTCCAAAGTCAAAAGATTTTCCAGATTTAGCTGCTTTCTCTTCTCCGGTGTCAAATCCAGTTCCAAAGTTGAACCCAGCGTCTTCATTTGCTTCTTTTTTAATTTTTGGTTTATCAATTTTGCCTCCGAAATTGACACTGAAAACTTTGTTTGTTTTGGGCATATCAACATCACTGTGAACTCCATGGTCCTTGCCAAACCCGATTTTAATTCCAATATCTTTGTTTTTTCTTTTAATCATATCAATATCCGGAACTCCGAAATCCGGAGTTCCAGTCCCACCGTCAGTTCCCGGTTTGACTTGGCTAACGAGACCAAAAGTTTTCCCAATTTTCGATTTTCCTTTTTCAAACTGCACGTCGTCTCCATCATGTATACCAAGTGAAAATCCGGAATCGTCTAGTTTCTCTTTCTTCACTTTTGGTTTGTCAATTTTTCCACCAAAATCGATATCAGATTTTTTCCCTGGTCCTGGAATATTCATTTTGGCATCAGCTTCAGTGCCGAACCCAATTTTGAGGTGTTCATCGGGCAGCTTGACATCTGGTGGCGGTAGTTCAAAGCTAGGAACTTGGATGCCACTTCCGTTATCGGATTTTATTTTAGCTCCGAACTCAACTTTTTTGTCAGATTTGGCTTTATCTTTGTTGAAACCATCACCATTAACGTCAAGACCAAAATTAAACCCAGCGTCCTCGAATGTTTTTTCTTTCTTTGTTTTGGGCTTCTCAATTTTACCGCCAAAATTGATGTCAAGTTTCTTTTCAGGTCCTGGAGCATTCATTTTGACATCAGCATCAGTGCCGAACCCAATTTTGAGTTGTTTATCCCGCAGCTTGTCATCTGGTGACGGTAGTTCAAAGTTAGGAACTTTGGTGCCACTTCCAATATCGTGCTTGATTTTCGCTCCGAAATCAACATTTTTGTCAGTTTTGGTTTTATCTTTGTTGAAACCATTACCTGTAACGTCTAGACCAAAATTGAACCCAGCATCTTCGTCAGTTTTTTCTTTCTTGGTTTTGGGTTTATCAATTTTCCCGCCAAAATCGATATCAAGTTTCTTTTCAGGTCCTGGAGCATTCATTTTGACATCAGCATCAGTGCCGAACCCAATTTTGAGTTGTTTATCCCGCAGCTTGTCATCTGGTGACGGTAGTTCAAAGTTAGGAACTTTGATGCCACTTCCAATATCGTGCTTGATTTTCGCTCCGAAATCAACATTTTTGTCAGTTTTGGTTTTATCTTTGTTGAAACCATTACCTGTAACGTCTAGACCAAAATTAAACCCAGCATCTTTGTCAGTTTTTTCTTTCTTGGTTTTGGGTTTATCAATTTTCCCGCCAAAATCGATATCAAGTTTCTTTTCAGGTCCTGGAGCATTCATTTTGACATCAGCATCAGTGCCGAACCCAATTTTGAGTTGTTTATCCCGCAGCCTTTCATCTGGTGACGGTAGTTCAAAGTTAGGAACTTTGATGCCACTTCCAATATCGTGCTTAATGTTTGCTCCGAAATCAACATTTTTGTCAGTTTTGGTTTTATCTTTGTTGAAACCATCACCTGTAACGTCTAGACCAAAATTAAACCCAGCATCTTCGTCAGTTTTTTCTTTCTTGATTTTGCGTTTATCAATACTCCCGCCAAAATTGAAATCAAGTTTATTTCCAGGTCCTGGAAAATTCATTTTGACATCAGCATCAGTGCCAAACCCAATTTTGAGTTGTTTATCCCGCAGCTTGTCATCTGGTGACGGTAGTTCAAAGTTAGGAACTTTGATGCCACTTCCAATATCGTGCTTGATTTTCGCTCCGAAATCAACATTTTTGTCAGTTTTGGTTTTATCTTTGTTGAAACCATTACCTGTAACGTCTAGACCAAAATTAAACCCAGCATCTTCGTCAGTTTTTTCATTCTTGGTTTTGGGTTTATCAATTTTCCCGCCAAAATCGATATCAAGTTTCTTTTCAGGTCCTGGAGCATTCATTTTGACATCAGCATCAGTGCCGAACCCAATTTTGGGGTGTTCATCGGGCAGCTTGACATCTGGTGGCGGTATTTCAAAGCTAGAAATTTTGATGCCGCTTCCGATATTGGGTTTTATTTTTGCTCCGAACTCAAATTTTTTGTCAAATTTGGTTTTATCTTTGTTGAAACCATCACCTGTAACGTCTAGACCAAAATTAAACCCAGCATCTCCGTCAGTTTTTTCTTTCTTGTTTTTGGGTTTATCAATTTTCTCGCCAAAGTTGATATCAAGTTTCTTTCCAGGTCCTGGAACATTCATTTTGGCATCAGTTTCAGTGCCGAACTCTACTTTGAGGTGCTGATCTCGCAGCTTTTCATCTGGCGACGGTAGTTCGAAGTTAGGAATTTTGATGCCGCTTCCGATATCGGATTTGATTTTTGCTCCAAAATCAACAACTTTGTCAGTTTTTGACTTATTTTTGTTGAATCCCTCGCTGTCGGCATCTAATCCGAAATTGAAACCGGCCTCGTCTGACTTTTGGTTCTTCAATTTTGGCTTTTCATTTCGTCCTCCAAATTCTATTCCAAAATCTTTACCTGTTTTCCGAAGTCCAAAATTTTGATCAGAATCCACGTCGAATCCAATTTTAACAACGTCGTGTTTGCTCTTCAGCTTTTCGTTTCCTGAAGCTGTTTCGAAACTCGGGACTTTGAATCCTCCGCCAATCTCAGGCTTGATTTTCGCTTCAAAATCTGCTATGTTTTCGACTTTTTTGTTGGGGTCGCTTTCGAACCCTGTTCCAAAATTGAATCCACAGTCTTCTGTTTTTTCTTTATTAATTTTGGGCTTTCTCAGATTCAGATTTGCTTTCACGTCATCCTCATGCTTGAAATCGATTCCAATTTTCTTGCTTTCATTCTTTTTTGTGCTGGCGCCAAAATCAATTTGATGGTGGAAGTCTTTTCTAGTCACTGGTACTACAGGTTTTGTCGTGCTAGAATCAAAATCAGCGTTGAATCCAATTTCCGGCCCTTTGATGTTTACATCTTTACGAAAGTCGGCGCCGAATCCGAGTTGTTTCTCGAGTTTTTTCTTCGCTTTCCGTCGTTCGTTATCACTGTCGTTCCCGCCGAACCCAGTATTGTATTCAAACCCATTGAAATCAGATTTGTCTTTGGTTTCGATGAGTTTTTTTCCTTTGCCTTTAACGTCTGCACTAATTCCAAAATCAACGCCTCCCCCTGCTTTTTGTGAATGTTTTGGAAGAGGCAGAGTTTTTGATCTCTGTACACTCGCTGAGTCCGCTTTACCCTTTTTGAAGCTTCCACTTTTGTCACCTCCTATATTTATACCGAATGCAACGTGCTTGCCATCTTTGTGCTCTCTCGTCTTTTTGCCAAAAATTTTGTCGCCGCCGAAACCAAATCCGAGACTGAAACCGCCTCCACCTAATTTTTCTTTAATTTTTGGGCCTCCAGTACCCTGTTGTTCTGGTTCCTTTGAAGTACTTGGTGTCAGGTCTTGGGATACTTTTGGAGTCTGATATTTGGCTCGAACTTCAGCTCCGCCGTCCTTATGTCTAAAAGAGCCGCCAAGAGCTTTTCTGAAGCTACCGAGTCGTTTGGGTTTATCGCTCTTTTTAGCCCCACCTTCACCAGACTTTATACTCAAATCTCCCGTTGATTCACCTTCAGATCCAAGCCGTCCTCTGAACTTAAATCTGTCCAGTGAAGCAGAAGAAAGACGATTTGTGCGCTTTTTTCGATCTGTCCGACTCAAATCCCCAACCAAATGAACGCCAGATGATCCGACATCCTTGTTTTTTTCATAACGCTTCCCCTTTCCTGGTCTATCAGAGGAACTTGCCCCACCTACATTTGAAGTCTCATTATTTGCTGGGATGTCGGCTCCACCTTCCTTGTTTCTAGAAGAGCCGCCAAAAACTTTGCGTAAACTACCAAACCGTTTAGGTTTATGACCCTTCTTAGAACCAAGTTCGCCAGACTTTATACTTATATCTCCTGCCGATTGACCTTCAGAAAAATTCCGTCCCCTGAAACTAAATTTGTCAAGTGATGAAGAAGAAAGACGATTTGAGCGTTTTTTTGTATCTCTCGGACTCAAATCACCTCTCAATTGAACGCCAGATGAGCCAATATCCCTATTCTTGGCATACCTTTTTCCTTTTTGTGGCCCATCAGAGAAATCACTACTTATTTTCCCCCTTTCTATTTTCTTTCCCTTGACATCTGCATCAAAGTCACCACCTACGTTGACGCCAAATCCGTGGTCTTTCTTCTTCTTGTGTTTTTCCTTCCCTTTATCGTCACTGTCGCCGTCATTTGCTCTGCCAAATCCAAAACCAAACTTGAAGCTGCCCGATCCGTCGCCGTCTTTCTTTTTATGTTCATCTTCGACTTTTTTCCCTTTGACATCTGCATCAAAGTCAGCACCTACGTTGACGCCAAAACCGTGTTCTCTGTCCTTCTTGTGTTTTTTCTTCCCATCATCGTCACTGTCGCCGTTATTTGCTCCGCCAAATCCGAAACCAAACTTGAAGCCGCCCGATCCGTCGCCGTCTTTCTTTTCATGTCCATCTTTGATTTTTTTTCTTTTGACATCTGCATCAAAGTCACCACCTACGTTGACGCCAAAACCGTGGTCTCTGTCCTTCTTGTGTTTTTTCTTCCCATCATCGCCACTGTTGCCGTCATTTGCTCCGCCAAATCCGAAACCAAACTTGAAGCCGTCCAATTCGTCGCCGTCTTTCTTTTCATGTCCATCTTTGACTTTTTTCCCCTTGACATCTGCATCAAAGTCACCACCTGAATTGAAGCCAAATCCGTGGTCTTTGTTCTTCTTGTGTTTTTTCTTCCCATCATCGTCACTGTCGCCGTCATTTGCTCCGCCAAATCCGAAACCAAATTTGAAGATGCCTGATCCGTCGCCGTCTTTCTTTTCATGTCCATCCTTAACTTTTTTCCCCTTGACATCTGCATCAAAGTCACCACCTACGTTGACGCCAAATCCGTGGTCTTTGTTATTCTTGTGTTTTTTCTTCCTATCATCGTCACTGTCGCCGTCATTTGCTCCGCCAAATCCGAAACCAAATTTGAAGCCGCCTGATCCGTCGCCGTCTTTCTTTTCATGTCCATCCTTAACTTTTTCCCCCTTGACATCTGCATCAAAGTCACCACCTACGTTGACGCCAAACCCGTGGTTTTTGTCCTTCTTGTGTTTTTTCTTCCCATCATCGTCACTGTCGCCGTCCTTTCCTCCGCCAAATCCGAAACCAAATTTGAAGATGCCTGATCCGTCGCCGTCTTTCTTTTCATGTCCATCCTTAACTTTTTTCCCCTTGACATCTGCATCAAGGTCACCACCTACGTTGACGCCATATCCGTGGTCTTTGTTATTCTTGTGTTTTTTCTTCCTATCATCGTCACTGTCGCCGTCATTTGCTCCGCCAAATCCGAAACCAAATTTGAAGCCGCCTGATCCGTCGCCGTCTTTCTTTTCATGTCCATCCTTAACTTTTTCCGCCTTGACATCTGCATCAAAGTCACCACCTACGTTGACGCCAAACCCGTGGTTTTTGTCCTTCTTGTGTTTTTTCTTCCCATCATCGTCACTGTCGCCGTCCTTTCCTCCGCCAAATCCGAAACCAAATTTGAAGATGCCTGATCCGTCGCCGTCTTTCTTTTCATGTCCATCCTTAACTTTTTTCCCCTTGACATCTGCATCAAGGTCACCACCTACGTTGACGCCAAATCCGTGGTCTTTGTTATTCTTGTGTTTTTTCTTCCTATCATCGTCACTGTCACCGTCATTTGCTCCGCCAAATCCGAAACCAAATTTGAAGCCGCCTGATCCGTCGCCGTCTTTCTTTTCATGTCCATCCTTAACTTTTTTCCCCTTGACATCTGCATCAAAGTCACCACCTACGTTGACGCCAAATCCGTGATTTTTGTCCTTCTTGTGTTTTTTCTTCCCATCATTGTCACTGTCGCCGTCCTTTCCTCCGCCAAATCCGAAACCAAATTTGAAGCCGCCTGATCCGTCGCCGTCTTTCTTTTCATGTCCCTCTTTGACTTTTTCCCCCTTGACATCTGCATCAAAGTCACCACCTACGTTGACGCCAAATCCGTGGTCTTTGTTCTTCTTGTGTTTTTTCTTCACATCATCGTCACTGTCGCCGTCCTTTGGTCCGCCAAATCCGAAACCAAATTTGAAGTCGCCTGATTCGTCGCCGTCTTTCTTTTCTTTTCCATCCTCAACTTTTTTCCCCCTGACATCTGCATCAAAGTCACCACCTACGTTGACGCCAAATCCATGGTCTTTGTCCTTCTTAGGTTTTTTCTTCCCATCATCGTCACTGTTGCCGTCATTTGCTCCGCCAAATCCGAAACCAATTTTGAAGCCGCCTGATCCGTCGCCGTCTTTCTTTTCATGTCCATCCTTAACTTTTTTCCCCTTGACATCTGCATCAAAGTCACCACCTACGTTGACGCCAAATCCGTGGTCTTTGTCCTTCTTGTGTTTTGTCCTTCCATCATCGTCACTGTCGCCGTCCTTTCCTCCGCCAAATCCGAAACCAAATTTGAAGCCGCCTGATCCATCGCCGTCTGCTGATCCGTCCGGTCTCTCTGCTTTAGGGCTCTTGTTTCCAGAATGTGGCAGAGCGCTGGCTCCAGCTCCGACATCAATTGAGACATCTCGGTGGTGTTTCAATTTAACTTTGCTGATGCATGATTGATACTTCGCCAGGAGTTCGTTGACATCTTGAGCACTCCTTCCAGAAAGTTTCAAGCTGATTCCTTCGAGGCAGAATCCTACAACGAAGACAGTCGATCCGTACATGGAGGATCTGTGTCGTGTTTGAGTCTCACATTAGCCGTTCAGTCACTTTAGTGATAAATGGTGCGTAGAATATCAAGCTTAGAAGAACAGATAGAAGAGCAAGCTAGCAAGCTGAAGATTAGTTGATTAAAGTTAGTTGTCAATCACTAGCCAATTATTGTTTATGATAGGCATTTTTTTGAATGGAGGTCAAATCGTTGAAATGGCTCTTCAAATATACCAAAAAAGGCTTGCCAGCTGCGAAGTTTTTTCAAAATCTTTATTAGATGACTAAAAATTAGCAAAAACATCTCTTTTGAGATAGCAATTTTTACAATGATGATTACGTTTACATGAAGACTAGTACTAATTGAAAGAGGTAGATCACCATCATAAAATTAACACAAACTATAAAAGTTATATTTACATTTTTATGCAAAAGTATCAAATATTTACATTTTTATGAAATAGTACAAGTCGAGCAGTGCCGAATTAAATGTCTATGGATGAATGACTAGCTTACTTGGGGCTATGACAGCTTGCATAGGTGAAGCAGATCGATGTTTGAACCCCCTTCCCGTTCAAGGTGCCCGACTTACCGTTTGACACTTTCAGCTAAAAAAAACGTTCGGGACCACGGAAAATCAGCCGCAAAACTATACATTCTCGACAATGATTGTCGAAGTATAAGTCGAGCACCTCAACTTAGGCTAACATCTAACGAAAAGTATAGTTGGCCTAGCGCGGATTAAAAACCTGCTCGTGATTTAAAAGCTGTTTTTAATGCTACAGTTTCCTTCAAACAAAATAAATTTCATATTTTTGAATCTTTCAAATCTTTTAAGCTGGTTTCATTCAGAAAAGTCGAGATAAAAATCCTTTCTTGCTAGATGAGTCACTGCTGCTACTTGAAGAAGACGACGAAGATGATGAGCTGGAACTGGAATCTTTTCTTTCCCGTATCGTATTCTTCTCTGAACTCTCTTCACCTTCGCTGTCTGACTCACCTTTCACCTTGTATTTTAGACCGACAACCTCGCCGGCCTCCACGTGCGAGCTTCTCCCTTTGGCACCAAACGTCAACTTTTTGTCTGATTTTGGCTTTTTCTCAAGTGTTTCATGCGACTTGTGCTTTTTATGTGTTCCATGTTTCTCGCGCCCATCTTTATCTTTAGATTTTCTATCTTTCTTGTCGCTGTTCTTTTTCCCCTTCTTTTCTCTTTTTGAAGACATTTGGGAAAGTCGGCTGCTTTTCGTTTCGGGCAAAACGCCAACTTCAAGATTGACTTTCTCCGATGTCGACCAACTTGTTCTGGAAGTGTCCTTGTGAGATTCCAGACTGACTCCAGGAGTTTTTTCAAGAGAGAAACCAGGGACGCTCTGAAGTCCCTCCGCATCTGCTGCCGACAAAAGAACTTCATCGGACATACTTTCTTCATTTTTTCCACGAAGTGTGGGTAAGAGATTGCATTTGTCTCCTTTCCCGTCTAAATCAAGCCCTCTGCCTAAATTGACATCAACACCACCTTGTTTGTCTTTCTTCTTCGACTTTGACTTGTCATCGTCATCCTTGTCTCCTCCGACGCCAAATCCAAAACTCAAGCCAACTTCTTTGTCTTTTTCGTGCTTGTTTTTTTCTCCTTTTCCGTCAATGTCAAGCCCTGCACCTAAGTTGACATTAAGACCACTGTGTTTGTCTCTCTTTTTTAACTGTGACTTGTCATCTTCATCCTTGTCTCCTCCGGAGCCAAATCCAAAACTGAAGCCACCGTCTTTGTCTTTCTCGTGCTTGTGTTTGTCTCCTTTTCCGTCAATGTCATGCCCTCCGTCCAAGTTGACATCGAGACTACCGTTTTTACCACCATGTTTGTCTTTCTTCTTCGAGTTTGATTTATCATCGTCATCTTTGTCTCCTCCGAAACCAAAGCCCAATTTGAAGCCACCATCCTTGTCTTTACCTTCTTGCTCTTTCTCGAGCTTGTGTTTGTCTCCTTTTCCGTCAATGTCAAGCCCTCCGCCTAAATTGACGTCAAGACCACCGTGTTTGTCTGTCTTCTTCGACTTTGATTTGTCATCGTCAACTTTGTCTTCTCCGAAGCCAAAGCCAAATTTGAAGCCAACGTCTTTGTCTTTCCCCTCTTTGTCTTTCTCGTGCTTGTGTTTGCCTCCTTTACCTTCAATGTTAAGGCCTCCACCCAAGTTGACATCGAGACTACCATTTTCATTTTTCTTCTTTGACTTTGACTTGTCATCATCGTCCTTGTCTCCTCCGAAGCCAAATCCAAAATTGAAGCCACCGTCTTTGTTTTTACCTTCTTTGTCTTTCTCGAGCTTGTGTTTGTCTCCTTTTCCGTCAATATCAAGCCCTCTGCCTAAATTGACGTCAAGACCACCGTGTTTGTCTTTCTTCGTCGACTCTGATTTGTCATCGTCATCTTTGTCTCCTCCGAAGCCAAAGCCAAATTTGAAGCCACCGTCTTTGTCTTTACCCTCTTTGCCTTTCTCGTGCTCGGGTTTGCCTCCTTTACCTTCAATGTCAAGGCCTCCGCCCAAGATGACATCGAGACCACCATTTTTATCTTTTTTCTTTGACTTTGACTTTTCATCATCGTCCTTGTCTCCTCCGAAGCCAAATCCAAAATTGAAGCCACTGTTTTTGTCTTTACCTTCTTTCTCTTTCTCGTGCTTGTCTTTGTCTCCTTTTCCGTCGATATCAAGCCCTCCGCTTAAATTGACGTCAAGACCACCGTGTTTGTCTTTCTTCTTCGACTTTGATTTGTCATCGTCATCTTTGTCTCCTCCGAAGCCAAAGCCAAAATTAAAGCCACCGTCGCCTTTATCTTCTTTGTCTTTCTCGTGCTTGTGTTTGTCTCCTTTTCCGTCAATGTCAAGCCCTCTGCCTAAGTTGACGTCAAGACCACCGTCTTTGTCTTTGTTTTTTGACTTTGACTTGCCAACGTCATCTTTGTCTCCTCCGAAGCCAAATCCAAATTTGAAGCCACCATCTTTGTCTTTTCCTTCTTGGTGTTTCTTGTGCCTGTGTGTGTCTCCTTTTCCGTCAATGTCAAGCCCGCCGCCTAGGTTGACATCAAGACCACCGTGTTTGTCTCTCTTTTTCGACTGTGTTTTGTCATCATCTTCCTTGTCTCCTCCGAAACCAAATCCAATATTGAAACCACCATCTTTGTCTTTCTCGTGCTTGTTTTTGTCTCCTTCTCCTTGAATGTCAAGACCTCCGCCCAAGTTGACATCAAGATCACCGTTTTTATCTATCTTATTTGACTTTGACTTGTCATCGTCGTCTTTGTCTCCTCCGAAGCCAAAGCCCAGTTTGAAGCCACCGTCTTTACCTTCTTTGTCTTTCTCGCTCTTGTGTTTGTCTCCTTTTCCGTCAATGTCAAGCCCTCTGCCTAAATTGACGTCAAGACCACCGTAGTTGTCTTTTTTCTTCGACTTTGATTTGTCATCTTCATCTTTGTCTCCTCCGAAGCCAAAGCCAAACTTGAAGCCACCGTCTCTGTCTTTATCTTTTTTGTCTTTCTCGTGCTTGTGTTTGTCTTCTTTTCCGTCAATGTCAAGCCCTCCGCCTAGGTTGACATCAAGACCACCGTCTTTGTCTTTCTTTTTCGACTTTGACTTGTCATCGTCATCTTTGTCTCCTCCGAAGCCAAATCCAAATTTGAAGCCACCGTCTCTGTCTTTACCCTCTTTGTCTTTCTCGTGCTTGTGTTTGCCTCCTTTATCTTCAAGGTCAAGGCCTCCGCCCAAGTTGACATCGAGACCACCATTTTTATCTTTCTTCTTTGACTTTGACTTGTCATCATCGTCATTGTCTCCTCCGAAGCCAAACCCAAAATTGAAGCCACCGTCTTTGTCTTTACCTTCTTTGTTTTTCTCGTGCTTGTGTTTGCCTCCTTCACCTTCAATGTCAAGGCCTCCGCCCAAGTTGACATCGAGACCACCATTTTTGTCTTTCCTCTTTGACTTTGACTTGTCATCGTCATCTTTGTCTCCTCCGAAGCCAAAGCCAAACTTGAAGCCACCGTCTCTGTCTTTATCTTTTTTGTCTTTCTCGTGCTTGTGTTTGTCTTCTTTTCCGTCAATGTCAAGCCCTCCGCCTAGGTTGACATCAAGACCACCGTCTTTGTCTTTCTTTTTCGACTTTGACTTGTCATCGTCATCTTTGTCTCCTCCGAAGCCAAATCCAAATTTGAAGCCACCATCTTTGTCTTTTCCTTCTAGATGTTTCTTGTTCCTGTGTTTGTCTCCTTTTCCGTCAATGTCAAGCCCGCCGCCTAGGTTGACATCAAGACCACCGTCTTTGTCTTTTTTTCCCGACTTTGACTTGTCATCGTCATCTTTGTCTCCTCCGAAGCCAAAACCAAACTTGAAGCCACCGTCTTTGTCTTTACCTTCTTTGTTTTTCTCGTGCTTGTGTTTGCCTCCTTCACCTTCAATGTCAAAACCTCCGCCCAAGTTGACATCGAGACCACCATTTTTGTCTTTCCTCTTTGACTTTGGATTGTCATCGTCATCTTTGTCTCCTCCGAAGCCAAAGCCAAACTTGAAGCCACCGTCTCTGTCTTTATCTTTTTTGTCTTTCTCGTGCTTGTGTTTGTCTTCTTTTCCGTCAATGTCAAGCCCTCCGCCTAGGTTGACATCAAGACTACTGTCTTTGTCTTTCTTTTTCGACTTTGACTTGTCATCGTCATCTTTGTCTCCTCCGAAGCCAAATCCAAATTTGAAGCCACCATCTTTGTCTTTTCCTTCTCGATGTTTCTTGTTCCTGTGTTTGTCTCCTTTTCCGTCAATGTCAAGCCCGCCGCCTAGGTTGACATCAAGACCACCGTCTTTGTCTTTTTTTCCCGACTTTGACTTGTCATCGTCATCTTTGTCTCCTCCGAAGCCAAAACCAAACTTGAAGCCACCGTCTTTGTCTTTACCTTCTTTGTCTTTCTCTTGCTTGTGTTTTTCTTCTTTTGCGCCAATGTCA